CAGATATATATACATTCTAGAGCAGGCAGAATACTTCTGTACCTAGATATATATTCAAGGTTTAATATTCAGGTATTTATACATTCTTTGCAACGTAATGGTGTAAATAACTTTGATATTTCAAATTAAGATTTGCTCAAACAGAATTCACAGTTGGACACATCTAAGGTTTACGACATAGGGTTGCAAAGATATAGGAATTCGAAAATCAGAATTTGCGGCAAAGACTCTGTTCCTTTCAGATTAGTTTAGGAATGAACTTTGTTTCAATTAAATAATTAATTTAATTTTAATTTTTTTTGTATCAGATATGCAAAAAAGATTAATAAAATCGTTAGCACATTGTTCAAACGATAGCTGAACCAATTCTTGAACTGCAATAAAATTAATAGGCTAATATTCTTAATAATTATTTACACACCAGGAAAAATATCAAATTTTAAATTCCTTTCCATTTTATCTGAATATCCCTGTTTTAAAACGATATTTCTTTTAATAAAAAATAAAAACCCTGTCTTTTCTCTGGTTTCACATTTGTAGAAATTTTATAATTTACGATTCTCTCAGTAGAAAAAATTACTTTATAGTTGCATAAACATTTGTACAGTGCAGAAAGTTTTGAATCTAGTTTATTTTTATCAGGAAATAAAATTATCATTGTCAAGGACTTTACCAAGATTAATTTATTTTAGCCTTTTGCATAATTTAATAAAAAAATAAATAATTTAAATTAGTAATATTGAAAAGGTCAAAATTTTTTTATGTAGGGAGTTTTGAAATCATCTGCTTCATTATATTAAATCATATATTTAAAGATATTTAGAGACAAGGTCAATAAATTCATTTTTAGAAAGTGACTTGAAGCAACCCAAGAATTGCATATGCTAATCCTATTTCCATGTTACCTGATATTCAAAAGCAGATCTAACAGTTGAAGCAACAACAGTTTTAACTTCAGCTGTTGGATGAACAAAATGATAATTCTTGCCACCGCATTCTCCAACCAGCTTAGGGAACCCTGTATACTTCTCAATATTCTGACCAACAGCTTTCCATAACCATTGGAAGGTTCTAGAAACAGTGCAGGTTTTACACAAATGCTTTTATAGATTTAAACAATTGTGTTTACTACAAATAAGGTGTCCCATTAGACATGACAGTTGATCTTTGATAGCTATCTAATGACAAATTGCATATAAAAAAGATTGCACTTCTTATGAGCTTATCATAATTTTATAAACCTCCTCCAAATATAAATTTTTTATATCTCCGGAAATTTTAAAAGCCCAAAAAGAAACAGATCACATTTTGGAAATGCCAGAACTAATGGGTATCTATGTTTAATGTTTCAAACATCATATAATTATGTTGACAAATAAATACCACAAATTATCTAAAATATCAAAGACGACCTTTCAGTCGTATCTAAACTGTCATGTTTTGTGGGACACCCTGTACTTCAAAAATTGTGTAATGTAACCAAAAAGTTAGTAAAACTTACGGGACGGATCCAGTGAAATTTATTGCTGCTAGCTCCGGATGTGAGGTTACAGTGTTGCCGAATACTGGTCCGTCGGAGGGAAGGAAGTTGACAACTCCGTCCGGGAACCCAGCCTCCTTGAAGATCTTGAAGATCAGGTAGTTGGACACAATAGCGGTGTCACTAGGCTTCCACAGAGTTACGTTTCCCTACAATATATCGAAAATCAAGGGATTGTTCACAAAACTAAAATATTGTATTTATCTAATTTACCATGACTGAGGGTGTGTAAGCCAGGTTTCCGGCAATAGCTGTAAAGTTGAAGGGCGTAACAGCTGCAATGAACCCTTCGAGAGGTCTGTATCTCATTAGGTTGAGGGTGGTGTTAGGATCCTCACTGATGGGTTGGTAACTGTGCAGCTCCTTGGCGAAGTAAGTGTTGAACCTGTAGAAGTCGACCAACTCACATGCAGAATCAATTTCAGCCTTGATAGGAAATAAAAACAATGAAATCAAAATGTCTGAATTATCATTTTTGTTTTATTTCTTGTGAACTGAATAAACTTTATACCTGGATAACAGTTTTAGCCTGACCAAGCATGGTTGCCGCGTTGAGTTGAGCTCGGTATTTTCCCGCCATATCCTCCGAAATCTTTAGGAACATTGAGATCTTCTCATCAATTGGAATCCTCTCCCACTCCACCTTAGCCTTCAGGGATGTGTCGATGGCCTTCTTGATCAGCTCAGGGGTCGCCCAGTAGAACTTGGCAACCTTCTTCTGATGATCATGGGGCTGAAAAAAATATCCAATTAAATTGAAATACATCTTGAAACCTCTTTACAACTTGGACATTCATTAGCCTGAACTTCACAGAATGCGTTAAGATTAAGAATTTCTAAAGAAAACTATCTTCGGCTTTCAACGTGTTTTTCATTTCTGGTACAGTGAGAACCAGAAAACAATGGAATATGGAGACGATATTATATCAATTCTTAAGTGTATTTGATGTTGTTACAAAGCAATTAGTTTGACTAGATACTTATTAAGTCACAAATTAAGTAAAATGGGTCTGCTTACACTGCACAATTTCTGTGTCTCATGCCCATTTCGACTATCTTAAGTTGTAACTTTAGTATAAAAGTCGTCTTGATATTTCAGAGTTTTCTAGTTATTACTGTGAATTTTTACCCTGATGCTATGTAAACTTATCTAAGGGAAACGGTTCTAAAGGGGTTTCTGACCATTAGGGGTATATAATTACTTTTTGTAAACTTTTTATAAGACCTGTATAAAACTCTTCATTCCAATGAATTTACTTCCACCTAATCTACTTTAAAGTAATAATCTTTATCTTTATTAGATTTAGGAATTATGTTTATTGGAACTAAAAAACTCTAGCAGAGCAGGAACAATCCTAATATAAGATTAAACGAAATCCCAATATCTTTGCTACATATAATCTTTTAGACCTAAGATATTTTTAGCAATAATTCCTGTTAGATGATAATCTAAATTGAAAAAATCAAAGGTGTAATCGTCAGGCTTGCAAAAATTTTAGTTTGTGACAAAGATTCAATTCCTTTCCAACTTACCATGACTTGGAATTGAACATGATCCGTCCTGTACTCCTTGCCTCCGATCACGATTGGAATATCCTCGCACACGTCCTTGAGAGAGTCCAGGGCAGCCTGGATCTCCGCCCTCTCCTTGCTCCCCGGCAGGTAGGTGAGGATAGGTTCATTCTTGATTGTGAAATCCTTGAGTTCTATATCAGATTTAGGAACAACAGAGGAGATTGCTCTCTGACCAACCCTGTAAAATTAAATTCAGAATTATTTCACAAGAATCAAATTATTTTATCAAATATTATTTAGAAATTTAAGGAAAAGGAAAAAATAAGTGTTGACTGTTGAGAAAGAAAACACAATTAGTTTTTTTTCAAATAAAGGCCATTTCGTAATATGTAATACTGATATTACATTTAATATTCTGTAATAATAACAGTGTAAATAACACATTTTGGGACGAAATTTATTAACAAGGAGAGAGGTCACTGAACTACCTACCGCCGGTTCAACTATCTGTCAATTCATTTAATCCGGTCCTTGGACATTTAAAAATTCCCAGCTCTGATTTATAAGTTAAGAGCTCAGATCGAAGACTTAGAAGTAAGATTAAGACAAAAGTTCAATTGTAACTTACTTTTATAAGAAATATATGTTTGAATGGAATTATTAATATAAAAATTCTCAGATCTTAAATCGTCAATCAAATTGTCTTAACATTTTTATGTAAGCTACATATATGTATGCTATTCAACGATTTTCAATCAGATCGGATGAAAAACAAACAAAAAAGTTTCGAATATGTCGTCTTCCATTTTTAAAGGATTTCAAAAAAAAAATTTTAATTGAATTTCTTAAAAAGCTCTCAATGGATTTTTTTTATTTTAACGTTTTTCTTTTCTGCTTAACTTATACCGTGACGTGGATTTGGTTTTATTTGATGACTCAAGACGTTCTCTTAAAGTTGAAAAACTGGTTTAATTTGAGAATTAATGATAAGATTTAATACACCTACACGAGGGAGGAAAACCCCGGACGCCGTGAGCCTCCGCCATGTAGACATGAGCCTCCCAGATTTGTTAGGCAGACCGAGCCTCCGCCATGCAGTAAGAGCCTACACTATTTTTCATTTTTTTCAACATAGTGGCACAAGAATTTTAATAAACATTAATGTTGTTTATTGATTGTAATGAGTTTTAACTTATATTGACTTATAAAGTGGTTTATAAGATATATGTTTTACAATAAAACATTTCTTACTCATTAACGAGGCTATTTGGAAATTCATTAGTTTATTTTGTTTTAAGCTTTGATTTAAGCATAAAGCAATACCTTTTTTAGAATTTTTTTTTGTAAAAACCAAGAGCTTTAAGGAACATATTCTTTACAGCAAAGGCTCGTTTACTAAATAGCGGAGGTTCTTACTGCATAGCGGAGGCTCATGTCTGCATAGCGGAGGCTCACGGAGTCGGGGAGAGGGGTTTCCCTCTCTCTCTGCACTAATCCTAGACTTTTCAAACCTCCCACGGTTTAGAAAACATCAAACCCTGTTTTTCAAGTTTTAAATAAACCAAACAGTTGTCATCAATTTTATACACAAATATTAATTAAAATAGTATTATATTAAGATAATTTTATGATTTTTATAATTATATTTTAGATTTTTGTTTGTTATTTCTTTAATGCATAGTAACTAAAGTGTACAAAAAGCGAGAACTTCTCATGATAAAACTAATGTCAATCATAATAATAATAATAATAATAGCCATGATCAATGATCATTGATCAACAATAATTTTGTAGAAATAAAGGCAGAGCTCCCGCCAAAAATAATCACCAAATGATGAAAACAATAACGTTAGTTCTTATAATAAAAATAGTAATAATAGTAACTAAAGCAAAAGTGCCCGTGGAATTTTTCTAAAATTGTTTTAGCCTATGTTACCCCCGGGTCAGCCCATTCGGTTAAGCCGTTTGGCCAGCTATAGCTGAATATACTGCTACCGTGTGGCTTTATATATATATATATATATATATCTACTAATCAAAGGATTAAAAGCTTCATCAATAAATATGTTTTTGATATCATTTTTTTTTAACTTTAAAATAAAAGTTATGAAATGAAAGCCTTTTTTTGGCCACCATGGAAAGTCATCTTTAAACATAATTCTACAAAAATATAAAAACAACAATTTATATTGATATGGTAAAAGTTAAGTATCAAACTAATACATCCATATTAAGTTATATAACAGAAAACTATTGTAACCCTCTTTCCACCCCCTTCCCCCTCCTCTCTATGATCATCGATATCAGAGAAATATTACAAAAAAAACGATTAATAAATTTTAGATTTAAAAAAATGTCTAATTTCTCTTATCCCTTGAGTAAAAAAGTAAAAAAAAATCCTTGTGAAACCTCGAAAAGTAAACCAAATTATTGAAAGTGAAAAAAGGAGAACCTTTAGTTCAAAACCCTGGGTTTCCGTCTAAAAAACTAATTTTTTGTATAAAATAATATTTGCTGTTCACATCTTCACTGATTTGTAGTATAACAATCACAGAAGTAATCAACGGTTGGGTAATAGGTAGGGGCTGAATTAATAAAAAACCTGATAATTAAAAAGGTTTTGTAAAAATGCGTATTATATCTAAAACATGTGTTTGTGTGTTGGGGGGGGGGGGCTGTAAGATAAAAAACTAATTAGTTAATGCTTTTTAAATTACGTACATTATGTATGTTTATTGTTTTATGTATATTGTTCCTCTCATGTATTAAGATTAAATTATTAATATTATTTTTGTAACATTTAATCAGATATTATTTTTGTTTTTATCACTCAATTCAGACAAAAATATTTACATTGCTTATCCAAATTAATATTTGACTTTAAATACTATTTATAAAACAAATATCAAGATATAGATACTTAAAGGTTGATCCTGTGATTTCACTTAGTAACATAGGAAGAGATAGGAAAGCTAGAAATTAATTCTTCACATTGAGTAATTTAGATTTGATTTAAAAAACAATAAATGTTAAAAAATAATGTTTACTTGGTAATATTTCTTCTCATTTCAGATGATATTGTTTTGGTTGCGGGCAACATGGTAGATCCGACCAAACTGCTGATCAAAATTCAAAATTATCAAATGTCTGTCCGTCTCGCTCTCTGTAAATCTGTGTGTCTGTGCGCCCCCTCCGATACTGCCAGGGATAATGTTACCTTACCAATAAAAACACAGTTCTCTCTGTACGGTTTTTGTCAGCAAAAATTTCGCGGATTTTCAATTTGAGAATTCTGATAATATTGAGAAGCGTGTATATTTAACCCGGATCTATGTAGAGAGAGGGGAGGGGGGGGGGGGCTTTCTCCGACCAGCTGTGAGGTTTATCCGGAAAAGGGAAGTCCAGAGGAGGGGAAGTAATGGAGTAGGAATTTTCCAGAGAACAATTCCGCATGCGCTACAAGTAGATCATAGGAAGATCACATGGGATGAATGGATTGAAATGTTCTACCTCTATTATACATATTTTATTTATCAAAATAGCATTTTCATCTTATCCAAAATCCATATCTAAATATCTCAATTATAAGACATTTAATGAATTGGATGGATAAATTAATAAATGAATGATATAATAATCGATGTACATTTTTTTGTAATGAAAAATAAATCAAAAAAATTAAATTTTAATAACTTTATGTCGACTCATTTATATCCTTAACTTTGTTAAAATTTAAAAGTTTAAGTGACGCGGATCTTATAAACCATTTAGAGACCGGAAACATGATTTTAATTGAATGAAGGGGAAGGAAGAGGGGGAGGGGAAGGTTAAGGACTAGAAAATAGCAAGAGAGGGGGGGGATATAAGATATGTCCTGTTGATAGTTTAATAGATGTTAAATATACTTTTATACAATTTTACTTAACAAAGGAATTGAGTTTTTGCCACAAACTTAAATTTTCGAATTCCAATATATTAGCGACCGAATGTTGTATCATTTAATATTTCAAACTTAAAAAGGAAAGATAACATATTTCATAATTTGAAATATCTAAAGTCTACGACGTTTGGTTGGGACAATACAAGGACTAGAAAATCAGAGTTTGTTGCAAAGACTCAATTCCTTTAGATTTTTAAGATTTAAAAAAAAATCAGCAACAAAACCAAGAAAATCCGCGAAATATATTAATTTTTATATAACAAAAAGTAATAACGATAAAATAAAACGAAGATCTCATGGAACGCTTAGTATATATTATATAAAATATTTGCGCATTGATAAAGATAAAGTGTAAACAATCGTGGAAAATTTCATGTCTAAAAAGTTTTGAATTTCTTAGTAAAATATATTTCCTGACTCGATAGAAAATATAAATCGTTTGGATTAAACATTTGCAAATAATATATTACCTTCATGGTGTAATTGAAATAAAACAATTCATATAAAAAATATTATTTTTTAGTAGATTTACCCTATCACAATTGAGGGGGTGGGATGGGGGGAGAGGGGTGTTTTCCGCTCCCCCACCCCCAATGTTTTTTCTCCATAAACTGAGCTTACATTGTATAGACCGCTCAAACTTCTTCTGCTTCACTTTTTCAACTTCATAAGCCGACAACTTTGTTTTAATAATTAAGCTACAGGTCTAAAATTTAGTTATTTGAAAAATTTCTTTTTTATCATGTATCATATATTAAATGATGCCAAAAGTAAAAATAAGTATTTTTAAACATTTACCAACTTATTTTTAGAACTTTATTTAAAACCTCCCTAACACACTAACCATTAAAGGAGGTTTAATATTTTTGTTTTAAAGAGCTGGCCTTGAAAAATGTAACATATAGGGACATGTATTTTACTACTCTATAAGTGCTAAATCAAAAAACAAAACAAAAAGCACGTTGAAGTCGAAAATAATAAAAAAAATAACTTTTTAAAATGTTGGGGTTGAAAATATTTCCAAAAATTTCTAATATATAGACTATATATTGAATTTTCATCTTTCAAAAAAAGAAATATTTTTAACTTAAATAGTTAAATTGTTGGTGTTTATGGTAACAAACTCTCCAAATATTGAAAAAAGAAACGTATGGATTGTGGTCTAAGATTAATAAAGATATAACTTTTTTTAAAATAAAAAGCAGAAATGCATCAAGAGAAATGATATATTTAAGTATCTACCATGCTTAAATTTATTTATTTTCATACACTCGTTTACAAGTACATTATTTTTTAAAGTTTAAACACTGTTTCTTCTGATACACTGCAAACTAAACAGAAGGTGAAGGGAAAATTTATTTGAAATTGCTGGTGCGACTTTGAGACCTTATAGCTCCTCCTCTACTTTTGATTTTAGGTATTATATGATAAAAGCAAATTCATCTGTTTACATATTAAAAATTTGAAACATATGTCTGGTCTTCTCAAAAGCTCTTTAATAGAACTCAGGAGAAGTTCTGATTAAAAACATAAAAGAGTTCAATCTTAAGTGTAATTTACTTTAGTTTGACGTGGATAATAAATAGTCTTAACACATAAAGAGTAAAAATAAACTAGAGAGAAAGTCTTTCTTCTCTCATTTGAAAGCAAACCAAAAATTGGGAATTGTATTAATTTGAAATTTTATAACGCTAAGGATACGTTAAATTCCCTGTCAGGACAAGTGGAGGAAAATGTAAACTAGATTGTTATCTCTTGTTTGTCTTCATTTGCTATTGGCAAAAAAATGATACTGTAAAGCTTAACATCCCTTCCTTCTAACTATCCTGTTCAATTTTCTTCTTTTTTCTTAATTATTTTTCTATGTTTTAAGGAGAGAAATAAGGAGGTTTGTAGGTTAAAGGATTGTTCTCTGTTTTCCTTCATGTTATAGTCTTTCCAACTAAAGGGGAATTTTAAGGAAACCCATAACTGCACCCCTTATGAAGTTGGTCAAGTAAAAAACCGAGATCATTGTGCATTGAGTTCTTGTTTTTTCCCTCCTATATTACACTTGCTACTTCCCTGAGGGATACAACATGGCCAACTAAACGCAACGCTCCTCCAAACTGGAAAGTCGGGACTTCTAAGAGAGAGGTCAGTACACTTCCAAGGGCAGTATGCAACTGAAAAAATCTGCAATTTAATTTGTTCAATTTAATTTGATTTGAGAAATATTGTATTAATGGTAAAAATAAATCTTTTTTGGCTTTTGGCTATAATGATAAGCTAGTGCAGGGAACTGCATGAATTTCAGAACTTATTAAGTCTCTCAGACTTAATAAGAACTGAACTGAATCAAATCCCCTGATAAATGAGATGTAATACGGGAGAGAGCTCAAAGGAATCCAGGAATCAGCTGGAATCCAATCTTAATAGGAGAGCTATCCTTTGAGAACTTAATCATTATTCTTAATATCTTATAGTATAAATATATAATCTTCTCAGTGGTGACCCCAAAGCAAGGGGAAAATGGCTGACACAAATGCAGTATCCTTGGAATTGCCTCAGTTCTGGGAAGGAGGAGCAAAGATATGGTTTGCTCAAGCTGAATCATAACTAACGTAGGCAAATACAAAAATCTAAACACTGTAAAGGTTTTTTTGAAAATATCTTTTAAATGGAGATAAATATTACTTTGGGTAGGATGAGATGATTTTTAGTAAACAGGCAGCCCGACCTTTTAGTATCTTAACTTCAATCATTAAATGCAGTCATTAAATCAGCAAATTGGAACCATAATATTATTATGTCTGCTATAGTTTATATTATGAAAAGGGTAAAAGACTGTAAAGATATGCCTATAATGTCTCCGCAAGATGAACAGTGAAGACGGACAAGTTTACTCTGTACTGCAATTTTCTTGTTTTACTATTAAGTACAACCGTATGCAGTCAAAACATAAACAAACAAAATGTGAATATAGCAGAAGAAACTCTTACAGATATAGTATAGCTGTCGGTATGCATGGGCATATTTCGTTATAGGTTGGATCAGGGAAGACCTTTAATTTTAACAATTTTTAACAATTTTTAATAAAATTAGTGTATATTTAAGGTTAGGTTAGGTTAAGCTCATTTCTGGGCCGAGCGCTGCGGCTATAGGACAGCTGCTAGGGGGCCAAGCGCTGCGGCCATTAAAAACCTTTAATTCGCAATTTTTGATAAAATTAGTGTATATTTAGGGTTAGGTTAGGTTAAGCACATTTCTGGGCCGAGCGCTGCGGCTAGGACAGGCTAGGGGGCCGAGCGCTGCGGCAACATTTTTGGGCCGACCAACGACCTACGAAAAACGTCCATCCGACCTACGAAAATTGCCCATCCGACCCACGAAAAATGCCCATCCGACCTACGAAAATTGCCCATCCGACCTACGAAAAGTGCCCATCCGACCTACGAAAAGTGCCCATCCGACCTATACGAAAAATGCCCATCGGACCTATACGAAAAATGCCCATCCGGCCTACAAAAAAGGCCCATCTGACCTACTAACGTGTCCAAGCGACATGCTATAATAGGAATTATAAAAAAAAATTTTATAACTGAAAATTGGGGTAGAATAATAGTTCAAATGAGCAAGAAATGTGTTGCTTTAAACTACAGGATATGACGTCATGTCAGTAGTTAAAATGAACAATAGTTCAAACGAACAATAGTTCAAATGTACCATAGTTCAAACGGCAGTAGTTCAAATGAGAATCCACCTCTTCTCATAAAATTCTATTCAAAGACGACATTTTTCCAAATTGCTCTTTCTGATGCTTGGAATGGAACGAGACTCACGATCCGCCGGGTTCAGTTAGTGTACAAAACTGAACCAAATCTGAGCAAAACTTGCGTTGTAACGTAAAACAAGATTAAATCTGTTTTTAAAGACGTATCTAATCATTTTGTTGCTTGGTCCATCAGCTTGTATTTGTGGTAAAATTTTTTTTATATTAACACCAAAATTGACGCGAAAATTTGTTTTTATTTCTTGTATTTTACTTATAATGCATAATGCAATACTTTCAGAATTAAAATGTGGGGAGGGGGTAAGCGTGTAAATCCTGAAGAGGAATCAGATACTGAACCCTCAACCACTACAGCAAATAATAAAAAGAAAAAACGAAATTCTAAGGAACAAATTTATTCTTTTATCAAAGTAAAATTACATTCATCTTCTTGGCTTAAACATCGAAAGGTAGGGGGGGGGGGGGGGNATCTTTATCTCAGAAATTATTGACTTCGTTGCCACCTCCCTCCCATCCTCCCCCTCCTGTAAGCCTTTTATATTATCAGTGCAGGTTTTATTTAATAATTGCGAAGATCTGTATTAATTTGTAGTAAGGGTCAGTGCTAAAATCGAGAAATTACATTTGAAACATGTGTGTGCTCCATTCTCTTAAGTTATTATGATTACGATCGAATCTCTTCCGACGGTCGGCCCAGAGTTTGTCCAAACTTTGTAACATATCACATTATTTTTTTGGGTCCAAAAATCGTATCCTAGGACGGACCCAACAATTTACCTGTATACCAAAAAAGTTTCTAAAACGTCAATCATGGAATTTCTGCTTAAACCTGACACTCAGTGTCAAGCTAAGTTTGGAACATAAGCATGGTTAGGTCATTTCGTCCTCTACTGAAACGTTACGTTATCACTTACAAATGATATTAAAGTGTCAGTATAGTTCTTTTCCAAAAGTGACTTGAATCAAATTATGTTAAAGAGGAAATCCGCACACCTTGATGTAGCGTCTTCAGCTGGATCCTCGGATGATGAAAACTACAAAACAGCTTTAGAGCTCAGCCTCAACACCTCGGTAGAGTCGGAGGATGAGGATATGAAGAGAGTTCTAGAAATGAGCAAAAATGATTTTGTTTATATCCCAGATAGTGATGAAGAAAAGCAAATGAAGAAAGCTATCGCGTTGAGTTTGGGGGAAACTATCGTATTGTCCGACGACGAGTTTGATAGAATGTGCGACGAGCCGAACATGTCACTGAAGGAGAAGCTGTCCAAGTCAAGTTTGAACTCGGAGGGTTCTACTCCAGGTACCTGTAAGACCTGGAGTAAAATGAATGAACCGGATACATCTAATTTACCGGTTAGACCTAAACCATCTCAGGTTTGTTAAGTTTTGCCACAACTGCACACATTCAATGTTAAAACGATGTAGCAGCCAAGTTTTACAAATTGTAGACAAGTATTGTGATCCTTTTTCTTTACTGTGATATTTGACAATGGTATAATCTTTGTAAACAATTCTTTTTATATTACTTTCTGATTTCTAACTATAAGTTCTTGTTTTAAACTAATATAAAATTATTCAATTATTTTATTTTAAAATTTTTGTTTAGCTGTGGTAATTTAATGATAATTCAATCGCTGGCTTAAAAAAACATTTTTTTGTACTTCTAATGTGTGTTTTCTCCATAACTGATGAATATGGTAGTGCCCAAATATAAAGCTGTGATGATACAATAATGTTTTAACGTTGATCATTAGAACTTCTGTTATCATTATTATCTGAATATTGTTAAAAACTTTTAAATGTTAAGGTCCCCAGAATGCCGAGGAACCAAGGTCATGGTGCCTCAAGATATCCAGAGGATTCAGAGGATTACGAAGATTACGATGAGAGGGAGGAGGAGTTATCTCAAAGTATTGGAGCTATTCTTGGAATGAGAAATCCATCCCATGGCCTCCCTGGACACATTGCTCCACATGGACAGTTGTAAGTAGAAATTTTACGATTTTCAAAATAAAAATGAAGAAAATGACATGTTGGAAACTTTACTTACGTTTTGCGTTTTTCCTTAGCCCCTCTCCACTGCTCCTAAGTCTAAGAAAATGAAGACTTAATATTTTATGCATATTTTTTTTCAGAACCAATCTTTATTCTTAAGAAAAAAGTTGACACTCCTTCAAAATCTTATATGTTACGCGCTACAAAAAGACGAGAAACAGGGGGGGGGGGAGATCTTTATTTAGAATTGTAACCTAATGCTCTTAATCTAACTAACCTTTCTGTTGCCTAGGTTGAGCTCCGAGGAAGCAACCCGTAGGATGCGCGGAGTATTCGTAAATGGACTAGAGAGTAAACTAAACCAGGAGGAGATGGAACCATGCAAAGCTATCAAAACAAAATTGCATTCTCACCAGAAGTCCGCCCTGGCCTGGATGGTGAAGCAGGAGAACAAAGAGAACAAAGGGATGATGGGAGGGATACTCGGGGATGTAAGTATTAACTGATTAAATTGAATATATAACAACCATTTTAATTCATGATTACTGATCTTCATCAAACTTTTTGAATAGAATCTGTTAATCAAAAACATTTTTAAACGGAATCTAGACAAAAATTCGTTGAAAACAGTTTACATTTCATTTTGGAAAAAGTATGTAGGCTCCAAATATCACCTAAATATGTTCGTATTTATGTTGCTCAGTGTTTGTCTCTCTCTATTCACAAGAAGATATCAATAAAATTGTGGACAAAAACGATTTTAGCTTTTTTCTGTAACTTCAATTTTAATTTAATCTAGCTTTTGCATATGGTAGTTTTATTTACATTAGATTATTTAATCCTATTAGCATTCTAGGTTCTTTTACTTAAAGATTTACGTAATTACAATTTTTGACCAAAATTAAATATTAGAACCTTATATCTGAACTATATACAGTCAGTTTTTTTTCTTTGTCGACTTATTTACTTAAGTAACTGTATTGGAATATATTTTTCAAGACTGATTTCTGAAGTTTTTTGGGAGAAAATGAAAAATGAAACTGCAACTTACTTGCTAATTTACTTTTTTATTCTTTTCCACAAAGTAGTCACTTATTTCCCCGTTGGTCTGAAAGTCATTGTGATCAAATAGAGTCATTTTTATCAGAGAGTTATGTCTTGTTTGTTTTGTAGGAAATGGGTTTAGGGAAGACGTTGACAATGATATCTCTGATCATGACAAACTACTACGACAACCGTCCTCTGTCCAAACCTAACCTAGGATACACCAGACCAAAGATAGAGATGATGAGAGGAGGAGGAGGGAAGGGGAAGAAGAAAAGGATTCTCAAAGAACCAACTCAGTCCAATGTTGGGAAGAAGATTGAGGATAAAGTAAAGAAAAGATCCGCCATAGGATTCTTCTCCAACTTCAAGAGCAGCGACGAGGAGGAGGAGGAGGAGAAGGGAGAAAAATCTAAATTCTCTTTTGGAGATCAGAAAGAGAAGAAGTCAAAGCGTGGATTTATCAATGATGTTGATAGTACAGATGAAGAGGAGGAAGAAGATGATCCTGATCTAGACGAATTTGATCTTATTGAGGTAGAATTAATAAATTGATTTTGGGTTTTATTGTTGATTTTGTTTTAATATTTGAAATTTAAAATTCTACTTAACTTGAAAGGTTCTTTAATACTTGTTATAATTTTTCCTAAATAAATCATTTTATTTTTCCCGAAGATTTGTTTCCGATAGCAGAACTTTGTTGCAAAAAAAATTAAGTGAATATTTAGAAGATTTTTTTTTCATTAAAGTAAAATGTACGTTTTTTCATTGTTATTTGAAGTTGAACCTTTATTTTCTTGTTTGATGATAATTATTTTATAAAAAATGGTATTTTTAGAAATCCTCTCTTTCATCTCGTCTGAAGTGCAAACCTGAAGAGAAGAAGATACGGGATCCGCGGGATGAAGAGTTAGATGATATGTACTCAGAATGGGAGAACATGTCGCAGGTTGAGAAGGATAAGAAGGTTCGGAGTCTTTCCCAAACTTCTCCCAATCCAGGGTTGAACCTTGACGGAGCTTTCGATTCTAGTGATGATGATATCCCAATTTGCCGGAAGAAAACGTCCAATCTTGTAATTTCGTCCGACGACGAGGCGAAGGCCGCAGAGGCCAAGCGGTCAAGCAAAAAGTTAAAAATTACCGTTGACAGTGATAGCGATGTGAACTTGTCCGACATAGACCTGGAGACTGCTCCGATCCCTCGTCAGATACGTCCTGCTCCAGAACCCAGTTCATCCCAACCCGGTCCATCAAAATTCTCCTCAGATGATCCATTCCCGTCATCATCTTCATTTCGCACTCAACCCTCCTCATCTATCTGTCGACCTGAGTCAACCTTAAAACCGTCTACTATGAAGAGAATAGTTCCTCTGGCTGAACCTGCTAAGAGGAAAGGTAGAGCTCATCCTACACTCATCATCTGTCCAACTAGTCTTCTCAGTCATTGGTGTCAGGAGATTGATTCACATATCCTTCCTAGCGTTGAGCTCAAAGTAAAAGTTCATCATGGTTCAAACAAAGCTAAACTTGGAGCAGATCTCAACACTTATGACATAGTACTCTCAACCTACGGAACCCTGGCCAATGAACTAAATGCAGATACTAGTCCTCTGCTCCGGGCCAAGTGGCTGCGGGTCATCCTAGATGAAGGTCACTATATCAAGAATCATAGGTCGAAGACAGCTAAGGCAGCAAACCAGCTGAGAACCGTACGTCGCTGGGTTGTGACAGGAACTCCAATTCAGAACAACCTGATAGAACTCTGGTCCCTGGTCAACTGGTTACAGTTTGATCTCTACGCAGGGGATCTCCAGGGCTTCAAAAATCAGATAGAGCGTCCTTGCAAGGATAGAGAGGAGTCTGGGTTCGAACGACTCCAGGTACTCATGGACGCAATATGTCTCCGACGGACCAAGAACGACAAGAGAGCAAACGGAGATCCTATCGTTCCACTTCCAACTAAGACCATTATTATCCGAGATGTCAAGTTTACTGAAGATGAGAAACTTTGTTATTCCATCCTGAGCAAGGAGGCGACAAACATAGTGGAAAGATATCACCAACGTGGTACCCTTTTGCGTAACTACGCAATTATTTTCGCTCTCATGATGCGCATGCGTCAGCTCTGCTGTCACAGAGAGATGATCAAGACTATTGACTGGACCCATGTATTGAGAGATCGAACACTACTGGAAAGAGAACTCGCCATGTTCATGGATAAAGAGGAGAACGGAGGAATGGCAGAAGGAGAATCAGAAATAGATCTAAGAAAACGTCTGGCTGGACAGCTGAGGAAAATGATCCAGGACGGAGTGACGGAAGATTGTAGTATCTGTCTGGATGATCTTAAATCTCCGGTTATTACTCCTTGTGCTCACGTCTACTGTAAACCTTGTATTACGCGTGTCCTAGAGACTGTCAAACCTCCAATCTGTCCTCTGTGCCGAGGTTCTTTGAGCAAGAACGGACTCCTTGAGGCTGGAACTGATGATGATGAACAGGAGGAGAGATCAGATGAGACCCTGAAAGCTTTGGAGAATATTGAGGTGAATGTGAGCAGTTCCAAGGTAAACGCTGCAATCAAGGAGATGATAAGAATCAGAGAAGCGGATCCAACGGATAAAATTGTAGTTGTTTCTCAGTTCACAACTTTTCTCTCCATATTCCAACCCATCCTTGCGGAGCAAGGGTTTACCTATGTCCGCCTAGACGGAACTATGTCGCATATGGAAAGGGCGGAGGTTGTCCGCCTCTTCCAGAAGAAAACTGCCAATTCCCCGAAGGTTCTCCTCCTCTCCTTGAAAGCTGGTGGAGTAGGTTTGAATCTAACCTCTGCTAACCATCTGCTGCTGTTGGATCCTGCCTGGAACCCTGCAGCGGAGTGGCAGTGCTTTGATAGGATACACAGAATAGGACAAGAGAAGCCTGTCACTATTTATAAGTTCATCACAAAGGCAAATATAATTCTTTTTAATAAGGCTTTTTTTTCTTCAAGAATCGTTTTTTAATCATTTTTTTTAAATTCAAAATTTTGTTTCTATGTTGTTTTTTCACCAAGCGTAAAAGTTAAATAGAAATAATAATGACGAAACCTAAAACAAATATTTTTGTAGGAGGATTCTATTGAGGAGAAGATGATGGAAATCCAGGCGAAGAAGGAGGAGCTTATCTCCGGAGCATTCCACATGCCGGATGAGGAGAGGAGGAGACAGAGGATTAATGACATCATGAATATATTTAATATTGGACCTCGACCCCAGCCTGCTCAAGGTCTACCCGGACCCCCTGCTGTACCTGCACCACCTGCTCCCGCTCCGGCGCTTGCTGAAGCATAAGGACTAAGGAGCCTAATGCCAAAAATATTTCGAATGCAAACCAGTGTTGAAAAGAATTTGATATTTTTTTGATATTTCGAAACTTTTTCGCTTCGTTTCAAAATTCAATGGTAACATATAAATTTACTCATTCTGTGATAATTTCAGAGAAATGGCTGCCAGGCCAGGATACCCTCCACCTGGTGCTCCCCCTCAGGGATATCCAGGACCCCCTGGTCCTCCCCCTCAAGGATATCCAGGCCCTCCTAGACCCTATGGACCTCCACCTTCAGGATATCCTCCTCGCCCGGGGTACAATGGTCCACCTATGACTAGCAGTGCTGGTCCTATTGGACCTCGCCCTATGGTTCCAGGAGGACCTGGACCTCAGATGGTTTCTCTTCCTCAGAGACAAGGTAAATATTAATCCTTAAATTAATGCCGAATTATCATTTAACTTTAGATTTCTTTGATTTTCAGTCCTTCTCGTCATTATTATGTTTGTTCTTATAACACTTATTTTTACACATATTTTGGAAAATCCCCAATAATTTTCTTATATTTTGTTTTTCTTTTCACAGAATTACGAATTTAACCGTCTAAACAGAGAAAATTTGCATGAAAACAATCGCTCACAAAAAAAAATATTTTTTTAAATAAAAATTCTTGTTTTAGGGTCGATGGGACCTCCTCCTGGATCTAAACGACCAGCGGATACACGAGGACCAATGCCTCCCTCCTCTAAATCCTCAAAGAAGAAGAAGAAGCTGGCTGACAAGATTCTGCCGCAGAAGGTTCGGGAGTTAGTCCCGGAGTCTCAGGCTTACATGGATCTTCTAGCGTTTGAGAGAAAGCTTGATTCTACAATAATGAGGAAAAGGTTGGATATCCAGGAGGCACTGAAGCGTCCTATGAAGCAGAAGAGAAAGTTGAGAATATTTATCTCAAATACTAGTTTTCCTGCAAGGGAGGGGGAGGGAGAGGAAGGGAGTGTTGCGAGCTGGGAACTCAGGGTGGAAGGACGACTCATTGATGATGACAAACGAGTGGATCCTGCCAAGACGAAGAGGAAGTTCTCCTCATTCTTCAAGTCTCTAGTAATAGAGTTGGATAAGGATCTGTACGGACCTGATAATCATCTGGTGGAGTGGCACAGGACACCTACTACTCAGGAGACGGATGGATTTCAGGTTGGATAATATTTCCTAGTTCAACAATTTCTTGATTTACGGTTTACGATCAGATAACATGTTTTAAATTTGCAGATTCCTAACATCACCTGTGGATAGATGTAGACTTTTTGATGTATGTGTGTGGGGTTCTTGGTCTACAAAACAGGGGTGGATTTAAGATTTATTTATTTAAATAACTTTGAATATCTAGGTTAAGAGACCTGGTGACAAGAATGTAAGATGCACAATCCTTCTACTCCTAGACTATCAGCCTCTCCAGTTCAAACTAGATACTCGTTTAGCTCGTCTCCTCGGGGTTCATACACAAACCAGACCCGTCATCATATCAGCGCTCTGGCAATACATCAAGACCCACAAGCTCCAGGACCAGCATGAGAGAGAGTTCGTCAATTGCGATCCGTTCCTTAAACAGATCTTCCAGGCGGAGAGGATGAAGTTTGCGGAGATACCGCAGAGATTGAACCCGCTCCTCCACCCTCCAGATCCAATAGTGATCAATCATATTATTAGTGTAGAGGATCTACGACAGGCGGAGAACAAGAAAACTGCCTGCTACGATATTGATGTTGAGGTAGATAAATCTATTTTATATGGTTTTTTATTTTGTTAAAAGCAGTGCTTTGTATCAATAATTTGAAGCGGGTTTTGGCTCCTTCTTGAAAAAAATGAATCCGGATCAAGGTCATAAACATTTCTTTAAGTTTTACTCATTTTTTAACAAACAAAAAATGTTTAGAGCAAGAAGTTTTTTTGCTATCATGGATCCAGATCCAGATAGCAAAAATGTTGCGGTTCTAACTATTTATATTGGATAACGATTCTTTAATATTAATATTTAATTTAAGAACAGAGCTAGGTAGTTGATTTTGACAATACTTCTCTCGTAATGGATTAGTTGTACAATGTACGTATTCAACTACTTATCGCTATTCATTGACTCCAAACAACGAAAAGTTTCCTAAATCAATATTTTATTCTGTAGGTTGACGATAACCTGAAGACCCAGATGAACAATTTCCTGTTGTCCACTGCCAGCCAGCAGGAGATACAGTCCCTGGACAACAAGATACACGAGACCGTTGATACCATCAATAGTCTGAAAACTAGCAGGGAGTTCTTTCTCAGCTTTGCCAAGGTTAGTTCTATTCAACCATAGATTAATTAACAATAACAGATAGAACACAAGATGTCATCTTTTCAAAATTTAGGGTTTTTCGTTCACAATAATAATAAAAGGATCTGGATTTGAATCTTTATCCTAAGCTTGGTCTGATTCTTAATCTAGATCATCATTTAAATTTTGACCTCAATCTTGGACATAATCTTGTTCTTGGTCTTAATTTTTATTTGTTGATATTGCTCTTGATCTTGACCCAGATCTACAAATTGATCTAAATCTGGATTTAATTTTTATTCTTGCTTTAAATCTTAATCTTGCTCTAAATCTTAATCTTGCTCTAAATCTTAATCTTGCTCTAAATCTTAATCTTGCTCTAAATCTCTTATCTTATTCTAAATCTTGATCTTGTTCTAAATCTCTATCTTATTCTAAATCTTGATCTTGTTCTAAATCTTGAACTTGTTCTAAATCTTGATCTTGTTACAAATCTTGATCTTGTTACAAATCTTGATCTTGTTCCAAATCTTGATCTTGTTTTTAATCTTGATCTTGTTTGTAATCTTTTTCTTGTTCTAAATCTTGATCTTGTTTTTAATCTTTATCCTGTTCTAAATCTTGAACTTGTTCTAAACCTTGATCTTGTTCTAAATCTTGATCTTGTTCTAAATCTTGATCTTGTTCTAAATCTTGATCTTGTTCTAAACCTTGATCTTGTTCTAAACCTTGATCTTGTTCTTAACCTTGATCTTGTTCTAAATCTTGATCTTGTTCTTAATCTTGATTTTGTTCTTAACCTTGATCTTGTTCTTAACCTTGATCTTGTTCTAAACCCTGATCTTGTTCTTAATCTTGATCTTGTTCTAAATCTTCATTTTGTTCTAAACCTTGATCTTGTTCTAAATCTTGATCTTTTTCTTAATCTTGATCTTGTTCTAAATCTTGATCTTGTTCTTAATCTTGATCTTGTTCTAAACCTTGATCTTGTTCTAAATCTTGATCTTGTTCTTAATCTTAATCTTGTTCTAAATCTTGATCTTGTTTTAAATCTGGATCTTGTTCTTAATATTGATCTTGTTCTAAATCTTGATCTTGTTCTTAATCTTGATCTTGTTCTAAACCTTGATCTTGTTCTAAGTCTTGATCTTGTTCTAAACCCTGATCTTGTTCTTAATCTTGATCTTGTTCTAAATCTTGATTTTGTTCTAAACCTTGATCTTGTTCTAAATCTTGATCTTTTTCTTAATCTTGATCTTGTTCTAAATCTTGATCTTGTTCTTAATCTTGATCTTGTTCTAAACCTTGATCTTGTTCTAAACCTTGATCTTGTTTCCAGGATCCTCAGTTATTTATCAATAAATGGCTGGAGTCCCAGACAAGGGATTTGAAGACAATGACCGATGTTACTGGAAACCCTGAGGAAGAACGACGAGTAGATTTCTACTATCAACCCTGGGCAACAGAGGGAGTTTGCAGGTATATACTACTTTAGAGATTACTAGGCGATCTTAGATAAGCTACTAATTAGCTTTATTATTAATATAATGTATATACTACTTCAGATATTACAGGATAGCTAAGATAAGTTACTAATTAGCTTTATTATTAATATAATGTATATACTACTTCAGATATTTCAAGATAGCTAAGATAAGTTACTAATTAGCTTTATTATTAATATAATGTATATACTACTTCAGATATTACAAGATAGCTAAGATAAGTTACTAATTAGCTTTATTATTAATATAAGGTATCAAATTGTATTTAAGGATAGGAAAGATTAAATTAAACTTAGTTAAATTGTATCATAAGTAAATATTGAATAAGACTTAGATGAATTATATTTAAAATGAATCTAGATTGATATTGAGGTCTAGTTTAGGCTTAACAGAAAATACATTTATTCTTTATCTTCAGATATTTCTATGGAAAGATTCAGCAGAAGAGAGCTGAGCTGGATGCGAGCTTGGGAATAAGAAACGCATAGATCGTGTTCAATGTCCAAGAAACGACAAATATTGCTGTATCAAATCTGTATTAAACTATAGTTTCAAATATCCTAGCTCAGGTATTCTGTATCCTATTTTCTTTATCCTTTAGCCTGTATCTTTTTTATCCTATAATGATGTATCCTATTTTCCTGTATCCTACATTCTGATTCTATTATCCTTCATCCTAGTTCTAATATTCTGTTCCTGTATCCTGTATCCTGATTCTAGTATCCTGTATCCTGATTCTAGTATCCTGTATCCTGGATCTAGTATCCTGGTTCTATTTCTAGTATCTGTATATTTGATCTAGTATCCTGTACTCTGAAATCATTTAACGATCATTCCCTCAATCTAAACTATCGTACCAGCAGTTCAATATTAAGAAGAAATATCTCTCAACAGTTTAATGTATTGTAACGTATACTAGTAATGTATACTAATTGTATACTTATTTTCTACTTTTTTTTAAGTAATATTAAATATGCTTACAAATTGTAACCTATGGTATCTTTTTATTGTTTAATTGTAACATTAATTCAATTTGGAAAAAGGAATAAATTGTATTTCGACATAATTTGGGTGTTTGTTGATTTGTCAGTAAATCTGCCATTTTAAATTTTATTTTTTTTCCACTGAGCGACTTTTCTTAAAACCACTCAGTGACTCAAAACCAGTGCTTAGGATCCGGATCCGTTGGATCCGCGAGATTTTGGCTTCCTGGATCCGGATCCGCAAAAATATGCGGATCCACGGATCTTGATCCAAGGGGTAAATTATCAATCAAAAATTGCAAAAAAAAAACTTTTTACCAAATCTGAATTTAAAAAAAAGAGATTATGAAAATTTCCTCATTTCTGAATGGTTACTCAATTTTTAGAATAAAAATAAGCGAAATTTTTTTTTTTTAAGTTCGAAAATTTTTTTTGTTTAAAAAATTCAGTAAATCTTAAAAAATGACCTGGATCCTGATCCATTTTTTTCCAGTGTGGATCCAGGATCCGGATCCGCATCAAAATTAAATGGATTCCAAGCACTGCTCAGAACATTTATTATCCTCGACATCTTTTATATAAAGCAGAACGTTGAAATTGTATATTTAAGTTACCTACAGTCGGTCAAATCTCAACATTTAGAGAAATTAAACAAAAATAATTAATTTAAATTCGCAAAGGAACTGAGTTTTTGCTACAAACTTAAATATTCTTATCCCTAAATCTTGGCAGCCCAATGTCGTAGACCTTAGATATTTCAAACTATTAATTCTGTTAGATCAAATAATCTAAGTTTGAAATATCACTGGTTAAGTTGCAGAGATACATAAATAAGAAAATTTGAGGTTTGTGGCAAAAACTCAATTCCTTTCCCCGGGCTATCTTAAAATAGATGACATATCCCTATGATCAACAGTTTCGGCGCAGAAGATCGTTTTCTGTTAAGTTTTGAACGATATTTGAAATACACGAAACACTGTTCAGTGTGCACCCTTCAAACCGAAACGTTTATAGAAATTTGATTGATCGTTTTGACACAAGGTCCTAAGGCAACGCGAGGTATTTGAGCTAGTACACGGCTTCCAGACGAATTTGTGTTTTTTTGGGTGTTATTAACTTAGCAAGGTCCATAGTCACAGGGATCCAAAGGTTTCAGCTCTGAAGTAAAAACCTATGAGAATTTTGCCAACTTCTTCTTCGGAACTAAAGCTGAAACCTAATGCTTTATAGTTCTAAAATATCTAATCTAGGGCTACAGAAAAATATTAGAAAATTTTTTAGCAGCCTGGATCAATGAGTAGTTCTTAGTAGTTAATTTGGATTATCTCCCAAGATTTAACGCTGAAATATGCCACATAATACTCGAAAAAAACCTAGTCTTTTCTGCATACAAATTTTTATATAAGGCTTATACAATTTTTTAAAAATGATTATTTTTTTTAAATTCACTGATTATTCCTGAAAATTGCAATTGAGAGCCATATACAGAGCGTCCCATATCAAATTAGATTATCTCCAATCTTTAACGCCAAAATACGCTTATAATACTCGAAAAATCTAGCATTTTCTGCAAAATAATTTCTATTAGTCTTATTAAATTTTTCAAAATGATTCATTCTTCTTAAATTTTTTCATTTGTCCCTCAAATCGCAATTTAGACCCATTGACGGTCTAATTTGATGTGGGACACCCTGTACGATCCGAAATGATGTGGGACACCATGTACATTGCGATAGATGAAACTTGAACTTGATGTTTGGGAAAAGAAGTTTCTGCAAGAGAAATTCATAAAATATTCAAGCTGGGAGAACAGATATTATTGAAAATGTTTAATTGCTACAGAAAGACGAAAAGGAAACTTTTTAAGGAGGGTTTTCATTACTCTTTCCTTATCCTTCACTCTTAAACTCTTCCTTATATATATTTACTTCAAACCTTTCATTTTCCAAATTACATTAATTATCATTTCTTTAAACCCCGTAATATATATCTTAGATCGTTTTTAACTAATCCCAACCCTACTCTATCACAAGAGTCAATTCACTTTTGTTCTTATTTCGCCAACAACTTTGCAAACATCATCAGGAGTTCGTCCTTTAAAATTACAGAAATAAGCAAAAAAAAAAAATGATTTTAGTCAATGAATATAAAAAATATCAAAGCATAAACAAGAAAATTTGTAACTTTACAACAGGGAATTTTTCAAATTTTTCTCTAGGGGGGGGGGGTAGAATTTCGTTGTTAATGAAAGCATTGCGAACTCTGTTTGCATTTAATCGTTTTTCAAAAGGTTTCTTTTAGTTTTCCGCTTTTAGTTTACATAACGAGTTCTTAGAATATTAAATTTTTTATATTGTAGTCTTACATTGTAGTAATTGTAGGGACCGAACTGAAATCGATTGCCCGATGTTTACAAAGCGGGACGGATATTAAGAGGCCACGGATAACCAAGAATTTAGGAATGAAGTTGATCGGAGAATTAGAAAGCTAAACTACGGGTTCACATGAGCACTAGATCCGACCTTCGTTGCTTAGTAGATTTATCCACAAACCGAGGAAACCAGCTGAAACTAATCATACAGTTAGTTTTACTCCTCAGGGGTTAGGAGAGCCAGGAGAATAATGTGTTCTCAACAAATATTCGTGAAAGATTCCGTAGTTCTTTTGAGTTCAGATTAATTGTAAATAAAATTTATTTAAACATGAACCCAGGGAAGATCTCTCCGCAGGCCGGAGAAGAGTTGAACCCGGAGTTCAAAGAGGATTTCTTCCACCCAGAGTTCAGAGAATGTAACACTTGGAGATATTTTTCCGAGTGGAGATATTCCCGTCAGTTTTCTCAGGTAGGGAAATGAATATGAGTATAGAATTTATTGACGAAACCCCTCCCGTTTCCCCTAGTTTTCACAGTGTTTCTATTAATGAATTTATCTGAAAATCTGATTGGGAAACTTGGCAGAACCACGGAAATGTCTTTAGCTGGGAATTTTAATTTGAGTTGGTAAACTTTTATTCCAGGCCGACCTGGGTTTCCAATCTAAAACACATATGTAATTAATATTTGTTAACCTCTCTGTAATACAGAAACCTGTAAGACACGTGCTAAAAGGATGTGAACATTTGTATTATGTATTAAAAAAGGGGAAAATAGTCACACCGGCCCTTTAAAGTATATAAGGATTTGCAAGATTAACCCCAAGGCCTGGCTACACTTCACAGTCGATCAGGTCTTAATAGTCTGTTTTTTGTCTGTCTGAATCCAATAAACGGCTGAACCAGTCAAGCCCAATTTTTTTGTGGCAACTGACATGACCCCCAGGAAAAGTTTTAAGTCAAAGATGAAATATGTGGATATTTATTTTTTTTTGAAAATGCATACGAGATAGTTTAAATATGTCGAATATGTCTAGAATAACCATGAAATCTATACATCAGTCTAGAGAGCCATATAGTTTCAATGTCCAATCAAGTATTTTTAAGATCAATATCGGCAGTACGTATTGGCGTTAATGGTAAAAGTGATCTACATGCAGTTATGAGAATCATAAATGCAACTTTTGAGACCGGGCCCATTTTTTCAGTGTCACCATACGATTATCCGTGGTTTGACTTTACCAAGTCATTTAAATTTGGATAAATGATGTCAAAACTGTACATATAATGTTTCTAGCTTTAGTTCGGAAAAACTACTTTACAAAATCCTGAAAGACTTTCCAGAATCTATCTATCTTAGACCACAGCTAGTACATTATTGTAATAACTTGTTTTTTTTTTCTATGACTCGTTAAAGGCACATCAAAATACTGTATAATAAAAAATTAGGTTCAAAACTTTAGTCTGCAAAATTTTGCCTTTATTAAACTATGCAAAATAATATGAGGAAAAACTAACCAAAAAACGACCGTTATTCATTTTTTTTTTCTCAAAGTTAAAATTTGACTAAGTGAAAGGAAATCAAAGGTTTAGAATAAACTATTTTTAAATTTTTAAAATTGTCAGTTTTTTATGGAACCATATTAAAAGTAAAAGAAGTAAATGCCAATCACGATTCACATCTTGATTTTCAGCCGGGAAATTAAAATTTAGTTTTCCTAATTAAATCTTAATAAAATGAAATTACAATAAACATTTAATAAACATGGATCGCGAAGCTCTAACTTATAAAGGGACTGTAAGCGTAATTTCCAGTGAACCTCCATGCAAAGATGACACTGAACGATTTACAACAGTACCCTTAATGATTTTGTTTATATATACTGTTTATTTTCATTTTTGTTTTGTTTTTCAACAAAAGTGGGTTGCGCATTTCTTGCTTATAAGAAAAACTGAAAAAAATCACAGAATAAACACTTGTCCAGCCAGAAAAACGTCGTTATCTTCAACATTTTTGATCAGATTAAGGTTTCAACGGTACCGTTGTAAATCGGAGATTGACATCTTTGCATGGAGGGTCACTTAAAATTACGCTTACAGTCCCTTTAAATGAATCTAGGAGAGTATACTAATGTGATAATTGATCATGTGTAATTAAATAAACCTGTATAGTGTGTATACAAACTTAGAGCTTTCTAAAAATCAAAGACTTGAAGAAGTAATTATAGTTTTATAATTATCATCAATATTGTATACATACATAAATATTTTTAATAAAGTAAATTATCCAGTTCATGTCCCGAGTCCAGACAAAAATATGTAATATAATAGTTCAAAGACAGGACATTTCATAGATGTACTTTTCAAATACAGGACATTTCATAGATTAACTTTTAAAAGACAGGATATTTGATAGATATACTTTTTAAAGACAGGACATTTTATAAATGAACATTTCATAGATGTATATTTCAAAGACAGGACATTTTACAAATACGTTCATTTCATAAATACTTTAGTTCATAGATAAAACATTTCATAAATACGTTCATTCATAGATTAAACATTTCTTAAATACGTTGATACATAGATAAAACATTTTATAGATACGTTAATTTCATGAATACTTTAGTTCATAGATAAAACATTTCATAAATACGTTCATTCATAGATAAAACATTTCATAAATACGTTCATGCATAGATAAAACATTTCATAAATACTTTAGTCCATAGCTAAAACATTTCTTAAATACGTTAATAAATAGATAAAACATTTCATAGATAGGTTCATTCATAGATAAAACATTTCATAAATACTTTGGTTAATAGATAAAACATTTCATAAATACGTTCATGCATAGATAAAACATTTCATAAATACTTTAGTCCATACATTAAACATTTCTTAAATACGTTAATACATAGATAAAACATTTCATAGATACGTTCATTCATAGATAGGACATTTTATAAACAGGCTTTAATTGACAGGACATTGACAGCAAATATTAACATCAAATAGATTGTCAAGTACAATAGTAACTTGACAATCTATTTGATAAACATAATACAGATTTGAATTTTTGGATTTTTTTTTAAACGGTCCATAGTAAATAATAACACTGGTCATAATCTAGAATAGCATAATTTATTTTGATCTAAATCCCTGAAAATCAGATGGAAGATTTTAGATTTGTTTTGTTAGATATCTGAGAGTAGCGGTACAAGTGCAGGAACAGTTCTTCATCCCTCCCAACTATCCTCTGTAGAGGATTTATCTATACTAGAGCAGGAGTTTTCTTATGAGGAGAAGTTCAGAGTTGACCGGCGCAAGCTAGAACAGATGATCAATGGAAAAGGAGATGAGATAGGTAAACCTTATACGAAGAAAAATTGAATTTTTGCCACAAACTCTGTTTTTCTAATCCCTATATATTTGCAATCCAATGTGGTAGACCTTAGATATTTTAAACCAGGAATTCAGTAAGATCAAATGATTAGAGTTTAAAATATCAAATGTTCACAACATCAGGATGCAAAGATATAGGAATTAGAAAATCAGAATTTTTGGCAAGAATTATTTCTTAAGTATGAATTCAAGTCAATTTTAGAATACACCCTTGATGATAATTAATACACATGAAGCAAAGTTCATTTCAATTTATTTTTTAACAAAACTCCCTTTTCTGAAGAGCTTGTTGATAAGAATAAGTTTGCCTGTTTCTTCTCTTGTGTAAAGAATAAATTAAAGAAGTTAAATTGTAATTTTGAAGTGGTGTCAGTAATTTTGAACAAAATATTATGTTTGCTTGATGTTGTGACTAGATTGGTTATGTTATATTAAACATTAAAACAGTAAGAAAAGTAAGAAAGGATGCAGAAGATATTAACAGAAAATAGCAAGAAATAACACAGTTAGACAAAATCTTAGAACCAGGAAGAAATATGAACATTTAGAAAAAATGACAAACGAACAACAAACGAATGAGTTGGCAAAGGATAAGGAGAGAAATGAAAACAACTGAATCATTTATAATTAAAGGAAATGAAAATAAAAATTATAGAACGATGTAAACAAAGCATTGCTGAGCTAAAAACATGATAGTTTGGTTGCAAAAATTTGTTCAATGCAAATCACGAATTTTTAAGGCTTAATTTGAAGCGTGAGCACTGCACGTTAGGGTGTTTACTGATTTGTCGGAAGTGTAAAAATGTTTGGTTTGGCACCGGAGAAAATCTTGGTCAAAGACGACCTTGCAGCGGAGTAAGATCATTTGTTTTGGTTCACAAGCATACATACAGGGTGTCCCACGAAACATGACAGTTGGTGAATAGTTTAGAATGTCATTTTCCATAATTTGTAAGTTGTTTGATACCAAAGATCAATAAAAGTATTATATGGGAGTCATGTTATATTAAAATTGATTTCAAAGTAAAAGATAATGAAGCCAAAGGATGTTTTAACTAAAAATAACGATTTATTAAATGTCATGTTTCGTGGGACACCCTGTAGTTCAATCATTTGTTTACTCTTTACTAAATATTACAGATGGAAGCGCACCTAGAGAAACAGCAGAAAAGTTCTTCGAAAGAGTTGGATTGGAGACTAATACTTGTATCATCTGGCCCTCCAGGCTCAAGGTTGGAGCTAAGAGTAAAAAGGATCCTCATATCAGGGTTGGAGGAGACAGGGATGGAGTCAAGAGAGCTAGAAGATTAATAATTGAAACTTTGGATACTAGATGTCTCAGGTAACAATTCTATTCTATTCATGCAAACACTTCTTTTCTATTCTATTCTTAGTAGCAATTCTATTCTATTCTATTCTTAGTAGCAATTCTATTCTATTCTATTCTTAGTAGCAATTATATTCTATTCTATTCTTGGTAAGAATTCTTTTTTATTCTTCTTGGTACCAGTTACATTCTTGATAACAATTTTATTTACACTTAGATTGTTTTTTTTTCTTATTCCTATAATTATGATTTTTAGTCGAGTAACTTTAAAGATGGATGTTAGTTTCACGGATCATTCGCATATTATTGGACGCGGAGGAAGTACAATTAGGAAAGTTATGGATGAGACGAAATGTCATATTCACTTCCCTGATAGTAACCGCAGCAGTTCAGTGGAGAAATCAAACCAGGTTTCAATAGCAGGTGGAGTTAATGAAGTTGAACGAGCCAGAGAACTCATCCGAGGTCTTACTCCAATAATATTCCAGTTCGACCTTCCTGTCCAATCCAACCTGCTCCCACACACCGACGGCAGCAACGTGTTCATCAAGACGATCCAGGACCGGTATTGTGTCCTTGTCTCCGTCAGGCAGGTTGGAAAGAATCTCACGTCCTTCGTGTCTGTCAAGGGTTATGAGAAGGACTATGAGAGAGTGAAGGAAGGAACTCTGCTCCTGATCAAGAAAATGTTAACATGTCCTGTTGACGAGGTTTCAGTGTATCTCTATATACATATCTCCACACACCACCAACATACTGTATTTGGTGACAACAATTCAAACCTTCTGGCGATAGCAGAGAAAACCGGGACACGGATAAACTTCCAGGATACTGTAAACACACCCAGTTCCTCATCAAGACGAGGAGGTGTCCGGATATCTGGAAGTGTTGACGGAGTTTTCTCCGCTCGTCAAATCCTGGTCGGATTCCTTCCCGTGATGCTCAAGTTTGATATCAGTGGTGATGCTTTTATCGAAGATTGGAAGCTTCTTAAAGTTCAAACCGAGAAGGATGTGTCTATCACCATAAAACCTAGGGTTAAACAGGAAACACAAACGGTACTGATTAGAACAGAAGAGAAGAATTCACAAGGTTTATACACTGCTAGAAACCAGATTCTAGTGTTCTGTCAGGACCTGGAGACCTTCCCGGTGTCTTCAGACAAATCAACTCATCTCATGCAGAAACAAACTATTCATCCTACTCATCCCAAACCTGGAGATTCCATGATTCCAACACAGAATTCTATATGTATTCCCTCTGCTAGAGACGTGATAAACCTGTCTCAGAACCCTGACTACAATCCTTCCCAAAAAGATGTGAATATTACATCCTTTAATCCTTCTTATAATGGTCTGGGTAGGCTAATGCAGCCACATAAAGTGCAGATTCAAGCTATCCTCAATTCTTCTCGGAGTAAAGATCCTGTCTGGAGATCTGGAGAACCTCATCTTAGAAATTCAATCCAAGGAGTAGGAGTAGGATGCTCTCTACTCTCTGCTACTCCTAGAGCAATTATTGGAATAAATAAGGATCAGGTGATTGTTGACAACTTTTTTTTTACTTTGGCACTCTGAAATTATACTTATACAAAAATTCTGAACCTTATTTTGTCCTAAGAAATAGTAAGAATTTTTTTGTCAAGTGCAAACTTGATCCCTCTTCTAAACTTGCTAATTAATCATAGTTAAATTTTCCTGTAACATTTAGGAATTGTTTTTACATATTATGTTCAATTATATTTATTGAGTCTTTGCAACAAATTTAAATGGTCTAATTCCTATATATTTGCAACCTGTTGATGTAAACTTAAAATTATTTTATCTTACAAAATCAATATTTTTAAATATATAAGATCTACGACATTGGGATTAGAAAGTCAGAGTTTATAGCAAGGGCTCAATTTCTTTTTTTAGTTTTTTTCATTCTTCATTCTTTAAGCATTAAATAGTACACGTTGTACTTTACACAAGCAGATAAAAGCGTCGGAATTTTTTAAAGTTTAGAAGATTTTCTATAAAGTCAGTTCACATTCACCACCTTACACCCTCAGCTAGCTGGTCATAGTTTTAACATCAAATTCACCAAATTCCTGGTAAAGAAATCCAGGAAGCGTAATTATTTTACGCCGCAAAAATTCAATTATTTTCCCCCCTCATAATATCATAAGCCGCTCCTTTTCTTGTTTGTTGAATATTCTAGAATCTGGGAAGTTCAAGGGAGAGTTTAGAGGAGAAAGATGATGTGGTTGGGGACATGGCCATTTATCTTAATCAGTTCTCAATCAACAAGAGTTAAGTTTTTAGAAAAATTTATTTTTAGGAATTCCCGTCAATATCTGAATATGAATTTCTCTTAGTTCCTTGATTTTTATCCCAGCCTAAAAACTGATTAATTACAATATTGAATTTGTCTGTCCAGTCATGTAAGGTATAGTATTTGTAAACATATATAAGGGTTAAAACCTGGTCATTATGTGAATATTGTCTACATATTTGACGCTTTTCCTCTGATTTTGAAAAATTCACATTGCTATTTTAAATTTTTTTTTAAAATGATTCCTATCATAAGAAGCATCAGACTGTATTATTACTTGTTACTTGTTTCGATGACTGCAGAAGACCGGGTAGTCCATAAACGCAGACTTCTTTTCTTGTCCTCGCTGTACAGAGATCGATCAAAATTGAATTCTGTGCTTTACATATAGCTCTCTGTCCCGGGCGCATATTAATTTTCTCAAGTCCGGTTTTGAAGGTATTCAAGGTTCTAGAATTCTTTAGTTCAGTGGGCAATTCTAGGTAGAAACTTCTCGGTTAGTACAGAAATTTTCCTGATGTCGGTGTTGCTCCTGGAAGGTATTAAATTCATGGTGTACGCCGTACTTCTTGTAGGTCTGACAACATTTTCCCCGACTATATGTCAACCAGGTTGAAAAATTAACATTGTCGATCCCACGCAGGATTTTAAATACGCACCATATCGAATTTTTTTTACCTTTTTCAGCTAGAGTTTTCATTTATTTGGTTTAGAGGAGGGGGAGGTTACGAAAGAGGGCCCGATGGATTAAGGAGCGTAGATGGAGCAGGACGGATGATGGAGGGATCAGGACGGATGTTAGAGGGATCAGGACGGATGTTGGAGGGATCAGGACGTATGATGGAGGGATCAGGACGAATGTTGGAGGGATCAGGAAGGATGATGGAGGGATCAGGACGGATGTTGGAGGGATCAGGACGTATGATGGATGGGTCAGGACGGATGATTGAGGGATCAGGACGGATGTTGGAGGGATCAGGACGGATGTTGGAGGGATCAGGACGTATGATGGATGGGTCAGGACGGATGATGGAGGGATCAGGACGGATGATGGAGGGATCAGGACAGATGTTGGAGGGATCAGGACGGATGTTGGAGGGATCAGGACGGATGATGGATGGGTCAGGACGGATGATGGAGGGAGCAGGACGGCTGGGGAGGGATCAGGACGGATGATGGATGGGTCAGGACGGATGATGGAGGGAGCAGGACGGCTGGAAGTCTGCTCCGGGTGGAAAGACTATGAAGCTAAACGATTGCTGGCATCTAAAGCCAAGTCCTTGAAACCTACTGGAGAAGAACGTACTCCTACTCAGGCCTGGGCTGGGTTAGGATTCTCTAGCTCTATGCCGGATGCAGTTCTCAGGTAGATTTAACTTTCAAACTCGAACTTTATATATTGCACACCTCCATTAGATTTTAATATAACGAACATCTTGATTATCAAAAATTTAAAAGATCTATAAGTAAAAACATGATTTGTACCTTCTCATCCGTTGGATGTGTAACTGTACTGTTCGCTTTTAATTTGAAGGACTACTGCTGCAGTGTAAAGAATCTTTTAACTTTCTTAAAATCTCACAAACCTAGAACAGAATCTCACAAACCTAGAATAGAATCGCACAAACCTAGAATAGAATTATTCAAACCTAGAATAGAATCTCAAAAATTCCTAGAATAGAATCTCACAAACCTAGAATAGAATCGCACAAACCTAGAATAGAATCTCACAAACCTAGAAAAGAATCGCACAAACCTAGAATAGAATCTCACAAACCTAGAAAAGAATCNAGAAAAAAGTATCGCACAAACCTAGAATAGCATCTCACTAACCTAGAATAGAATCGCACAAACCTAGAATAGAATAGCACAAACCTAGAATAGAATCGCACAAACCTAGAATAGCATCTCACAAATTCCTAGAATAGAATCTCACAAACCTAGAACAGAATCTCGCAAACCTAGAAGAGAATCGCACAAACCTAGAATAGAATCTCACAAACCTAGAAGAGAATCGCACATACTTAGAATAGAATCTCACATACCTAGAATAGAATCTCACAAACCTAGAATAGAATCTCACAAACTTAGAATAGAATCTCAAAAACCTAGAATAGAATCGCACAAACCTAGAATAGAATCTCACAAATCTGGAATAGAATTTCACAAACTTAGAATAGAATCTCACAAACCTAGAATAGAATCGCACAAACCTAGAAGAGAATCGCACGAACCTAGAATAGAATCTCACAAACCTAGAATAGAATCTCACAAACCTAGAATAGAATCGCACAAACCTAGAAGAGAATCGCACAAACCTAGAATAGAATCGCACAAACCTAGAATAGAATCACACAAACCTTGAAGAGAATCGCACAAACCTAGAATAGCTGAAAAGTTTTATTAGGCTAAAACAAACTTCTATTATGAAAACAGTAAAAAAACGTTTATGTATGAAAACATATTGATATGTACAGGGAAAATTAAATATTTTCCTTATTATTTAATACATCGTTTTATTTAAGGAATTGAGTCTTTGCCACAAACTCCAATCTTTTAATCCCTATATCTTTGCAATCTTATGGTGTAGACCTTTACTATTTCAAACTTAGATTATCTGATCATAGTTCATTCAGAGTTTAAAATATGTAAGTTTTCGACATTGGGGTGCAAAGATAGAGGAATTACAAAATCGAAATTTGTGCCAAAACTCAATTTCTTTATCCTTCTATTTCAAGTTGAAAAATTATGCAAATAGTGTTCACATGCCTTAATTAATTAGTTTTTACCGAGTTTGTTTTCAGAGAAAAGCGAAGAAACGAGCAGAGCTATAGAATGAACCAAACCAGAGAAATATCCTCTAACTCAGATTGGTTTTGCCAATCCAACACATTCGAGTCACTCGACGAGGTCAATGAACCGGTCGACGATCTCACCATTCTTCTTCTTCGGCATGGGCACTCGAAATATATCGATACTTTCCAGCGGCATGAGATCGATCTTGAAACATTTATTAACCTGACTGACGAGGAGCTCAAGGAGATCGGGATAACAACTTTCGGTAAAATAATTTTTTAATTAATGGCGTTTGGAAAACACTCCATTTTATCTTCTTTCGCTACTAAGTCAATGCCAGAGGCTATTTTTCTTTTTAAAGTGTTAGAATTAAAATCATTGGCCGCCTCTTTACTAATTTTTAAAGGCTTTCTTTAATTTTTATCAATCTGTAATACTTACTTGTATACTTGGAGAGTAGTTGATGTAGCCCCCGCTAGGGGCATTTAGCAACATCTTTTCCACACAGTCTTCTTCTGGAGATCCTGTCATATTCTCAGTTCATCAGTTCATCTCAGAAGAAGATAAATATTGGTCTAGATTTCTTTTAAATATCTTGATATTTTGAGACTCTCTAATTGTGCTGGGTAAATCCTTGACGATTCTTTCCATAAGTTTGCACACTACAGAAGTTAATGACACAGGCCTGTAATTACTGGGTTTGGATTTTACACCTTTCTTAAAGATTGGAACTACAATTGCATCTTTCCAGTCTTGGGGAACTATCCCTTCTTGCATTGATTTTCTAAATAAGCAGGCTAGAGGTACAGATATAGAATTACTAACTTCCTGTAGTAATGTAACAGTTATTCCAGTTAAAATACTAAATGAATAAAGAATAGAATTTAATGGGGGTGGTCTTAGAGTTTAAAATTTGGTTTAATGAGGTACTTTTCTGTTTCTATCCAATGTTTCTTAACAGAGTATTTTAAGAAATACAGAGAATTTTCTTGGTCTGTTAGTTTTGATTTTTTCCTTTGAAAGAAACATCGAATCAGCATAGAAATTATTCATTCTCCAAATCAAATCAAATCAAATCAGGCTTTTAGGGATGTCCATACACCCACACACCAAAATTTGAAGTGACTATACTAAATCAATAATGAAGTGAGGTCTTATTTCTTATCGCTACAGAGTTTAATTGTAACAGAATTTAATTGCAATTGCAACTTCGAGTATTGATTGCAATCGTTACTCTGTGCAGTTAATGCGTTGCTTGCAATTGATTTTGATTGCAATCGTAACAGATTTTAAACGTTACTGAATGCAACTGATTTAATTGCAATTTGTTCGATTGCAATCGTTAATGATTGCAAATGAGTTTGACTGCAACTGAGTTGAATGCAACCAAGTTTGATTGCAAAAATCCCCCAAATCATAATCATAGCTTTGATAATAAAACATTTGCTTACTGCTATATCTTTTAATCTTTTATTTAGGAGGAAGGAAAAAACTGTTACTCCTGGCCTCCAAGATCAAGAGCAGCAGTGGCTGACTTCAAAGATCATTTAATAAATAACTGTTATTTTGTTGAAAATATTAAATGTACTGCAGGGTAACTCACAAAAAATGAGACTTCAGAGTTGATCCGTAGTATAACTCTAATTCTTACTGGGTAGCACTTAAAATTAATAATGTTTTCTTAAATCCTTTTAAATGTCTTTTTGTGAATTTTAAATTTTTAGGTCTTTTCTGAATGCATCAATCGTGGCCCATATTTGTCTTTCATCTCAATTTGAAAAAATTCTTAACAATGCTAAAAAGATTATTCTAAACTCTACCTTTTATTTGTTTGAGAAGAAAGTTTATTATATCTTTTTCTTTTTTCTTTTTATCTTCTTAGATTTAAATTTTTAATCAATACTTTTTGTTTTTCAACTTTTATAAAAATTATTAATTTTATTTTTAATATTAATATTTATACATACATTATAAATATTACAGGCCTTGGTGTGAAAAGATGTACATATTTATATAGTTGGATTTTAAAAAGTTTATCATAATTTAAATATTTTTTCTTATCTTATAAATTACATTTAATGATGTTATGTTTGAAATTCAATTGTTATATATGTTTAAATAAAACTGTTATACATAATATATATTAACCAACAGATTTCACAGATTAAAAAAAAGTAAATTTTGTATACAAATTCTCTAGCAGTTATATTATTTAAAAAAATTTAATATTGCTTTTAACAGACATTTTGTTAGGGGGGGGGGCAAGATGAAAATTCCCCCCCCCCCCCTAAAAATGTGTGTTATACTCAAACAATAGAAAACTAACGTTACCAACCGGATATTCAGTAAGTCAACACATCTGATATGAAACAAAAAAAGATATCTATTCATTATTCATCCATAAAGCAAAAAGAAATGCCTTTCATTAAAAAATTATGACTTTAAATGAAATTTTTTTTTTAATATGACACATCACACAATTTTTGCAGTGAACATGAAGGATTTAATTTTGAATGGTTGTACTACACCATTAAAGCTTTATCATAATAAGTGGCAGAACTTTACCCCCTTTCCCAGGAATTCATGAATCGCTAAGTTGAAAAACATTCTGGACTTCTTGCCCACCCCTCACAAGGGTGGGGCAAGCCCTCTTAAGGGAGGGGCATGACCCCCCCTAACCTAGCCTTGTCCCCTGGATTTAAAAGTTGCAATTATTCTGTCGCAAAACTCAAAATGTCGCTGATTTTTTGTTTAAATTGGTGGATTTACAAAGCACATACTTTTTTCACAGGCAATATTTTTTCATTTGACTTTCCCTGGGATAATGTGAGTTGCCACAAAAAATTAGTGCCCTATTGATTCAGCTGTTTTGACTTTCAGATTATAATAAAAGACAAATGAAGAAGGTTTACTGGACTGGACTAATCTTCACATGATCCTTCTACAAGCCTTCCGTACATTTGGAAAAATAGCAAGTTGATTTCTTCTTGTGGATTTGATTTGATTGGTGGATTTCCAAAATTGGTCTGAAGGTACAGCATATTATATTTAACAATTGTTTCGTGCGCTATATTGAATACAGGGAATACTGGTTGATCACAAATTTTAAATTTTAGATGATGATATCTCAAATATTTGGAGCACTCCGCTCATCTATATATATACTTTGCTTGTCCATCTGGGTGTTTGTCTGTGAGTCCGTTTGTGTCCACTAAACGCCAAAACTGTTAAACCGTCCCATACCCTTTCAGGGGGAGGTACTGTTCCCCCCCCACCTCCTTGTGACCGCAATGCAAAGATTTATTTGGAGGGGGGGGGGGATTGGAATTTGTCGTTGCAGCCCCCTTAATAGGTATAAAGAGGTGAATCATGAAAGAAAGAAAACAGATTGAATATATGCCCTCTGTCCACTGTCCAGGCCCGTAGCTGGGAATTTAAAGGGGGGGGGGGGGGGCACAAAATAAACAAAAAAAAGTGCAATGTTGCAAAATTGTCGAAGGTGCGCAGCTTAAAACTGAAGATAAAACATTAAATTATTCAGACTTTTTAAAACTGAATTTTACAGGGTGTCCCAAAAAACATGGGAATTCAGTGACGAATTCGATATCGTCTTTGTTATACATTAGCATTGTGATACCTGATTTCAACAGCCATATATTATTATGTCTGCTAGAGTTTATTTTATGAAAACGGTAAATGGCTGTAAAGATGTGTCTATAATGTCTCCGCAAGATGAACAGTGAAGACCGACAAGTTTACTCTGTTTGTATACTGTAATTTTCTTGTTTTACTAAGTACAACCGTATGCAGTCAAAACATAAACAAACAAATTGTAAACATAGCAGACGAAAATCTTATGGATTACAGCTTTCTCAGTAGGTATCACTATACTAAATCAAAGAATTTGTTAAAAAGACGATATCGAATTCGTCACTGAATTCCCATGTTTATTGGGACACCCTGTAGATAACTACAACACCTGCAAGCTGGAACATTCGAGTTCAAAGAAATTCTATCTTTAATTTTTGTTTCAATATTGTTATTTTTTTGCTCTTTAAAATACGGTTGATAAAAATCATGAAATCAATATAAGAAGGGAAAAGGTAAGCTTCTCTGTTCTCAAATTTAGATGCTATTCTGTTTGAACTATAATTGTTCATTTGAACGTTTGTTCGTTTTATCTACATTGCACGTGGTACCTTCGTGAGTTAGAGTTATATTTCAAACAACCAATAGTTCAAACGAGTATGTTTCATGCTCATCTGAACTATTTTTTGTTCATTTGAACTACTCTTCTTTTAACGATATTAACATATAAGGTTTAAATGAACCTTATATAACGTACAAATGAACATAAATATAGTTCAAATGAACAAAAAAAATACCCAGTAAACATTTTTAACTGAGCCAAAAAAAATTGTTCAAATGAGCCAAAAAATATTTCTAAAGAGCCAAAAATAGTTCAAATGAGCAAACGAATAGTTAAATGAGCAAAAACAATAATATTCAAATGAGCAAAAAAAATAGTTCAAATGAGCCAATAAATAGTTCAATTATGAGCCATAACAATATAGTTCAAAATGAGCAAAAAAATAGTTGCTCATTTGAACATACATATCTTTTTGATTCATTTGAATATATTTTTTTGCTCATTTGAACTACTTTTTGCTTATCTGAACTATTTTTTTGCTCATTTGAACTATTTTAATGATCATTGAACTATCTTTATGATAATTTGAACCAATTTGCAAAAATGTAATAAGAAAATTCGCAATTTTCAGTTCTGGTATAATTTTTACGGAAAAATATGGTTTTCAGTGGTTCTTAAGCTGGTTTCAAATGAACAGCGTATATTTAATACTAATTAGAATATATACTAAGAATTGAAAAGAACTAGATAATTTAAATAACTTTTCCATTAAAATTATACCAGAAAGAAAAATTGCGAATTTTCTTTTTACAATTTGGCGAATGTACGTTCTGTGATTCAATCTTTAAAAATTTTAGATTTCGATAGAAATAATTTATTCATACATTTTTGCTTTTCTGAACTTTTGATTTTGAGAGAAAAAAAGGTTCGCGGATTTTTTTAGGCCAATCGAAGTACTGAAAAAATTACTTAAATTTTCAAAAAATATTGAAAATACGCCAGGAGATTTGCACAAAAAAGGGACAACTTTTTACCAGGCTCTGCAAATCACACTTTTTTTTGACTCATCCCTGTATATATATATACAGTGAAACCCTTAATAACGAATACATCGAAAGAATTCATCAAATGTCGTATTCTTCACTTTCTGATAATGGAATGTTGCAGATATTTAGTATTTTAATTAAATGATATGGAACTCTTCAAAACTGGTCCCGCATATTAATGGCTATTTATTTATTTTCGCAAATACTTTTTAAAAGAGATTTTTTTGTCCCCAGGACATGATCGGGTTGTTACGTTCAAATCTCGGAATTTTTTCTATTGCGAAAGTTTGGTGTTGTCTGGGTTTTTATATTGATCTACCAGGGGTTGTAATCTGGCAGCACATTCATCCATCCACGCTTCATTCATTCTGAGAAGAGGGTTGACAAGATTCCAGCTGCCTAAGATTCTTCTTAGGCCTGAGAATATAGAGTGCAGGAATCCTTCTGATATACTGGAATGAGGCCCGGGTGCCGTACTGATAGGAAACATCACACTCATTGCTCCCTAACATCTGTAAGCCCGGATTGGATACCCCCAGGTACCTATAGCTGGCAACCATAGACTCTCCCTGCTTGTCCACCATTCCTCTCTTCATCGTCATTCACTTGGATCAATCCCACTTGAAGCTTCTTTCTTGTTGAGCAGAAAGCACGCACCCTTTCGCTGCGAGAGTTGTTGACAGCCGCCCCTCTGTCCTCCTACATCCGTCAGGTGGTCATAACTGCTAAACCAGATGTCGGCTTCAGATGTTTTTGAAACCACAGGTTTGTGTGGAGCACTGGAATCGAACCCGTGAACACCAGTCTGGACACCAATCCAGTTACTGGCATTGTGGACAAGTGTGCTTAACTTCAGTGATCTAACAAGAACTGGTGTCACACACTCTCCACCCCATTCGCAAATACTGAAATTTACGTAATATAGTTTAAAACTCATTGAAAAATTGTCAAGACGACATTTGATAAATTCTTCCGATGTATTCGTTATTAAGGGTTTCACTGTATATATTTTTTCGGCGTCGGGCGTGGCAATTGCCCGAGGGGGGGATAGATAAAACTCCTAAATGGATTATTTGGCCGCAGCGCCGGCCCCCTAGCCTTTCCTAGCTGCGGCGCTCGGCCCCCTAGCCTGTGCTAGCTGCAGCGCTCGGCCCCCTAGCCCATCCTAGCCGCAGCGCTCGGCCCAGAATATAGTCTTAACCTAACCTAACCCTCAATAATAGGAGTTTTATCTATCCCCACCTCGGGCAAGCTACGCCTTATGCCTATTTTTTCATAAAATATGTAAAAATTTTGAATTGAATTATATTAAATAGTTCAAATTAGTAAATAATGTGTTGTTTGAACATACTAGAAATGACGTCATTATCAGTAGATAAAATGAAAAATAGTTCAAACGATCAATAGTTCAAACGGCTGTTTATAGTTCAAAGGTATCGCCCAAAGGTTGACGAGTTGTGCGAAGTTCAAATGCAGAGCAGATCCACCAGAAAAAATTTGGTCGTCTTGCGCAATTCCTGCTTTCCAAACCAAATATAATCCAATGTCTCTCTCTCTCTCTCAGCGCCCTCCCTTTACGTATTACTCACCTCACCAATGACAGATCAGAATCAGATCAGCGTGATTTACTTTAAACTTACGGTTTATATCTTAATTATTACATAGTTTTCCCTTTCGAATATTAATTGATAATTATAACCATCTCGAATAACGTTTTTTCTTAAGAAATATATAATTTTGTATTGATGCGTTTTGCGAGATATTTCGCCATTAGAGCTAGCTTGTACATTTCTTGAATTTCAATTATGTTTAGAAGACAAAAATGTTTCCAAACGAAAGATATTAGTATGAAAGTAAACATGGAATCTCGAGATACTACTCCGGAAATATCTCCACTGCGAGCAGTAGACGGAGATGAGATCGTGCTCTCGGAACATGAAGAAGGCGAGATATCGGACGGATCTCTTTCTGATATTAGGTAAAACCAAACTCCAGAACTTAATTATCAAACCTATATTGAATATGTTTAGTGAAATAGGAGAAGTTGAATTACTTGAAGATGGAGAACACAGTGGTCCCCTTGCACCTGATCCTGTTTACGACGTTGGACGTTATTATGGAAAAAATAGTAACGTTGATAGTCCTGCTTCTCCTGAAACTCGAGATGTAACTGGATCTCCTATTCATATTATACCTGGATCTCCTAAACCCAACCCTGACGATGTAAGCGAGGATGAGGATATAGACGAGGATATCCTCTACTTGAGATTGATGGCTCTGAGATCTATCCAGGATGCAGCATCTACTGAGGGAACAGAGGAGTCGGAGCAGGAAACTTTAGAACGTGAGATGGAGGATCTTATCGACGAAGCTAATCAAGCCTCACAGAATTCAAACCTAGGTTAGTTTTCTCCAGGGGAATTTTGTTTTCCAAATTGTAGGTACCATGCAATTGCATTTACAAGAAATTGTCCAGGTGGGCTCAATTGTCGACATCTGCTTAAAATCAAAAGTTTCACTGATCTGTGGGGGGGGGGGGGATAAAGGGTCCCTGTATACGCTTCAAGTGTAGAAAAATAAATATAATTTTAACTCGAAACTTAAATTCTCTAACTTTTTGTGATCCTGAAGAGCCATTCAGTTTTAAAAATAATTGTATCCGAAAGACTTATTGGTTATCTTAGTTTGCATTTATACCATAATTTGTAATTATACTGTCTGGATAGATTTGGTTAGTTTTTTGTATTAGCATAAAAGGGTGCACCCATAAAAGACTTGAAGCACCTACTTACAGTAGGTGCTTCAAGTCTTTTAAGCTCATACAATAGTAGTTGTAATTGTAGTAAAATGTTGAAAATTTAATTGAAGAACTTTGTGTGATGTTTGTTTCTGAAAAAAGATGATTTGAAAATTTTGTTCCACATCCATTAAAATTTTTATTTACTATTCAATAAATATTCAAAGAAAGAAATTTTCCGATTTGACATTTTGTGTTAATTCAATGATTCAACCAGTGCTTAGGATCCAGATCTGGACCCGTTGGATCCACAAGATTTGGGCTTACTGGATCCGGATTCGCAAAAATATGCGGATCCACGGATCCGGATCCGATGGATAATAGAATATCACTCAAACTGCAAAAAAATCTTTTTTACTCCTAAAATAAAAATCTGAAATCTTGAAAAAAGAGAGATTATAAAAATTTCCTCATTTCAGAATGGTTCATCAAGTTTTTGGATAAAAATATGCGGAAAAAGAAAACTAAAAATTATTTTTGTTAAAAAGATTCAGTAAATCTTATAGAAATAACCTGGATTCGGATCCATTTTTTCCAGTGCGGATCCAGGATCCCAGGGGCGTAAATAAGGATTCTGTAGGGGGGGTTTTCTAATTTCTAAAATTTTCTTGTCGTTAATGTACTAGGTATATATTTTAATTTTACTATATTTAAAGAGAAACGTCTTACTTTTTAAAATTTAATTCTTAATAATCTTGATCTTTTAACATTTTATTCTTAATTTAATTTATACTTAATTTTAAATATAGTGCAATTACGCTACTGCATCGATTTTTGGGTAAAATTTATCTATGTTACTTTGATAAAGTTGATTGAGTAAGATTATCTGCGCAAAGCGGCAAAATTTTTTAAAACATTTTTCCTAATAATTAATTGTTATCATGAACATGGAGAATGGAGATTAAGTTACTAAACGGGGATATTTGTGTCCCCAAGATTCTAGGGGGGGGGGGTAAGTAACCCCAATAACCCCCCTTATTTACGCCACTGCAGGATCCGGATCCAGGATCCGCATCAAAATTAAATGGATCTTTAGTGTTGAACGACCGGTCAGTTAGTTCAGGATTATTCACATTTTATTCGGTTAAGCCTGCTGCACCACACATTATGAAAATGCATAAGTTCAAAGACATTTTATTGAGGCTTCTGTATCTATATATAAATTTGGCTTGTCTGTCTGTTTGTTTGTTTGTATCCAATAAACGTCAAAACGCCTAAACCGATTAAGCCCAAATTTTTTGTGGGACATCACGTGACCACAGGGAAGGTTTATGAATGATAAAAATTTAAAAAAAATATGTTTAAAGGTTTTTAATTTTGTAAGAAAATTTAGATTCTGGAAAATCCGCGAATTTATTTGTAAAAATCCGCAAAAAATTTTTCTTTTTTGTTTGTAGACAAAAAGAACATGCTCACAATTTAAATAGAAGATGGGCCCGAAGCGCCCTAAAAGCCTAGAAAGAAGGGCGCGAAGCGACTTGAATTTCTAGTATATATATACTTTTCTTGTCTGGGTGTCTGTTTGTCTGATTGTGTCCAATAAACCTCAAAACGACTGAACCGATCGGGCCCAAAATTTGTGTGGGACCTCACATGACCCTAAGGAAGGTTTATTAATGATTAAAATTGGAAAAATTTGTGTAAAATGGTTTTTTATTTTTGTAAAATTTTGAAAATGCGCGAAAAAATATTATGAAGATGCTCACAGATAAAGGCACAATTAAAAGTTGAAATAAAAAATGAGCACGAAGCGCCTTAAAAGCCTTTTATCTTTGCAAACAGGGTGTTAATTTGAACCCTGGACAAATTTCTAAGTATCTCCGTCGTTAAGAATGTGCAAAAGTGTTCGTTCTACATTTTGGAATTCCCAAGACTAGTGTTTTAGATTTAAACTGTCATTATCTAATAGGAGTCTGGTTAGTCGGGTTACTCGTTTTTCTAAGGCCACTTTTGCTGACAAATTAGGCTCTAAGTTATCAAAAAAAAGTAAAAAACGCAAATTTGATTCTGCATTTTTATTTTGATGTCCGTTTCTTCGTTTATCTATCTTTAATTTGAAAATCTGAGTCATTTTTATTGCTCGCCTTAAAGAAAAACCGCGATCAGAAAATATGAGTTTTTAATACACAATGCAAAAAAATTACTTTTTGTATTTGAAGTTTAGAGTAATAAAGATGCAGCTTATAATATTTTTGACAAGAAGCCACGTAAAATTACTTTGGAAGGACTCCTTAAGTAAAAACATGATATTTTTATTTTTTCTAGAACCTGATCCCGCTCTCTCCGAGTTGAAACTAAACAATCAGCAGTCCTTTATGACATTCTCCTCTCTAGAAAATACCTCAGAAATAGAAGAATCATATTCTCCAACTCAATCTCCATCCAAACCTACTCCAATAGCAAGTCCAATCCCTGATGAGATTATAGATTTAGTTTCTCCGGTTCCAAGTCCTGAAGAGATCCCTCTCCCCGACCTACCACCTCTACCTTCTTCTCCCGTCCAACCCATGCCTCCACCTCCCTCTGTTCCACCCACAGAACCTGAACCTGGCTTTTTCTCGAGTTCCTTGGCTTTTGATATTCCACCGCCTCCCCCTCCTTCATTACCTGCGCCTCAGCTTAGATCATTCTCACCCCTACCTCGTCCAATACCAGCCGTACTTAGAGATATCGATGAACCGCTACCTCCAGGAGAAGATAAACTTCCCTCAGCTGTCAAAAATACTCAGTTTATGAATCAAAGTTCTGAAGTTGACGCTGAATCTAGATTTTTTCAATCCCAAGATTTTGCTCCAGCTCCTATACTCTTTCCTACCTCCGTCTGGGGATTTACAGCAGTAGATCCTAACTATGGATTACAAGCTGAACGCCCAAGCTATGCATTAGAGACTGAAACCAGAAACTATTTTCAAACCTCGTACGAGTTTGCTCCAACACTCAATATTGAAACCTTGAGTTCGGAGCAGACCAGTAGTATTTCAAAGAAGAGAAGGGAGAGAAGAAAAAGAAAGATTAGTAAGCATGAGAACTCAATTGTGATTAAACGAAGAAGATCGAGTGGAGACAAAGAAGACGATGAGAATGAGTTACGTGCAATACTTTTAGCTCAAGTTTCTAAGAAACAAGAATCGCATCAAATTATTTCCTCAGACGTGAGTTTAACTATGTCTAAAGAAAGTATTACTGGTAAAGAAAAGGAAGAAACTAAGAGCGTAGCCTCATTACAGAATAGTTTGAAAAAAAGTAAAAGGGTTCAAATTCCTTTATCTGAGAATACACAGACGGTTGTGAACTCCGTGTCTGGTCTATCCCTGGAACCTGAGAAACATAAATCTGCACCAATACTTCCTCAACTCAAACCTCAACAACCCTTAAAAACTAAACAGAGTGCCTTGTCGAAACTAAACTCAACGTCTTTGGTAAAGTCAAAACTGAAAACTGTTGTCAAACCTAAAACCATAGACTCTAGGTCTGCCCTGAAGAAGAAGGGAATCTCTAAAGCTGATCAAAAGAAACATTTCCCAAATCTAACCAAGACCCTTGTCATTCCTCTGAATAATGAAAGCGAGAGTGATGATGATCCACCTCCCCCATCAAATCCACCGGAGTCATTTCAACTTGATGTTGAAAAGTTTCTCCTTGATATTCGACAAACCTCTGGATCCTCAAGGAAACCCAACCCTAGGTCATCAACCTCTACTATTACAAGCAGGAGTATCTCTGTCCAGCTGAAAGCCAAGGCTAAGCAATTAACCCCAGCTGCTAAGAAACAGCTGATAACATCTAAAATCTCGAATCTACCTTTATCAAAACAGTTGGAGTACATTAAACTTAAAACACTTATTGCTCGGAAGGAAATGATGAAACAGAAAGCTAAAAGCAGTTCAGCTCCGCAGACCGGGGGAAAACCAATTCCTCCTCTTGTAGTTGCTGCTGGAAATGTTACAGATGATAAAAAAGAAAAACTGGATCCGAAGCAGAATATGAAGAATAAGAAAGAAATGATTAAAATGATAGAAATGAAGAAGAAGGTTAAGGCGAAGCCAACAAGCAATGTGAAAGCAGAGGTTAAGTTAAGTATTGAGAAGGAGATGAAGCTCAACACCGCGATTCAGAGCACCGATGAACTAAAAAAAAGCACTGATCCTGTAAACCATCCAGACTCAAAATCACCCGAACCTCAAGAGCTTGAAGATGAGGATGAAAAACTTTTGCGAGAAAGTTTGTTAAAAGATCTTAAGTTTAAGAAGAGTTCTAATTCAGCAGAACCTAGTAACGGTCTAGCCAGTCAAAATATATCCAAGGGGAAGTTAACTGTTCAACTATCAGGTAACAAACGTAATGTTAGTGTGGGAGAGATATCTAATCCAACTGCTAAGCTTGCTGCTTCTAACCTTGCCAGTTCCAAAACTACCACTAAACCCACCCCTACTAGATCTGCCACATCTAGACCTGCTAGTTCCAAACCTACATCATCTAAATCTGCCAGTCCTAAACCTGCCTCTACCAAAACGGCCATTTCCAATCCAACCACTACCAAACCTGCCAGTTCCCATCCTTCTACTTCCAAACCTGCCATTTCCCATCCTTCTACTACAATGTCTGCCAGTTTCAAACCCATCAGCATCAAACCTGTCGGTTCCAAACCTACCGACTCTAAGACTGTCAGTTCCAACCCTTCCAATTCCAAACCTACTATTTCCAAACCTGCCAGTGTAAATCCATCCAATTTTAAGTCTTCCACTTACAAGCCATCTAGTCCCAACCCATCCTCCTCCAAACCCCTGTTAACACCATCCTCGTCTAAACCTGTATCCAAATCTTCCACTGCTCCATCTAAGGTTTCCATTCCGTCCTCGGTGACCGTAAAATCCTTCCTTCCTAATCCCTCGACCTCTTCTAACCTACCTCCATCCGCTTCAAATACTTCATTAACTGATCCCTCGCCCACTGAACCCAAGGTATCCACCAATATTCATTTAAACCCTGGAGCTAAACCTGCGGAGAAAACAGTTCCCAAACTCATTCCCAAACCTGGAGTAGATTTGAAACTTAAAGACGAGCTTAAGCAAACTGAGAAATCTGTGATAATGAATAGGAATGATTTATCAAATGTTCTGTACAAGTTGTCTGCGCAGATGTCGCAGCTGCAACGACAAAGTATAGAACTAGAGGGAGCTGTCAGCTATGCAGCTGAGCTTAGAAATCAACTGCGTGAGACGGAGCAGCTAGTGAAGCTGAGAGAAGAGAAGGTGGAGAACTTGAGAGAGGTGATCAGGAACTCCCATCAGGAGGTCACGCTGTACAAGGAGCAAATGCTGAGTGCTGAGGATACGTGTAAGAGGTTGGGGGATGAAGTCTATGGTTCGGAGTATATTCTACCTCCTCAGGGAGCGCAAAACATCAGGGACAAGTCAAATTCATTTTTAAATTTTATTTCCTTTTTTTTAAATTTATTAAAATCTTTCTATTTTAAAATATTTATACAAAATTATGGTATCTGGTTATGAGATATAGGTGGGAGTAAGAAGGAGTGATGAGGACGAGAGGAAGTAAAACCAAGCTCCAGGGTTGGATTTGACTCTGTTCATCCGAAGGAATAAGCTGGCTCAGATAAAAACCACTGCCCAGAAGGTTAAAACAACCAACACGGATAAACCGAACCTTCTTCCAGATAGTCCTGGGGATATAATATCCCTAGAGGATCCAGAACTACAGAAGAACCCTGCTCCAGGTAGCATCAAATCTAATGATACGTCGACAGGTATAGTTTCAGGTTTAGATTACGTTTCTCCGCTGGAGCATTTAAGATCCGAGAACGGGAGCGTGAATATCTTGGATCCGAACACCCTGCTGTGCAGGTTTGAACTGGGGGGTAAGTGCATGGATCCAACCTGTGTATACCAGCACTGCAAACCTGCTCGGTAACTTAATCTAAACTTTACTTTTGGTTTAGTTTTATCGATATTATAGGTTTTTTGTTCGTTATTTTTTCACAAGAAAATATATTTATGAAATAAAGATTTGTTATTTTACCTTGTTATAAAATCATGTTCTATGTTATGTTAGTATTGGAAGAAGCTGAGAGCATAAAAAAATGAAGAGAGATTTTGAAGAATTTGGTTATATTCAATAAAAATAAAATGGATCATAATGCTCGACATTTCCATCAATTTTAAAGGTGTAAAACACGCAGACCTCATTTTGGAAAGCTCATATATATTGGAAAATGCTAGAAATGAGCTCAAAAAATAACAATGCATGATCAGATTTTTAAGTCGATTAAAAAGGGCCACTCCCTCAAAGGGCTAATAATAGATTAAATTAACGTTTGAAGTACCGTGCAGGATGCTCACAATAGTAAGATTGTAAAGACTACTTGAAACTCTTCAAATATATCAATCAAATTTAAATTTAGTCTGAACCTTAAATGTAGAATCTAAATGGCTTATTTAATGATTTGGCAGAGAATGAAAGATGTTATAGTTTAAGAGAATCATGAATATAACGAAATTTAATTCCGTGCAGTCGTCTCTGGAGTCTAATGAAGTAGGAAACGACAGGTGTAGCGTTACATCCAGACCGGGCGTTATATTTGGTCCGGGTGAGTGTTGCATGTGAAATCCATGTACAAAATTGAAATTGGAGGGGGAAGGGGTCAAAAAATCGTATATTAGGAAATTACCCGCTGGTTATGTACAAAATTGATAGAACGGGGGGAAACAAAAAATTGTAACAATTTCAATAACAATGATAATGTGTATGCTTTGGGTCCGTCAAAGTAAACAATTTTTGGATCCCCCCCCCCCGTTCTATCAATTTAGTACATAACCAGCGGTAATTTCCTAATATATGACTTTTTGACCCCCCCCCCTTCCCCCTCCTATCAATTTTGTACATGGATTTCACATTTAACACTCACCCGGACCAAATATAACGCCCGGGCCTTTTTTAACGTGACACCGGACACCATGCAGATTGCAGACACGAGCCTCCAAGATTTTTAAGGCAGATCGAGCCTCTGCCATACAACACAGCTTCCTTATAACTATTTGTTTTTACATGTACTAAAGATTTTTCTCTTGCATACTGTCATGTTTCGTGGGACACCCTGTAGTTTATTTTATTTTAATCTTTGATTTATGTAAAACTTTTTTTGGAAAATTTTTAAGATTCAAATTATTTGTCAATGTCAAATTTTATTATCTTAATCTGATAAAAATTTCAAAAAGGCATCATTTACATCAAAGAAATTTTTCTCTGAATTATTCCTTTTTGAGTAAAAAATGTTTTAAGTGTTATAACCCACTTTACTAGTCGTAATTAGTCACTATTTATAATAGTTGATAACATACTTCTAAATACAAAAACAAACATAGAAGTCTTCCTTCACTTCATGTAAAAACCAAGAGTTTCAAGGAAACTATTCTGCATAGCTGAGAATCTTACTGCATGGCGGAGGCTCGGTCTGCCTAGCAAATCTGGGAGGCTCGTGTCTGCATAGCGGAGGCTCATGGCGTCCGTGGGCTCCCTCCCTCGTCTGATCCTATGCAGGTAATCCTTATATTCAAATGAACAGGAATTTGTTCAAATAAACTAACTCTACAGAAGTTCAAATAATCACTTGCTATTATAAATCAATTATTTAGTATATTTAATGAAAAGTTACATGGTAATCTTAATTATTTAGGGTATCAGAAGAAATTCTGTGTCATATTCTTTGGGATGTACAGGGTGTCCCACGAAACATGACAGTTGGTGAATAGTTTAGAATGTCTTCTTCCATAATTTGTTAAGTTGTTTGATACCAATTAGACAATACAAATATATGGGATTTATGTTATGGTAAAATTGGCTTGAAAGTAAAACAAAATTCGGAAAAAGATATTTTTAACTTAACAAACTGCAAAAAGCCTTTAATATCTAATAAAGTATATGGAAGACGAGTTTCATAACTATTTACCAACTGTCATGTTTCGTGGGACACTCTGTATAATCTATCCAAAGAACTATATCATGCTTCCCATGTGATATGTAGTTAAAAAAAAATAAGTCAGAGCATTATGAATTTTAATCTTGTTCGTATGCACTGTTTAAATGGACTAATAACCGGATTGTAAACATTTTCCCCGTCAAATTGAACGTAAAGTCGATAAGCAATTTGACAATCGATAAAGCATTTCAGATTTAAGAATCAGTTTCGCCAGATCACAGGAATCACAGATTAAAGTGTGCCGTTCATAGTGTAAATGAACAAAATAAAATTTGATTATTTTCAAATGAACTGAATATAAAACTATATATTCTTTCTCAGTTTAACCTCTCAATCTGCCCTTAAGTTTATCCTCTCAATTCCTCCTTGCTAAGTATCTCCTATCAATTCATCCCTGCTCAGTTTCTCCTGTCAATTCATCCCTGCTCAGTTTCTCCTCTCAATCCGTCCTTGGTTAGTTTCTCTTCTCAATCCGTCCTTGGTTAGTTTCTCCTCTCAATCCGTCCTTGGTTAGTTTCTCCTCTCAATCCGTCCTTGGTTAGTTTCTCCTCTCAATCCGTCATTGGTTAGTTTCTCCTCTCAATCCCTCCTTGTTAAGTTTCTCCTCTCAATTCATCCCTCCTCATTTTTCCTCTCGATCCGCCCATGCTCAGTTTCTCCTCTATATTTATCCTAGCTCAGCAAGGATGGATATAGAGGAGAAACTGAGCAAGAACGGATATAGAGAAGAAACTGAGTAAGAACGGATTGAGAGGAGAAACTGAGTAAAGATTAAGAGAGGAAAAACTAATCTGTAAGCAATGATCGATAGGAGAAACTGAGCTAGGATGACTTTAGAAGAGTAACTAAGCAAGGACAGATTGGGAAGAGAAACGGAGGAAGAATGGATAGAGGAGAAACAGTAGCTCCTGTTATAATCCTACCTGGATTTCTAGGAGTCAACATAGAAGTATAGAAGTAAGTAAGTATAGAGCATGGACGTATCGAGAGGAGAAACTGAGCAAGGATTGATTGAGAAAGTAAACTGAACAAGAGGGACTGAGAGGAGAAACTAAGCTGTGAGCAGGAATGTAATAAGAGGAGAAACTGAGCAAGGATTGATTGAGAAAGTAAACTGAACAAGAAGGGACTGAGAGGAGAAACTAGGCTGTGAGCAGGAATGTAATAAGAGGAGAAACTGAGCAAGGGCGGATTGAAAGGATAAATTGAGCAAAGATGGGTTTAAGATAGGATATACATAATTTTTATTTGAAAATAATGAATTTTTATTTTGTACATGTGCACTGATGTTTAAATGGACTAAAAACACCTTACTTTAGTTAAACGTTAGATGAATCTGAATTTTAAGTTGGATCTATATGAAAGGATCAACAATTTCGATTATTAAATCGAAAAATGTCAAATCTTAAATCTCAAAAAATCTTTAAATTCAAATTTTTATCAGGGCACAAAAGACGGCATTTAAAAATGGGGTTTTGGTCATAAGATCAAAATAACCTATTCCTGTGGTCGACTTCTTTACATTTTTGCAAATATTTTTCAGGGACGAATTTTTTTGGATTTGCGCACCTAGTCTATGCTAAAGCATACACTTGAGGATTCCAAAATGCTGTCTTGCAGTAAATTATGATTTCCTTGCTAGCTTGGCAAGAAGTCGCAACTAGAAAATGTCTATTTCATCCCCGACGCTCAAAGCTTTTATGTGCATCGAGTTTTGTCCAAAAATGTAGTTTACAGGTTATTACTGAATTTTTTTTTGAAGTTGTACTCTGATTTAAAGAACCATAGAAAAGAGATTAACAAATTTTTTTGTTTTTTGGGATATCTTAGTGCAAAGAACAGAAACGCTTCTTTTTTGTCGAGATTGTAATTATACTCTTAATTTTTACGCTATAAAATAGGTAGACGATTTTATCCTCAAATTCATTATTTTTTTATCAAGAGTTGTATTGATTTTTCACACCAATCTTTGAAAAAAACATAAAACCTTAAAGGAAAGTTTATTTTACAAAAACAGATCATAACATAGTGTAAATGACAAGCTGTAGTAAATAGTGCGAAGTAAAAGGGGGGACATGAAAAATTATATTTCTGTCCGAACCCTTGAATTTTCTCTATCTACCTAGCGTATACTTTAATGCCTTCAGAGTCTAGGAAAAGTTTGACAAGGGGAGTACCAGGGGCCCCCATCCTTAACTTTTTTATTAAATAAAATAACTGGTTTTGGGGAGGGTGGGGGGGCAGTTAATAAAAAAAAACTTAATAGTAGGAGATCTAACTTAGCATTCTTTTAACCATACGAATATAATAGGGGTGTGGGGGCAGTAGCTTAGATATGTCAAGTAGAAAATTAAGAATTTGAACAGAAGTTAAAATTGACTGGATTTTGACATAGATATATTATAGACTGGTTTATCGATTCAATATAGGTTCACATGTACAGTGGTCGACATCTGTATCAACACAGTAAAGACAACTTAAGGAAGATTAAATGTACGTTCTTCATTTTGACAATAGAAGAAAATAATATTAAAAATGCGTCTGTTAGCTGGTAAAGCCCGGGGGTAGAAAATGTAAAGAAAGAAGCAGTATAGCTTGTAGTCTTATTTCTGTCTTAATATAAATGATGAGCACTGTATCAAGTTAATGCATGGTATCCCATATACAGGGTGGCACAATTAACAAGAAAATTAAATTGAATTTAAATCGGCTTTTGATAGTTGTTGTACAAAGTGAAAGTAAGATGTTATGATTTTTAAGCCCGCGGAATAACAAGTGAATTGGGGTTGAGTAAAAAACTGGCATTATTAGAATTACAAATCAAATGCCGCGTAGATGAAAGACGATAAGGAATTCGTCACTTAATCCCCATGTTTGTTGGCACACCCTGTATTATGGAAATAAGTTGTTCCATGCATAATGAATAATGTCCTCTGTTTGGTGTTTATAATCATGTTTAGTATCTTCTCGACATGTAAACATAATCATCTGAGATATCATTAGAGGGTTGTCCTCCGCTCCCGGTCTCAGTTAAAGCTGCGAAACCTAAAAATCAACCACAATTAAAGAGCCTGTAAACGTTGTTTAAAGTATCATTTTTATAATGAAATCCATAGGATAAATATCCATTATGGAATACTCCTAGTTGTATTTTTATAAATAAAAATTAATAATTTGGAAGATATTGTCGTTTTGCTGGGTTAAGTGTTTAAAAAAAGGAAATTCCTATATGGATTCCTGCAATAGTAATGCGAAGGTCACTTTTGTAGAGAAACCACATAGTGAATATGCTCTTAGATTGTATCGTTACTTAAGTTAATGGAGGGGGGGGGGGATGTTTTACATTATTTATTAATCCTGTAAAATTTACCTATTTTTGAGTAAACTTCTTGAACATATTTTTCCTTTTTCGGAACCTCTGCTAACGCTTTTAGAACTCCAGATGTTCTGAGACAGGCGAGGACGAGCATGGTTGCTCTGCTGGCCAGACTTGAATCTGATATTGACGGTAGATATGCAATCCTCACCAGCGCCCAGGCTTCAGGGGTATCCAGGCCAGGTGGGACAACAGGGTCAGATTGATGGAAGGAGTTTATTGTGGTTTCACAGGGGGTTGGTAGTTCTCCTTCACTCCACTCAACCTTAGGGTATTTAGTTCTCATCTCCGGGAGCCAGGCAATATTCACACGCTGATAGAACTCTTTTATATCCGTCGCAGCAAATATGTAACCAACGATTTCTCCGACACTGTTCTCGAACACGAATCCAAAGTTGGAGTAAAAACTAATGAAGGGTCCAATTGACTTCTCCCCTACTAATCTAGGATGGGTGGAGTAGAACTGAGTAGCGTCCATCCCGTCCTCCCAGGTTTGCAGTGCTATCCTGTAGCAAGCTTCTTCATCCTGAGATAACGCATCAGTTGTATAGAAAAAAGTTAAAAAGAAGGGTATCAAATTCCTAGAAAATCATTCCTCCCCCCCCCTCTCCCCCACAGTATTGGTATATTAAGGAAAGGTTTAGGGATATTTTCGTTGAATTAGGTAAAATTAATGATTTTAGGCGAAACAAATTAATAAGGTGATAAATATCTAAACTTTAAAATCCCCCGAAGTAGAGTATAATTCTTCCAAATATATACTCCTGAATAAAGATACATAAGAAGGCTTACCTGGGGCTTAAATGGTCTAATCTTGTAAACTATATTTGTAGGATGGTCCGGATATTGGTACATAAACAAATCGTTCCCTGAGTCAACCGGCATCAGTCGCTGTAGATCGGCGGTTAAACCGCCACGGAACACATACGGTTCATGATCTCCAGAGAGGAACGCTTCTCTAATGCCTAGAAACAGATCAACTGGAGCAAATGTTATAACAAATGATAATTGAAATTCTCCTTCCAACGAGTTTAGTTTCTTTACATATAAATTAACAGCGAATTGGCCACTAATACCACCACTGTATCTCTTTTGAAACTGAACAATATTGTGTTACTGTAAAGCTTTAAGGATTTAACAAATGTCCTCAAATCCACTATATTTACACGAGAGGGGTGGGATGGGGTCAAATTTGTGCCCCAATCTAGATAAAACACCAGGGGTGTATATTTTCACAAAAATCATTTTTCTTTCCCGACCCATTTTAAAATCATATTTATACCCCAGAAAATATTTAATTTTTTGCAAGGGTTTTGCTGAATTTGGAAAAGTAAATGATTTTTAGAGTAAAAAATTTATGAATTTTTGGGTAAATCTATTTAAAAATTTGCTTGAGTGTTTGTTTGTGTCTAATAAACGTCAAAACGGCTGAACCGATCGGGCCCAAATTTTGTGTGGGACCTTACGTGACCCCACGGAAGGTTTATGAATGATCAAAATTTCAAAAATTTGTGTTGAAAAGTTTATCATTTTAGTAAAATTTTGAAAATGCGCGAAAAAATATGACGAAATCCGCAAACTTTTTTGTTTATTTTGTTGTTTACTGTACAAAGAAAAGATGCTCACAGATAAAGCCATAAATAAAAGTTTAGATAGAAGATAGGCGCAGCCTAGTAGTTAAAAAAAAAGAAAAAAAAGTTGCCATTTGATATCCAATTTTTAATCCCCCGCCCCCCTCCCAATTATCACCAATCATTCCCCCTGGGGGGGGGGGGGGTGAGGGATTCTGAAAAATATACACCTCTATGATACTCTATAAACGACCTTGTACAATGGAATATTCAAATACCTGAGAACCAAGTGTGGCGTCCTATGACCAACTGTTTATATTTAGGAGAGAAGAACCCTAGAGCCAGCCAATCTATATAGGATTCTAGAAGGAGAAGGACTCCAACTAAATCCCATACATAGGTATACAAATTATACACCAACTCGCGGTTGGGCGCCATGCACAGTCGGTCGAACGCGCGTTTAATGCTCCCCAGGAGAGCATTAAAGCGCGCACGACGGGATTCCCATTCTGGTTTTGCATCCTCGGGTTCTCCGTCCTCGGAGCCGGAGACTAGCATAACTCCCGCGTGTGTTTTCAACCAGTAGAACTCCGTCAAGATTTCCACAGCCTAGGTAAGTTTAATATTATAAATCAACCATTTTTCAAATTCCAGATATCAAAATTCATAATTGTCGGTGGGAAAAAGGTTACCGTCGGTCCATGCTCGCATGGTAGATAAAATAGATCACAAAAGAGTTGAAGGTCGTCATAGGAGAGAGAATCCAAGTCCTCGATACTACTGAATTCTTCCTTCTCCGGGCTTGTAGGTTCACACAACATCGTCGTCGACTCCGCCTTGGACAAACCTCCCCCGCCATCCGTTGGTTCAACCTGCATACCGGCGGGGGTCGGAGGGTTTGTCGTGCTTTCCATTATGACGTCAGTGACCTTAGAGACAGGACTAGATCCGGCCGCGGGATCTGAACCTAGATAATTATTAATATGTAATACCAATCAATGCAAACAAAAATTGTATTTAAATTACATATTTAAATATGCTTACCCTCAGCGTCAATATTTGTTTCCATTGGCTCTGGTTGCGTCGATTTGGGATCATTTGTCAACATTACAACCTCATGAGTAGACACCAGGGAGTTCATCACAGGAATACGGAGAACCGAACCTAAGCTAAGTAAACCTGACAGATCCGTCGAGGAATCTTCAGCAGGATTCGAGGATTTAGGATTAGGTAGATCAGCAGGAGTCCCCACTAGCACAGCAGCGGGGATAGGTAGGTTTAAACTTGAAGTAGTTGATGTGGAGGTAATACAGGTGTTAATAATAGGTTGAAGGATTCCTGTAGGGTTCAGCCCAACCTGGGGTTTACTAATAGGGCCCCATACTGATTTCACGCGATTAAACTCCGGTAACCAATCTCTGATAGCGGATTTGAGCGCGATCCTAGGATGGTATACGTGGGGAGGAAGTTTATCTGGTGGTGGAGGAACTACGTCCTCTGAATCCCCGTTTGTACCGTTCCCCAGCTCTAACTTGATATCCGAGGATACGGTATCGTTGGCAGATAAACTAGAACATCCGTCCACTGTACACTTACTCCAGGCAGCCAGGGAATGGATTGCTACGAAGTTTGCTCCGTATTCACAGTTAGGGTTCGCGAGAACACCACGTAGTTTCTGGATTATATCTGGGGAACGACCGGAGTAGGGACCTAGAAAGAAATAACAGTAAACACACTATTCAGTCAATCAATCATTAAAAATATCTGAAAAGAAATCAGATATAAAACTCTAAATCCTACGGAGATTATTTATATATTAAAAGATACATACCGAGGAAAACTCGTCGCTGGTCGTAATCGTTGGCATGTTCATTATCCCAGATAACTACTTTACGCTTGAGCGCTTGTGTGATTGGTTCCAAGGATGCCACGGTTATTTCTTTAGGGATAACTTTATCCCCAGTCCACATAATATCAATATTGGACGCCAGCTTCATACCAATTGTCTTCAGGTACTCTGAGGTTGCAATCTAATCAAAAAAAGAATGTTGAACATTTCCAGAGACAAATTTTATGCTCAGAATTTGTAATAATCCCAATTTTTCTGCTTAAAAAACTAAACTTGGTTTTATTTTAATATTTGATGTGTATAATTTTTTAATCTATTTCTGTGAACAAAAATATAATAACATTTTTTTTTAAATAAAGATCTCAAAAAAATACTATGAAAAATGAAAATTGTTAAGTAATGCACCAAAAATCAAAAATGTCAATATGTTTTGTTGGGGTTCCAAATAAAGTTAGTATTCTCCTATAATTTCCTCCTTAGTTAGGGTTCTATGGGGACGTTAATAAATTAAAAAATTATATCGGCATATTTTCCTACCGTAGGAACAGCTCTAGAAGTACAGTACTGTGTTGGACAGAAGAGGAAACTAGGTTGCCCTAGATGCTGATAAATCTCGTTTGTGACAGAAACCTGCGCATGCGCAAAGGACTGGAAGGCCTCCTTGTCCGGTTTTTGCATCTCTGCCTCAATATCGTCAAATAGGAGTGCAAAGGATTTACACCCAAGCTGTGCTACTTGATCCAGTTTACGCTTTAATGCACCGATCTAAATAATAGAACAAAAATCAATCGGAAGTCAGAACTTGTAACTTGAACGGATAGTCATACCCTGCAGGGATAGTCATACCCTGCAGGGATAGTCATACCCTGCAGGGATAGTACGTGTGGCCGCAGCGCCCAGCCCCCTAGCCTGTCCTAGCCGCAGCGCTTGGCCCCCCTAGTCTGTCCAAGCCGCAGCCCCCTAGCTTGTCCAAGCCGCAGCGCTCGGCCCCCCTAGCATGTCCTAGTCGCAGTGCTCGGCCCAGAAATTGTCTTAACCTAACCCAACCCTAAAGTAATAAATGATAATAATTTATGCTGAAAAAAGTGATCATGTACAATTAAGGTAAACCATCATACATTATCATGTTGTACTTTTAATATTAACGTATAAGATTTAAATCATAAAACTTGTAAATATGAATAACCAACCTGAATATCAGTTTCTGGAATTGAGAAATGCATTTTATCACATTTTTGTTTTCTGAAAAATAGAAAAATATGTTGGGATTCACCGAAGAAATTCGAGGAAAATGTAACTTGATACCAAAGGTTTCCATCATTCATCTTTTTGGTAAAAACATGATAAAAGAACTTGTATGAATTCTAATTTAAAGTATTTTTAAACTTTTGTGTCGTTTATTTTTGATTAATTCTTTAATAACCGGGTCGTTGCCCGTCGGCTCAGTGATCTATCATATTATCTGTCTTGAACCGCTTCGTCTGACTTTCCCCTTTAGTGAAACTTTACTAAGAGCAGAGATACTCGAACCATCTTCTTATTCTCGGTCCAGTGTAGAGTGTACAGAGAGAGAGAGCAGAGAGCTGAACCTTGTTTTCATATTTCTCATATCCGCGGTTTTACTTCTCTCATCTCAACTCTTACAGTACCAAGCCTTGCACAAAGAACAACATCTCTAATGTTGGAACTCGGATTCCGGGTTTTAATCCTATGTGGGATTACAGTTCTCAGATTGGATTTAATCCTTAGCTCAGGTCAGCCTTTAGTTTTATATTTGATGTTTTTAAAGAAACAGTTCTCTTTACATATCTGTCATTTAATAACAAACATTTGTTAGATTTTCTTTAATATTGTTTTTTTTACGATTATTAAAAGTTTAAAGTTGAAGAATAAAAAAATTGATTTGACAGATTTTCAACGGATTTATATTTTTAGACGTTAGTTCACACAATTCTTATTTTGACGGGAGAAGATTGGACGATATCAGAACCGACATAATTCTACTCTCCGACCCGGAGAATATTAGAACGAAGCGAGATACTAATTCATCCGGGAGTCAAGTAACCAACTCAACTGAATCCTCCGAAATATCAGACCCGGATTTAAAACGGGGTTACTCACAGTCCAACGAGTTCTTGAATGATGTTGATATCAGTGAAGATACAATAAAAAATACTATTCAGAGTCATAATCATTCTATTTCAAGCAAAAATGTAAGTAACTATCTTTTTTAAAATCAGTAAATAAGAATAAAAAAATTTTTGGGTTAAAAAAATAATTGATATGAATACAAAAAATGTATACATTAAGTTATGCAAAACATAATCTTTTTGCATTTTAAAGAATTTTTTTTCAAATTTAAAAGTCAAGATTAAAGGTTTAAAGATTAACAATACTTTTTTTAAAAGTTGTCTAAAATCAACAATAATTATTATTTTGAAGAAATAGAATTTTTACCTCTTTACTGTTAGAATAGACTATATCCAGCCCGGGAGAGATAGCGTAGTAGAAGTTTACATTAGACTCGTGAGCAGCTAATATTAAACTCTGTAAATGCTCTGCCTCCTCTACAGTATACAGCTCCCTCCAGAATGCTCTATGCTTGCAATCATCTTTAGGTGCGTACAGATAGCTGCACATACCCCAGAACTGCAATATCAGGTACTTTCACAAAATATATTTACTAAACGCAATTTTCGAAGAGCCACTTGTCCAAATATCATTTCCCAATTTGAATTTTAACATATGTCGTTTAGGTTTTTAACAGGCTAGAACTTGACATTTCAGGACAGGTTAAGTTAGGCTTTTTTTTCTCAAAATAAACGACAAACTTCGTAAGTTTTGGAAACCAATTTTTTCTAGAAAGTTGGAAGTTTTGTCAGAAAGGAAAGTGTTAAAAAATAAATCCCATCGTTTTTGTTTTGTTTATAAACTTACCTCCATTTTTATAAACTTACCTCCATTTTTATAAACTTACCTCCATTTTTTCAAATAAATCTTTTCGTTGAGTTAAAGTCCAAGGTCTACCATAGAATCCTTCAACAACCCCGCACATGAACGGTCTGTTATAAAAGTTTATAAAATAAGAATTATAAAAAGGAAGATTTTCAGAAAAGCTTTGTGTTGTGTTCTTCAAAATTAGAAGGAAATAGGGAAGCGTGGAAAAATGAAGCAATATACAGATCATAAATTAACTGAAAAAATAAAATTGAGGCAGAGGCGCATTCAAGGGAGGGGTTAAGTCATGGATATATAATAGAATGGATATATCATAGTCAAGGTTTCATGTAATTTTCTGGGTGGGGTGTCATGGAGTACGTTAGACTTTGGACCCTGGACTTACAATTTGTATTTGATTTTCTTAAAGTTAGTTGTTGTCAAAAGAATATATAAATACATTGTAAGCCTTTTAAAATTGGTAAAAAGCCTCCTTCTTTGTATCATATAAATAGTAGAAGATACTTGAGATTTGACCAACCATGATTATATTTAATACTTTTAATATCTCAGTCAATTCTGAAGTTACAAAAACGGCAGACCACATTTTGGAAATCTCAAAACAAGGCGCATTTAATGTTACCAACTGTTGGATGGCAATGTTATGTTTACAAGATTTAAGCGACAGTATCTCATTTCTGTTTACTCCAGGGCCCACGATCTACCAAAAGTCTTCTCTGAATTGGACCCTGAACCTCACTTCAAAGTTTTTTTAAAAGCACAAAATATTTTTAAAGAATCAACGACAGCCAAGTTAAACATTTGTTAGAGAGAAGCTTTAAGTACATTTTGCAGAGATTTAAAAAATTTCCCAAAAAATCTAGGGCCCACTGAGATATAACAGCTGTAAAGCCCACCCACGAAATTACATGTACGCTGGCCCAGATTAGTGTAGATCGATAGATAGAGGCATCTCTATAAGCGGGCCGTGGGCTAAGTCTCCNAGCAAATCAATTAATCAATTCAATCAACAAATCAATTAATCAATTAAATCAGCAAATCAATTAATCAATTCAATCAACAAATCAATTAATCAATTAAATCAGCAAATCAATTAATCAATTCAATCAACAAATCAATTAATCAATTAAATCAACAAATCAATTCAATCAACAAATCAATGAATCAATTCAATCAACAAATCAATCAATTCAATCAACAAATCAATGGATCAATTTAAACTACCACTCAACAGTAACCCAAAGAAACTAAATAACCGAAATTATTCAAATCAATCTTATTTAACGGCAATTAAATCTTATCAATCATATCAATCAAATCAACTCAAATCAAATTTCAAATCAATCCAGAAGTCGATCAAGTCAATAAAGTAAATTAAATCAATCAAACCAGCTCAAATTAGCTCAAATTAAGTCAATCAAGTCAATCAAGTCAATCAAGTCAATCAAGTCAAATTGGATGAATAAATGAACAGGAAAAGAAGATTGTGGTTTACCTTGAATCTCCGCCTGAGTCCTGTCCTTCTGACTCCGTCATTTTGTTCTGAAATATTTCAGTGTAAAGGAAGGTTTAATGTGTAAAGTAAGTACCACGTAGATTTAACGGCTCAGGGCTCAGGAAACCAGTGAAAAAATTTATAGTTTTTTTTAAAGGTTTTTAACAAAATAGAAAAGAAAATTTCTCTTAAAATCATTTCACTCCCGTCCTCACATTAAATGATTTTATCATAATATTTGTAAGGGGAAGATATCAATATGATAGGTAATACTTCAAAACTTAATCCTCATTTTTTATTTCCCATTCATCTACGAATAACAATAAAAGAGTGTTTGCTTATTTTAGAAAAAAAAATACTTAAACTGAATTTTAACAAAAAAATTTATCTTTGGATCAATTTATAATTAAACTTAATAATATTTCACACAGTTTTAGTTCCAAACACCATAGAAATTAGTATTTCAGAAGATAATTCATAAATATATATATAATTAAAATAATAGTAATAATTCTAACACCATATCCACATATAATTAAAAGAACTAGTTTAACATATACATATAAATTCAGGCAAATGTAAAGTTTAAACTATTAAAATATAATAACACTAAAAATAATCTGACATAGAACAATTAATGATGAGGAAAGCAAGCTTGCATCTGAATGTTTCTAGCTCTACTTTAATTCATTGGTTCGTGAAACAAACAAGAGTCTGAACCAAAAGAGACTGAACTTACAGCATTCCCAGCTTAAGTTTGGTGAATACAGGACTTATTATTGAAGGTCTTAATATATGTTCAGTCTCTTCAGGCTCAATCTATTTTGAAAAGAAGCACTTAAAGATCACAGTACTGATAACTAAATGGATCAACTCAATTTTTCTAAATCTTAAACACATCGAAATAAGTACTGGGTAGGATTTAAGAGCCTCAAATTTGGTTTGCAAATGCGTTCGTAGGCGTGGGGTTAGATAAGGTTTAATTGCACACTGTAGCACTACAGTACAAGGAACTTTTGGTTGTGGCACCTAGGTGCAGTACAGTTTTAGTTTAGGGGGTACAGTATGGTAAACATAGTGGACGCAGGGTGTACGTGTAGTTAAGTACTGTCCCGAAAACACGTTGGATTTTATTAGTATAGGAATGTTAACAGAGGTCGGAACGGGCTAATTTTCTTCTTTAAGTCGATTACTTTAACCTTACTTAAACTTAGTCGCTAATAAATTGTTCGTTATTGGTCGCAACCTAAAGAGATTCTCATTGGTCCACAACATTTCCTTTGTCTTTTAGTAGTCAAGCTGTCACACGGATTGGACATTTCTCCAAGTTTAAACAATTTATCTCTTTCAACCAAATTTTGTTTAACTTAACTCTTTCAACCAGAAGTTCCGACCCTGATTGCATGGATCAACAATCAACATCTATATTTTGAATTGGATAATTCTAGAATAAAATTTGGATAATATTGATTGTTCTCCATTGTTAATGGATCAACAAAATAACAAAAAATCTGTTTAAATGCGACTAAAAGAAACTTCGCATAATAAAAATAAAAATATAAAAATTAAAAATGATAAAAAATAAATGCAAATTTTCCTTAGATCTAACTAATACATATTCAAAGATAAACAGGAACATTTTTTGGTTTAGTTTACTGGTCTGGAAACAATATTAAATGGATGGTTTCGTGGTTTCAGGTTTCTAGGGTTGGAATGGATAAGAAAACAAGTAGATTAATTTTAAAACACGTGACAAACATTAGACTGACGGGGATACAATAGGATGGAAAAAATGGATGGAATGAGGATGGATTTATCCGTGGTCAAAGAAATTAGAATTTAAATAGATTATATTAAGTACGTCTGGGAGAAATCTATTCTGGATTTACTAACATTCTTGTTTCACAAGTTAACAGATAATCTCAAAATATGTTTATCATCAAACATTTCCTTCGGAGCTGAAAACTCAAGTATTGGAGACCCTTAATCCCGATAATGCGCAGCATCCACTGTCGAAACTTTTGATTTTCTGTTTAATCCTCTCTTTTAGATATCCCTCCTGGTTTCCGACCAATTATTCATTGCGAGCCGAAATTTTGAAATCTTTCGTCTTCTGATTGGCTGTTCGGTTTCTACAATCAAGACTATGATTAATTGCAGTTGAGGCAATTTCCCGGATATTACCTTAAGATAAAAACCAGTCTGCAGAATAATAAAAAGAAGAGCTCGAGCATTCATCTCAATAGCCACAATTCTTAAATTTTTAGCTCAAATTCTGTTTCGGTTCTATTTTTATTCTAATTCCTTCAGAGTGGGAGATTAAGGACTAAGATAATAGTTGCCTGCCCCCTATAGACTTTATAGACTATGTAAACTATTACTATCCACCATTTCTATAAAAACTTCGTTCTCCACGAGAACGTTCTCCGCCGCTGTGCTGGCGGATTTCATGTTGACCACGGAGAACTTCTCCGCCAGTTTTCTAACCGTATAATCTACTGGTCCCTTACATCCATCATCAACAACCGGAGACTCCATCTAAATAAGATATTTTTTTCAAATAAAAAAATCAAGAACATTATTTTATTAAACTTTCATTAGGGAACGCCAAAGCAACCTTTTTCTTTCTTATAGTAACGTAAAAAAATATTTGTTTTCTGCTTTACTAAAAACCATTACCTGAACACGCTTGTTATGCTTGGTATTGCATTTAGTAATCTTTAAAGGATCCTTTTCTCCGCTCCTAATCCTGACCAGCTCCTCAACCATGGCCTGGAGACACAGGGACATCAGGATTGATTGGGGAGACACCACGGTAATCCACTCCAGCTTGTCAGCAGCTACCAGATATTCAAAACTTAACTCAAGTTTCGCTTCTTGGTCGGAGTGTAGCTTGGCTCCTGGGTTTAGCAGAGGCTTGCCAGAGGTCATTATTCTCCAGCAACGAATCCTCGTCACCTTGAAGACGACCTCTTTAATTTCTCCGCTAGGAGTATAAAGTCTCATGTTGATACAAGATCTGCCTAGAGCTAGGGTTGCTCTGCTATGGGGCTCCGGGTAATCACATAGTCCTGGTCTGAACACGATATATCCATAGAACTTCAAGTTTCGAGCTATTTCCATATATTGACGCTTCGCACCTTTAGCCTGAAAATTGGTAACATTTTGCAATTCGAATTAAACGTTTTAAGGTCTCTTATTTTTTTCTTTATGTTTATTTTTGAAAAACTCTGATACAAATTCTCTATAGAAATAAACGTTGTTTTTTTCTCAATATTTTATAGTTTTCTTATTGAATGTATACCTGCATTAAAGCAAGTTGTTGCTTGATATCCTCCGTAGCTTGTATCCATCCACGTTCTATCTCCGCCACTGTCTGTATGTAGAGTAGGTTCAAAGTTGAGGTTTCAGAGAGTAAGGAATCATCTATACTTGAATCCCAGCAACTTTTCCGCAAAACTATTCTTAACGGACCTGAAGTAATCACGGATATAAATGATTAGAATATTCCAAATATTGCACTGCAATGCCTGTGTATTTTTTTCTCATACATTTTCTCCACAAGAATTAATAACCCCCAAACGATTTTCAAATATGTTTTAAGAATAAAATCGGTTTTATATTACAAACATTAACATTTAACATATAAAATTATAGATAAATTATTCGTAGCCAGGGCTACTGCCTAACCATTTCTGGTTGTTTTATTTCAATATACATTATACACTCTTAAATCTTCCGATTCCTCTCGATTCTTTTAATCAAATCTTATTACAGGACGGGTAAAATGTCTGGGTAAGTTTTCCATTACAGAACGGATGAAGTTTATCTGGGATAATGTTCTAACTATTATAACCTCGAAAAACATAAAACAACCTGAATCCTCTTTATCACCCATTAGAGTTGAGGTTGTTGAAAGAGCTTTCTGTGATATATAAGGAGACTCGAAATCCTGTAGTTTACGAACTATCGTGATATCTCCGTCGAAATCCCGCCGAATGAGGAACAGAGAGAAGCAGGATTGAAACTCCTCTGGTACATTGAGCTGGGAGCAAACCTTGCTGAGCACAGAGTCCGTCTGCTCTACAGTTTGTATATTAATGTTGATCCTCTGCTCGTTGAGAAGGAAGATGTCTATGCTGATGTTCTCCAGGTTCTCCTTCCTAGTCTCCTGCTGGGCGGAGACTAGGAGACTGTTGAATGTTGAACTATTTGATACACGGGGATCCTGGATCAAACACAGCTTTAATTATAAAATCAGGACGGGTTTAAGTGGTGGGCGGAGATGTTTTGATGGAGTTTTCTACAAGTTTTAGATTTTTACAATTTGCAAAAATTGCCAAAGTAAAGTAAAAAAAATGATGAGATGATTTAGTTCTTTTCTTTTAGTGATTTTTATATTTTGAAATTGCATTGGCTAAATTAGATAGAGAAGGGTATAACAATGAGGATTGCAACAGTAGGATGTTAAAAAAATTGATCAAAACTGTATTTTCCTGGGACACAAGTTGTAAATATTTTTCTAGGTTTAATCTCCGTTCTTCAATCTCGGTTTCATTGAGCGTAAATAGTTTCTTGGGTGGGAACTGCGGGATAAGCGGACCGAACTCCCTCCGTAGTTCCAAGTGGAAACTATGAAACTGTCGATACCGGAGTCGACAATGCAGGATACCATTAATATGCACTGAGTAGCTCCTGAAGTTCAACCCCTTTTCGTCAACCTGACAACAAAATATCTTTTATAAAAGTTTCATTGAATAAAATACTTGTATTCAACAGAGAAGACTGCCTCTAAATTTTCTTGTTTGTTTTGTAATTTTATTACATAAAGCTGAATGTATGTTATACTGTATGTAATGTATGTATCTATGTCACAATTTTGTGCGTTCTCAACATTAGCAGTGGAGGACTGAACCCCTCCCTTTGTGTGAGAGATGGTACCTTAAGGTTCCTTTTATTGATTTCGAGATTATCCAAACAGTCGACGAAAAAGGGTTTACACTCTTTGCTAACGGTGGATGTCAAAGTCTACTAAAGTCAACAAGAATGGATTTACACCCTTTACTATAATGGTGGATGTCAAGGTCTACCAAAGTCAACAAGAATAGGCTTACACCCTTTACTATAATGGTGGATATCAAGGTCTACTTAAGTCAATAAGAATAGATTTACACCCTTTACTATAATGGTGGATGTCAAAGTCTACTATAGTCAACAAGAATAGATTTACACCCTTTACTATAATGGTGGATGTCAAAGTCTACTATAGTCAACAAGAATAGATTTACACCCTTTACTATAATGGTTGATGTCAAAGTCTACTAAAGTCAACAAGAATAGATTTACACCCTTTATTATAATGGTTGATGTCAAAGTCTACTAAAGTCAACAAGAATGGGTTTACATCCTTTGCTATTGGTGGATGTCAAAGTCTACTATAGTCAAGAACAGGTTTACACCCTTTACTATAATGGTGGATGTCAAAGTCTACTAAAGTCAACAAGAATAGGTTCACACCCTTTACTATAATGGTGGATATCAAGGTCTATTTAAGTCAACAAGAATAGATTTACACCCTTTACTATAATGGTTGATGTCAAAGTCTACTACAGTCAACAAGAATAGATTTACACCCTTTACTATAATGGTGGATGCCAAAGTCTACTAAAGTCAACAAGAACAGGTTTACACCCTTTACTATAACGGTGGATGTCAAAGTCAACTAAAGTCAACAAGAATGGGTTTCAACCCTTTACTATAATGGTGGCTGTCAAAGTCTACTGCAGTCAACAAGAATGTTTTGATACTTTTACTGAATCAATATGTACTTTTAAGTGATGTAAATAAATGCATCCCTGAAAATGTTTTGATTTTTTGCGAGCTGGCTAATTACTTATGAATGCAAAAATAATGTTCAAATATTCAGTTGAGATTGCCATGAATACCAATCAGTACAAATTTCATCAAAATTATATTTTCATTTTCATTAAAAATTAGATAATTTCCTAGAGAACGATTTGTTGACCCCCCCCCCTCCTATCAAGTTTGTACATGGATCTTATATGTAACATATGGATGTAATTTATCGTGTGGCCGCAGCGCCCAGCCCCCTAGCCTGTCCTAGCCGCAGCGCTTGGCCCCCCTAGTCTGTCCAAGCCGCAGCCCCCTAGCTTGTCCAAGCCGCAGCGCTCGGCCCCCCTAGCATGTCCTAGTCGCAGTGCTCGGCCCAGAAATTGTCTTAACCTAACCCAACCCTAAAGTAATAAATGATAATAATTTATGCTGAAAAAAGTGATCATGTACAATTAAGGTAAACCATCATACATTATCATGTTGTACTTTTAATATTAACGTATAAGATTTAAATCATAAAACTTGTAAATATGAATAACCAACCTGAATATCAGTTTCTGGAATTGAGAAATGCATTTTATCACATTTTTGTTTTCTGAAAAATAGAAAAATATGTTGGGATTCACCGAAGAAATTCGAGGAAAATGTAACTTGATACCAAAGGTTTCCATCATTCATCTTTTTGGTAAAAACATGATAAAAGAACTTGTATGAATTCTAATTTAAAGTATTTTTAAACTTTTGTGTCGTTTATTTTTGATTAATTCTTTAATAACCGGGTCGTTGCCCGTCGGCTCAGTGATCTATCATATTATCTGTCTTGAACCGCTTCGTCTGACTTTCCCCTTTAGTGAAACTTTACTAAGAGCAGAGATACTCGAACCATCTTCTTATTCTCGGTCCAGTGTAGAGTGTACAGAGAGAGAGAGCAGAGAGCTGAACCTTGTTTTCATATTTCTCATATCCGCGGTTTTACTTCTCTCATCTCAACTCTTACAGTACCAAGCCTTGCACAAAGAACAACATCTCTAATGTTGGAACTCGGATTCCGGGTTTTAATCCTATGTGGGATTACAGTTCTCAGATTGGATTTAATCCTTAGCTCAGGTCAGCCTTTAGTTTTATATTTGATGTTTTTAAAGAAACAGTTCTCTTTACATATCTGTCATTTAATAACAAACATTTGTTAGATTTTCTTTAATATTGTTTTTTTTACGATTATTAAAAGTTTAAAGTTGAAGAATAAAAAAATTGATTTGACAGATTTTCAACGGATTTATATTTTTAGACGTTAGTTCACACAATTCTTATTTTGACGGGAGAAGATTGGACGATATCAGAACCGACATAATTCTACTCTCCGACCCGGAGAATATTAGAACGAAGCGAGATACTAATTCATCCGGGAGTCAAGTAACCAACTCAACTGAATCCTCCGAAATATCAGACCCGGATTTAAAACGGGGTTACTCACAGTCCAACGAGTTCTTGAATGATGTTGATATCAGTGAAGATACAATAAAAAATACTATTCAGAGTCATAATCATTCTATTTCAAGCAAAAATGTAAGTAACTATCTTTTTTAAAATCAGTAAATAAGAATAAAAAAATTTTTGGGTTAAAAAAATAATTGATATGAATACAAAAAATGTATACATTAAGTTATGCAAAACATAATCTTTTTGCATAATCCTTCATCTATTTTACGTGCGGGTGAAACCGCGTAACATTTATAAGATGTGCATTAATTAGAATAGATTCTAAATACGATATAATTAAATATAAAACCTTGTTAAGGAAACCACCAAGTACTACCAGACGGATTTCCTTGTGTCGGGGGACCAGTATTTCCGGGACCTGGACTTGGTCAACCATACAGGAGAGTTCAAGGGTCTGGTTCAGGAGCACTCAATGCTCTCACAGTCCTACAGGAGAGCAGCAACCATAAATCTCAAGTTCAGGTATTACAGAGCGTTCCATATCATCTTAGATTAGCTTAGATCAATGTCAAAATTTCACCAAGGACAATGTTAAAGGAGAAAACACATCTTTGTAATACACAATCTTTATTCTTATTATTATTCTTTTTATATTTTCTTAAAAGTTACATTAATTTTGGATTATTTCCAAACTTGCAACAAAAAACGTTTAGAAATCACGTATTTTTTCAAGCAAATTATGATTTTTAATATATAAGTTCTATCCCATAAACCCTAGTCTGACCTAGAGATAAACAAATATGAAATAACCAAAATACCAAAAATTGTGTTCATATTTACAGACTTTTCGAACTTTTACTTTTTTCCACTAAAATCTAAATTATTAAGAAACCTAATATTGTCAGATCTAACTTCCTGTAAAACGAAACTAAAACCCAAGGGTTTAAACTGAGAATCTACAATTAATCATGTCAATTTTATTTTCAAATATTTAGATTTCCTTTCTACGGACACGAAGTTGAGAATATAACAATAGCAACTGGTGGATTCTTGTACACGGGGGATTATGTACACTCCTGGCTTGCGGCAACACAGTATATAGCACCATTAATGGCAAACTTTGACACCTCAAACAATCAGGAGGCGAAGATTAGATACCTGGATACAGGAGAGCTTTTGGTCGTTGAGTGGAAGGATGTTTATCTACAAGTAAAACAAGATTTTATCTGCCATGAGATCACTGTTACGTTATTTTAGATAAGAACGCAAAAAAATTCTTTTCCTGTTTTGGATTTTTTCTGTTTCTCTTTCTTAATCATAGAAGCTTTTATTTTACAAACTAATTAAATGATTCACATAAATATTTCAAATTGATAAGTGCTTTCTATAATTCAGAAAAAGAGCATTGACAGCCTAAAATCAAACCTTGTCAATTTTGAATTTTTGAGATTTGAGGCGTTCATTTTGACTAGAAAATGATTTCTTTCATGTTAAACTTAAATTTTATTAAAGCTAACTATTATGTTTGTCTATTGGCTGTAAACATTCTTTGAAATTTTGTGTCGCGAAGAAAACAATGCATTCTTATTATTTTAAAAATTAGTGAAAAATTCATCTTTTTAATTAGGAAAGAGAGAAGGAAGGACCGTTCACCTTCCAGGTTACATTGAACAAGACGGGGGATATATACTTTGCTTACTACAAGATCCCCCTCGCCATCACCACCATACAGGACGAGGAGCATCCGGTTAAAGTCGGACTATCAGACGCCTACATCATAGACAGAACCATCTTCTGTAAGTGAAGAATAATTTTACCCTCAAAACATTTTCGGTTGAGTATTGAGCAAAAACAAATATAATTACACCTTTTAAGATTTACCATAATAATGAACTTTATTTGTTTAGTTGTAAGGAGGAAAACAATCTATGAGTATCATCGTGTTAACTTGAAGAATGAGAATATATCTAGTCACACTGCTATAGTGTTCAAGGCACTATTCACATGTAACACCCAGAAGACATGCTCAGAGTGCCTAGCTAGGTAAGTAATTATGACCTGATAGCAAGGGTGTATACAGAGGGGAAAGGAGGCAGTGCCCACCCTAGCCCTGCAAAGGAGGGCCCTCCCTAGAACTCAGAGCTTTCACACTTTTTAAATCTTAAACTGAAGAGAGAAGAACATAAAAAAATTAGTTTGCTGTTCATTTAGTGCACTAAGAAAACTTTATACGTGGACCAGAGCCACTATGACAGAAGTCTGAATGAAAAATCTATCTTAGAATGTACATTCATCCTAATCGGATGGGCGCTATCAGGGACTGCGAAGTTAAACATTCATTTTTAAATGCCAAACCACGAAGGTTTGAGTTTGGACTGGAGGTACTAAAAGATCATTTTTTGTTTATTAATTTAGATTTAATTTACTTAATTCATTGCACCGCCGTTTCGTAATCTTTCTTTTTATTACAAACAAGATGAAGTGCCCGGCGTTGCCCATGTAATTTTAAAAATCGAATTAAAACAAAAACTTGTAATTTATTTAGCTTTTGTCATCCCCAAGGGTATCAATGAGTTTCCTCATCAAAATTCAGCACAATTGATTCAGCCGTTTGGCCAGCCATAGCAAACATTTAAATGAACTAGGAGCTTTATTACATAAATTACAATTGTACTCCTACTTTTTTTTCAAAACAGAAACTTTTACTAGTCATAATTATTTTCTGGACCTTTGTCCTTTTTTCATCTCATAGAATTTAAGTTTAAGTTGAGCTTTTCATTTTCAAAAATGTCTTTTACTATCTCTAGTTTAAAGACTAATTATTACCAACATAACAGTATAACATAATGTAATGTTAAGTAGTAAAATTTGAATTAAATTTTATTTGCTGGATCCGGATCCGCATTAAAATTAAATGGATCCTAAGCACTGCATGTGACGAAAAATTATTCAAACTTATTTAGGCTAGTTAAGGTTGGTCATCTTTTCTTTTCACTAAATTATTGTATATTAATAAACATTAACAATATTTTCACAATTTTTTAAAAATTTTCTATTTTTGACATTGCTTTCATTTTTTAATTTCTTTCGGCATATTTTTAAATATAGTTTCAGCATAAAATTAATTTTCCAAAGTATTTAAGCGTTTAATGTTTAGCTGTAAGCAGCCAAATCTGGAAGTTATGATACTGTATTTCAAGGGCTTACTCTTAAAATATATACGTCAGTTTATTGTCTGGAGAAGTACGTCGTCAGAGCTCTGATTCTAACCTGCCAACGTATTATTTTCTTATTAACCAACAATTCTTTTAATGGTTAAAATCTTTACATCTATATATATAAGGTTGTAATCTCTGTTTGTTTGTTCGATCATAACTCAGGAACCCCTGGACCGATTTGCCTCAAATTTTGATTGGGGAACTCTGGAGACCCATGGAAATGTTCTTAGCTTGGTTTTAAGAATATAAGTTGAGCGAATCGACTTTAATAGCGAAAATTTAGTTTCCCGGTAAAATCGTTCAAGTGCGGGTAAACGGCGGGAGTAACTATGAGTAAGCGGGTCAGCACTGGGTTCCCAAGCTAGTGCATAATAAAGAAGAAAAAAGTGTGTGGGTATTTGAGAAAATTCAATCGTTGAAGAATTAACAATTTTTTAATTTAAAAAAAAATTAAAGATAAACAAATGTTTGGGCGCTTGTTTGAAAAGATAAATCTTTTAATAAAACCTTCACTAATTTTAAGAAAACAAGATTAATTATGATATTATCTAAAATATTGTTTTGTTTAGCCGTGGTCCCCAGGAGACTATAGAGTGTAAGTGGTGTCCATCAACTGGACGCTGCTCTGATGGTATGGATCGTAATAGACAGGATTGGATTACGAACGGTTGTGACAAGAGCTTTTACTCCAACCTCAGTACATGCACAGCACCCCCGGTACACTAAAAACTAATTCTATCTTCATAATGAAAATTTCTAGGGTCTGTCTCTGACATTTTTCCAAGACAATTTTTTACTGAGATTAGTCAAGGATAGTTTCTCAGCCTTCCCTGTAGGTGGCATGTTTTATAACAGTTATCTGTGAAAACTTTTTTTAAGCGGTTTGAGAAAATACGTAGTTTCTCTGTAAACTGAACTCTTTCCTATCTTGAGACATGGATAGGACTATGTATTTTTCTCTCTCCCACTGCTATGAATTATAATTAATTTTATTCACATGGCAATGTTTTTTCTTAAGGTCCCATCTCCTCAATCTCCTGCTACACCTGGAGAACAGGCTCCCAGGAGTGCAGATCCTTCCTTTATTTCAACCCAAGGTGAGAGTTTTATATTTTTAAAGAAATAGCTCAATACTTCTCCCCCCTCGCTCAAGAAAAAAATTTAAAATAATCATTCTATTTTTTACTTTGTGATTTACACTATCTCCAAAATAGAGTAATGACGCTTGAGGACTTCATCTAATCAAAAATATCCAGATCCTGCTGTAAGTACGGGAGGATTAACAGCTGTAGTAATCCTTGTATCGCTGGTCCTGCTGATCTTCGGTTGGATCGGATACGCATACTTCTATCCTCACACCTGGTCAGGACAGATTCTTATAAAGGTAAAACTATTCTTATCTAGAATTATTTTCCCTGGAATTTCAGATTCTAAGGCAATAAACGTCAAATTTCTACGCATAAGATTCTTTTTATCCTCTTGCCCTTGCATATTTAATTATTTATATTTTCCCCCTTGCAACATCTTTTAAAAAAACTCGAGAATTATTTTATTGTATTTTTTATGAAATGCCTCAATTTTTTTTCCAAATCACAATGTCTTCATTTGTTATTTCTTGAACAGCTTTATCGGAGATTATGCCAGAATACATAATTCTACGAGATTTTAAATATGATTTTTAAAACAAAATCTGCACACTAAAATTGTCGCTGCTCCTGAAGATCTGTGGAAGGGGATTAGAAATTAAGCTGAGATATTTATGCCGTGGTCTAGGATAATGATCATGTGGGGGAAGGGGAAGGACCTCCCCTCCCGTTCTTTGTAAAAGAGATGTTGTTGTAATTTCAAGTGACCTTTCATATAGAGAGGGCCATGCCCGATTTACAACGGTACCCTATAAACCTGTATCTGACTGTATAATGTGGAAGATATCGTCGTTTTCCTTTAAATATTAACAATTTCTTTCATTTTTCTGAACCAGAACTTTGCATGCGAAAATTATGTTTATCTCATGCGTTCTTGATCATACAAAGCTTTAAAGGGCGTAGTTGTAAATTTTTCTTCACAAATCGAGTGACTAAAAATCATGCCTACAGTCCCTTTAAATATTTGTATTTTAGTACCGACCTGGAGCCTGGAGATGGAGGCAAGGTGGAACCAGATATACTGCAGCTTCCATTCATATGTAATCTATACCAGCACACTTTCAATATTAGGTAAACTTTTCATTTTCATCCAGGAGCCGTCCTGTAAACATGGATCAGTCATGTAAAAATGGACCGTTCTGTGAACATGAATCCGTCCTGTAAAAATGGATCCAAATAAAATGGCGTTTTATTTATTTCATTATAAAATAAAAATGTTCCCGTTTTTTCAATGAAACTTGATTGGCCATTGAGGGATAGAGGGGAATTACCAATCACACAGTTGTCATTAGATCTGTTTCATGAGAGAATTTCTTTTTATTGCCACACAAGTTCTTCTCAGGGTGTATAGTTTTCAGTATTTAAGGACCTGGGGAAAACATTAATAATTTGATATCAAAAGCAAGTTTTTTCATCTTTTCTCTTATGTTTTACCCAAAGATTTATTTATTTTCATCTATAAATAATTCATTTTTCCCAATTCCGGCAGTATAACGAACAATCCTAACTTTGAGGGGGGGGGGGAATTATCTTTAAAAGGGGAGGGGGATGATTTTTTAAGCAAATATAAACTCCGGGTACTACTAGGTTTGTTCAATTTTCACCCATACAAATAAAAGTTTGCGTTCAGTTAAGATTTTCAAATGCTATATTTAAAACCTTAAATCCTAATAATTTTCAGGAAAATGAATTGTTCACAAATTGCAGAAATCCATTCATTATCTATTAATGGTTCTTCGAGTGGAACAGAATGGATCTTAACTCTTCTCTTTAGGAAGAAACAGGAAAATCTACGAATTGTCGGCCTACATCTAGTATTACACAGTACACATTTATAAACTAGGCCTACCATAGACTTGGAATCTAGAATCTATATATACATATATATCTAATTATTCACATGTCTGTAAAAAGGTTCGAGAATAAAATCGGAGGCTCAAAAAAAAGAAGTTTAAGGATGAAGTTCGTATTTAATGAAGCATAAAATTTAAATGAACTCCGATTAATTTTCTACCTGTGCCATTTTAAATAGCTTTATATTTTACATGTTCATCTTTGAAGCTTTATAAAGCTTTGAAATTATTAATAGAAAGTAATGTAATTAAGATTTAACTGGATTAAAAGACAATTTTTATTACATGCGTGCGTACTGCGTAAGGTAGAGGTTCTGGTCTAAATAGAAATAAAATGCGAGAAAAACTGCTAAAACTGATTTTTACAAAATATTTTTAAAAATTGCTGGATTTAAGAGAATTGCGCGGAAACGTAATTTCTGAAAGACCAGAATTTCAACCGAAGGCAGACTTTTATGCTCAAGCTAAGCTTTTTTATGTCCATCAAATTTGAAAAAAAAACATAACGTTTCTGGCATTAAAATTGTATAACCAAAAATCCGCGAATCTTATCAGTTGTGTACACTTATTTTTTCCTTCGCCAATCAATGTTTTAACCTCGATATGAATACAAGTTTTAGTCAACATTGTAAATTTCGACTCGCTTTATATTTGTATGTTTAATCTAGGGTCGAAACTCTCAAAACAAACTTTCTTGTTTACTCTGCCCTTCCTTAATATTAAAGCATAACTTCTGGATTCGCTGAAAATTTTTTTAAATTTATTTTTTCATTTTCCGAAAACTTTGGATTTTGATATCAAATTCAAAATAGATTCCTAACATTTTCTAAAACTTTAATATTGATTAAAGAAAATCTAAAATAATCTACCCAACATTGGGAATCGCAATTTACGAATGTTTGCAATCTAAAGTTAGTATTTTTGTGAACTCTCCTTATATTTGTAACATAATAGTTTATATTTCCCCCCCCCTCCCCCCCCCCGCTTCCGTATTTGTTTGGCTGTGGTACCTTAGTTAATGTTTTATAATATCAAGTCTCGGTTCATGGATCCGTATCATTCATAAATTCATTTATTCATTCATTATCATTAATTTGATTAATCTTCTCCTGTTCATATACATAGATAGGATCAAGGAAGCCTGAGACTAGAATTATTTACAGGGGTGTATAATGTATATTTTTAAGAATCCCCTCCTCCCCCAATTATTTTTTAAAATCAAGTTTAACATCAATAAAGTTTTTTTATCCTTTAAATACTTGTTACCATGTATTCCCTTCTAAATCATATATTTTCCCTAAACTAAATATACAGTATACAGTATACACCCCTGATTATTAAACCCAGGAGAGTACAAATATCCATAAAACTGTTTTATCAAGGAAAAAATTGTCTAATTTTCACTTTAGACTTAAATTTCGATTTTTTTTTGTCACAAAACTTTGTTCTCCTGGAGATAAAGTTGTATCCGGGACTATATAATAAACATAGAAATCTCAAAAACATCACTGAAATTTTTGCATCGTTTTTTCATAGTTCCAATACAGTAATTCCCAATTTAAAGCTTAATTATCGTCCTCTATTCTTTTTTTTAATAAGAAAATGATATTTATGACTTCATGATTATGAGGTGTATTCAGGATGAGACTCAGCCCCCTCCCCTTTGATAAGTGAAATCTTTTTTGGGCCCAAAAGTTCTTAGCCCCCCCCTGGACATTCTCCTGAATACACCCCTGATGATTTTCTAATGATTTTCCTCTGCAAAAAATGTTTTGAGATTTAAATTTTTACAAAACTTCAAAATTCTTATCTGTATTTCATATGAGAAGAAAGAACGAAGACGACAATAATTGAGTTGTTGATTGGTTACCACTGTATGAGAATACTGGAGTCTGGGTTTAGAGCGGAGATTACTCCAAGTATATTATGTACATGAATTTATATACTGAAGTTGGTCCACTGTATCTTGCCGTGTGTGTAAACCGTACATAATTATCAAAAAATGTATCGTATCAAAATTTAATAAATTATTTACAATGATCAATTATGTTCCATATTCTTTTTTTTATCTGCCTTTTATCCTAGATCATTAAAGGATTATGTAGAATATGAATCAACAGTTAATGCCAGTAGTTTTGTAATGAACAACAAAGAAATTTTTTTTTTGAACAATAGAATATATGATTTTAAAAATATCAATCTTTCTTAATATTTTTTTTTTACAGATTTGTCGACAAAAGTGAATTTAAGAAGATCAGTTCTTGTTGCTGTAGGAATATTTTATTGCATTTTATTCTACTCTTTCTTGATGCTCAAAAATAATCCTTTTTGCTTTAAAATGAAAATGTACTAGTAGCTGAAAAAACACAGAATTTTTAAAAAATAATTTTATTGGAAAAACTGTCGAGTCACGCTCTACATATACTGTAAAATATGCATACACAGGGCGGCGTCCCTAATGATTATAGATTCGTACTCCGAGAATTTCTGCACGCAAATTTTTATTTTACTCTAAAATAATTTCTATGTAATATTAAAAATGTACTATTATTTCCCAAAAATCGGATTTTTGCGCATAGGGTCCTCCATGCTGGCAGAGCTGGCATACAGTCACATTCGAAAGTTCTTTTGATCTCCAATCAGATAAGGAGAGGTTTGCAGACAGCAGTTTTCTGGGGTACAAGTGGTACAAGGTTACCCACTGTGGATAACACTTTAAGTGACGATTGTACGACATTTAGTCAATTCTTGTTCTCCCACTCATGGTTCCCTGCAGCTGTGATCTTATTTCTACATTCAACAAATTCATCTGTTTATCTGATAAGACTATTTTCAAGGCACAACCCCAAATTAGTCTGTTTATCTGATAAGTTTATTTTCAAGGCATAACTCCAAGTTCATTTGTTTGTCTGATAAGACTATTTTCAAGACATAACCCCAAATTCATCTGTTTGTCTGATAAGACTATTTTCAAGGCATAACCCCAAATTCATCTGTTTATCTGATAAGATTATTTTCAAGCAAAGAGAATATAATATATATTAGAGGGGAATTTACTAGAAAAAAGTGTAAAACGGCCATTTTGTTGTACTGTTTCCATACTGCAGGTGTACTGCACATATTTATGCTATATAACCTTTTGGGCCCTGGAATATCATTTTATAGAAAATCTAAAATTAATGTTAAAAGGAAACCAAGTTATGAAATAGACTGGTTTCATAATTGACCAATGATCATTTCACATAGACTCTATCCCTTCCACTTTACAAACGATGATTTTCCGTTATAACTATAAATCAAATGATGTTTTTATTCATCTAATTCATTATAAAGTTTATTTAACAGCTTTAGAAAATTCGAAATTGAAATGAATAGTCCAGGGAACATACTGTATTAATGTACTCTACTGCATATAATTTGTGAACATTTACATGATTTGTTCACTTTGACCTCCCTTTCAGGCTGAAAGGAACTGAAAAAATTCATACCGAGAGATTCTTTAAATTCCCCTCTAATATATATTCTATTCTCTATGGGCACAACCCCAAATTCATCTGTTTATCTGATAAGACTATATTCAAGGCACAACCCCAAATTCGTCTGTTTATCTGATAAGACTATTTTCAAGACATAACCCCAAATTCGTCTGTTTATCTGATAAGACAATTTTCAAGACACAACCCCAAATTCGTCTGTTTATCTGATAAGACTATTTTCAAGACACAACCCCAAATTCGTCTGTTTATCTGATAAGACTATTTTCAAGACATAACCCCAAATTCGTCTGTTTATCTGATAAGACTTTTTTCAAGACATAACCCCAAATTCGTCTGTTTATCTGATAAGACTATTTTCAAGGCACAACCCCATCATCTGTTTATCTGATAAGACTTTTTTCTAGGCACAATCCCAAATTTATCTTTCAGATCGTAATATTTCAAATTTTAAAACTGACAGGAAAACGACCTTAAGTGTAGATACAAATAACGCGGCCCGCCCTACCATATGATTATACATGCTTTGCAGACGGTACTCCATTTTAATAAGAAATATTCAGAATAGGTTATTGTATACGAGGTATTTGTACATCAGACAAATATTTCTTATTAAAATGGTGTACTCAAAAATGAGAAGTATTTATTAATTATCATAAATAGTGCCTAATTATGACTAATAAAGTGGTATCTAAAACTTTAAACATTTTTTACACGAAAAGGAAAATATTTAGAAAAAAAATTTGAATTGAATTGAATTTCATCTTTTATAATCTTTGATTTTAGCGATACCTTTTTTTGAAGTTCAAATTAAAACTTAAAAAATTTGTATTTATTATTTAAATCTTAATATTTTTACAAAAAAAGGTATTGTTTTAATCAAAGATTACAACAAAACAAGTTTACTCCAGAAATATTTCTCCAAATATCTTCCTTTCTGCGTAAGAAATGTTTAAAGTTTTAATATAAATCTTATAAACCACTTTATGAGTCCATATATGTTTCTAATCATGACAATCAATGAACAACTCTACACTTTTGAAAAATTCTTATGACACTACGTCTGCATAGCGTAGACTTTGTCTGCATAGTGGAGGCTCGGTCTGCCAAGCGAATCTGGGAGGCTCGATGTCTGAATAGCAGAGGCTCATGGTGTCCGGGGGTTCCCTCCCTAGTACAATGTACATTATACAAAAAATTCGTAGCAACAGCTGATTGTAATATTAACCTAAGTGTAATATTCTACCTTTTAATATTTATTTGACGACAGGCGTTTACTTTTATCTCATTTATCATCAGATAAGTGTCAATAGGTTTTTTGTTTATTCATATAGAAATTCATTTTTATAGTTCTAAATTAAATAGATTCTAGAAGAACTGCTTTAATCATGCTCATTGCTAAGAATACAATGTGAACCACTCTGTAGATGAGGAATATTTTACCCCTCGCCACCTATCAATCAAGACACTATCCACCTATTTATTTGGAGGTCCATTATGCCATTGTAAAATATCTAAAATATTCTCGCACCCCCTCGGCAATCATGTACCTAGAAATAGAAACTGAACTCTTGCAAATTTTAAATAAATCAAATTATTTATTGAATAAAAATCACATTTGACGACATAGAACTGTGTAGAGGTTTGATACCACAAGGATAGATTCGTGGTTAATAAATAGAAGTGGAAATAAATAATAAACCTTCTTCTTCTTATTAACGAAAGAAATCTAAGTATAACAAAGAATAATCTTAAATTGTCAAGTTAAATAGTTTCTAAAAAGATCAACTTCACAAAATGCTTATTTTCGGAAAGTGCCCTACTGGGAAATTAAGCAAATACCATATCAACAAGTTCATATTGTTCCTACATCAAGTTTGGGAAATAACATACATTAAATGGATTAGGTTGTTTATATAAATATATAAAAACTTCATATATTTTATTATTGTTTATAAACCCCTGAAATACCAAGGAGAAAATTAAATAACAAAAAATTAAAATTAAAATTTTAAAATTACTATAAAATGAGGTCGGTGTATTTTTTTTAATAACCATAGTCCCCCTCCCCCCTCCCCACTACCAAACAATGTCTAAAAAGTCAATAAAATATCACTGCACCGTTTTCTACATTTTTAAAATATAATTTATTACGTCCCAGTACTTAAACATGACGACGTTGGGCTGGTGATTTGATTAGGTTAGTCTTGAATGATTTTTATTGGATAGGTTTTTAATGAAGAATTATATTACATTGTTTTAAGTTTTGAAGGGTTGAATACAGTAAAACAGAGTTTAAAGTATTCTCATTATAACCCAGGGAAAGCAAAGATTATTTTTTAAAATATTTTTCACTTAGCAGCCATTTTGAGTCTTTGTGATATAAAGTTTTCAAATGAAATGAAGCTTCTTGCGGTCAATATGATCATACTGCATCTTTAAGATGAACGTATAACTATAAATTTTGCTCTTGTTTTCTAGATTAAAGAACCAGATGAAGATGATGATCTGGCACAGAGAAAGGTTTCGCCGCTCTGGGTATAAATAAAGTCTGCATGGCTGCGATTGATGGAACGGATAAGGAACTAGTTAGGATTGATGCAAGCGGAGGGAGTGAGCTGGGACCCGGAGGAGATATTATTTCGGAGGAGCAGCATCTTCTCTAGCCTGGGATTCCTGGAGATTTAGATTCATATATTCAGGTTCAACCTTCAAATTAACACTCTCATCAATTCTTAAGAGTTCAAACATAGCTTTAAAAAACCAAGATGATGGTTGTTGTTGCGAAAATTATGAATGAAAAAGAGTGGAGCCATTAAAAATTACCATTTTTAAAAGTAAATCCCAGGAAATTATTTTGTAAAAAAAGTATGAAATTATAAAAAAGATATTAACACAAGAGTTCAGTATCGTGGATAATACGGAAAATCCAAAACTTTATTTATTAATATCAATTTTGGAAGAATATTGAACCCGGAAAAGAATCTAAATCTGAACCTGAAACTTAGGTTTTCCCCAGGTGAAGGGGATGTATCTATACCGAATCATGTGCTGAAAAAGAGATAGTTAAAGAGAAATTAAGAAATGTAAATATAAAGTTATGCAAAGATCTTTGAGATCGATCATTGATAGAAGCGCAAATCATATTCAAGTCTACTTTTAGCAATTATTGGATTTGGAAATTAATGCACAATATAAAAAATAATCTGTAACAACTTTGGGTGCCAAGTGTACAAAGTAAGTATTAAGTATTGAATTAAAGGGGGACTGCGCAATTATAATGAAATGTCAAGGTAAAAAGTGGAAAAAGGGAAACATAAAGAGGGGAGAGGAATGTTAACAGTGACGGTAAATTTGGATGGCATACATTTTACTGCAGAAAATAAATTATTTTAATTTGACACGTGACACTTTGATGTCGGCACCGTTCTATACCTTGATCTGTCGCTTCATGGTGATACAGAAGAGAGTAAGGAAGTACATGACAAGGATCGGCCAGAACACAGGGACGTTGAACAACTCAAAGAATGTACACGTGAAGGCGATCACCGTTGCCTTTGTTGCGGAGTACCAGAACTTAAACTCTGGTAATCTACGGATGAAGGGACGGAACTCCTCGTTCTGTCTGGTCGGCAGCTCAGGTCCTTCTAAACATTCGGTCAGCACCAAATAGATTATCAAGTACAATAGGTGGCAACAGAGAAATTAACAAATTATACACGACGTCACAAGTGTCAAATATAACAAGGAAAGCGAAATTTTCTCACATTAGTTGAGATGTTTTCCAAGATTAGATAAAGAAGTGTAAAAACAGAAACTAAAGAACACATAAAATTGCACTTATTTCATTGTAAGAAAAGCACTTTATTCTAAAATTATCAATATTATTAATAATTTTGTCCGACACAAAAACTGAACTGACACTTGTGACGACAGAATACAACTGTACTGAGAGTGTACAAATTCTACGTTGCCATCTATTGTACTACAATCTATTTGGTCAGCACGGTTAATACAGGAAAATCTTAAACTCAAGGATTATAAGCATTTGATTAGATATACCCCCCCCCCCATATCTTAGAAAGTAAAAGCCCAAATTTTCACTACCCCTTCCCAGGGTAATTAATGACTTGAATGTCAAACAATTACCAAAAGCAAGAGAAAATATAATGGTTGAATATTGGAACAACCCTCTTACCAGACACAATCACATGTACATGAGGGATATCCATCTACTCCCGATGGAGCAGTTACCAAGCACTATACTATTTGAATAAATCTAGACCTGAGAGTGAAAGGAGTTGGCGGGAGATGAGGATTGAAAATTGATAAACTTATAACAAAGCATTATTCTTACCATCATCATCCAACTCTGACATAGCCGGATCTATTTTAGGAGTAAGGAACGCCAGGAACAGATTGAGATGATAAATAGCTAGCGCGTAGGTCACAATATACCAACCCTAAAAACACAAATAGCTAAAACAAACCGATCCTTGTTGAAAAAAAAATAGCTAGCCAATAGGTTAAACCATACCAACACAATATACTAACCCCGCAGAACAGAAAGAAAATCAAGTGCTCCTCTAAACCTTAATTGTTTTCTTTTTATAGATTAGCATGTACGATCCACAACGGTACCCATACCAGCTTTGTTTGATCAAGAATGAGATCTGAGGTTACTTTTAAAATTGAGAATTTTCAGTGTTAGCTTTACTGAAATAGTGATTTGCAGTAACAGTTGAGGAATTTGTTAAAAATTAACTCTTTTCAAGCAAGAAAACACGACTCATATCTTCTAAATTATTGATCAGCTAAAAATTATTGCTATCATTATGAATAGGACATGGCAATATTTAAATCCAAGGAGTTATATTTTTCAGAATTTTTTCATCATTTGGGGGGTAAAAGAAATATTAGACATCAAAAGGTAATTTTTTCATTCTTTTTTTTCCCCCTAATATTTTCCCCAAATCACCAAATATCACCCTAAGACAAAAAAAATTTTCAAGAAAACATACACCCCTGGGAGATTCACTTAAAACTAACGACAGCAACATAAAATCATGCCTGCACCTTAAAAACACCTGAACTAATAAATCCAAGAATGGAAAAATGTTTACCTGGGCGATTATAATTCTACCGATGAATGCGAGAATAAGGAAGACCGTTGTGGCCCATCTGCTCATAGTGTAAGGGGTCCACCGGTCCAACATCAGCTGGTAGGTCTACAAGAGGGTGAATTATTAATATATATTTATAACCCTGTTCATAAAATTCAAAAAAGTATCTGTCTATCTAGTAAATATTTTAGGGAATTCCCCTTTTAACCCTGGGCAACAGTCAAAAGTCCCCCCCACCCTCTTCGGAAAATTTTAAGGTGAAGATATATGACTTTAAAATGGGGGGGGGGGGTAAACCCAAGCTTTTAAACATGAGTAGAAATAAATGGATATAGAAATCTCTCAATTAGTATTTGATGGGCATAACATAAAATAAATATAAAAAATTGAATCATTTAAAAATGGTAAAATGATGATTCAAAATTTACATGCATAGCATACAGGGCACCAATATAGGCTTACATAATAAATAACTTTTGAAATTCTTCTTCTTACTTTATCATTAAAATACAACAAAACAATATTATATTTAAGTTATAATTTTGTTTCACCTGTCCTAATCTCTTAAAAAATGTAAGAACCATGCTTGGCCTTTGCCTGAGAACATCCTCTCCGGCGTCCTCCATCATAATTACGGTTTTAGAACAATAAAATTGTGAGTGAAACCTACTAGTCTGAAAAATTACAGGTTCAATTATTCAACCGTTCGATTCACGTCATTCTGCATGACGTAACATGACTTGAGCTAATTCTCATTAGTTTATTTGATTAAAGATGTTTACATGCGTAGCTCAACCGTAGATGATACAAAAATAATACACGGATGAAATAGGCGATTCTTTCAGTCATTATTCAATATCCGATCGGATTAATTTCTCATTATTTAATTCACTACTTGTCAAATTAAAGTTCTCTGATTTTTTTTTTACTCAGCGGCATTCCTAGTGTACGTATCATTTAGCGCGAATGCCCCGTAAAGTCTGAATAAAAAAACAAAGACGATTAAAAATAAAAGCTTTTTCAAAATTATTCCCCAAATAAAAAAACAACTGATTTAATTTATGAAATTTCGTGAGTAGTTTGTTTGCTTCGACATTAACATGTTTCCAACAAAAGTTCTTACTTTTTAACGAAAAGTGCGTCCACATGGCCGCGCGAATTGCGTGCAGATATTATTTATTTTCCTTTTAACGGTTTTCATTAAAACTCAACCCATTTAACAGGTTTTTTATCATACAACTAGAACTAACAAGTTGTAATGAGAAAGCTGTGTGTGTGTGTATGTTTGTGTGTGTGTCGAGGACAAGGATATATCTGCGCATGCGTAGAATACTGAGTAGTATTGATTCAGCTGAGTGAGCTTGAGCCAAGGATTGAGCTAAAGGCCTAGATTGCTGTTAGACCCAAGAATAGGCCTTGCTCCTCCAATATTTTTGTTAATGTGAACGATGAACATTTATGTTGCGTATTTTCTTCATAAAATTAGATTTTTTTCAGTGAGAAACAAATTGACAAAACAATTTAAATATTTTGAAATATTTCTTTTAAATTTATATGTTTTAAACTCAAGAACTGCCTCACTGAGATGCCGGGTAGCACTTTATTCTAAAATTATCAATATTATTAATAATTTTGTCCGACACAAAAACTGAACTGACACTTGTGACGACAGAATACAACTGTACTGAGAGTGTACAAATTCTACGTTGCCATCTATTGTACTACAATCTATTTGGGTAACCCTGCATACACTGATAAAGAGTTGAAGAGAAGAAACAATAAAAAAATGTTTGAAATAAGAATGTTTTCAGTTAAATTCATGCCCTAGAAACTTAATATTTTTGACAGAACTTTTAGCTAATAAATTGAAAACCTACAAATTTGAAGATTGTCAAATGTTTGCAGTCAACATCCTAGAATTCTCTTTAAATGAAGAAAGAAAATCTAAAAATTGGTCAATTCCATAAAATCCCCCTTTAGAAATACGATCGCTCTATATACAAGTGTACAGCGTTAGACACGTAAACATATCGTAATGTACACAACCAACCTGTCTATTAATTAATTAAAAGACAGGTCGGTTGTGTAAATCTGAGCTAAGCTTCACCTCTTCGTTTTATTACTCTATGAGTTTTACAATCTTATAACTTGTCTAGATCTATACTTCTCTGATCTTATATTGTCTAGATATCTAATCTTGACAAGATCTTCTCTTGTCTAAACTTTTCTTGACGAGATTTTATCAATTGTCAAGATATTTTCTTGTCTATATCTTATCTTATCATGAACTTATCTTGTCTAGATCTTATCTTGTCTAGATCTTATCTTATCTTGTCCAGATCTTATCTTATCTTGTCTAGATCTTATCTTGCCTAGAACTTATCTTGTCTAGATTTATCTTATCAAGAGCTTATCTTGTCTAGATATTATTTTTTCTAGATCTTATCTTATCTAGATCTTATCTTGGCAAGATCTTATCTTGGCAAGATCTTATCTTGGCAAGATCTTATCTTGGCAAGATCTTATCTTGACAAGATCTTATCTTGGCAAGATCTTCTCTTATAGTTTCCAGAACTTATCTTGTCTAGAACTTATCTTGTCTAGGCCTTCTCTTGTCTAGATCTTATATTTTCCAGAACTTATCTTGTCTAGAACTTATCTTGTCTAGATCTTATCTTGTCTAGATCTTATCTTGTCTAGATATTATCTTGGCAAGATCTTATCTTGGCAAGATTTTCTCGTGTCTAGATCATATATTTCAAGAACTCATCTTTTCTAGAACTTATCTTGTGTAGATCATATATTTCAAGAACTCATCTTTTCTAGAACTTATCTTGTGTAAATCATATATTTCAAGAACTTATTTTTTCTGGAACTTATCTTGTCTAGATCATATATTTCAAGAACTCATCCTTTCTAGAACTTATCTTGTGTAGATCATATATTTCAAGAACTTATTTTTTCTGGAACTTATCTTGTCTAGATCATATATTTCAAGAACTTATCTTTTCTAGATCTTATCTTTTCTAGCTCTGATTTAGCCTCTTCTATTTCAGCTCAAGCTGCCGAGATTAAAGAATGGGAAACGAAGCGTCCCTTCCCCTGGACATGTGCGCAACCTTTGACGCAGACGAAATTAAGAGATTAGGGAAAAGGTTTGTCACGATTTGTCTGATTTGTCTGATTTGTCTGATTTGTCTAATTTGTCTGATTTGTCTGATTTGTCGGATATGTCTAATTTCTCGTTTTTGTCTGATTTGTCTGATATGTCTAATTTCTCGTTTTTGTCTGATTTGTCTGATTTGTCTGATTCGTCTAATTTGTAAGGCTTACGAGAGGGGACGATTTACAACTTGTTATTTTCTTGAAATTGATCTTGTTTTTTATGCTCACAATTATTTTAGGTGATGTTCAAGTTCTTTGCTTCTAAATTTTTAAGATGTCTAAACTTGAAAAGAAAATATAAAAAACCGCGGGGATCTAATTTAAAAAGTTGAATTATAATTTCTTTGTATTTATTGCAAAACCCTTATTTTTTACTAGAAGTTTAAATTCTATTTATTTTATTTTTCTCTATTGTTTTTGTATTTTTCTCAGTCCGAAGAACTTGAATTAAAAATTGTTTTTGTTGTGATCAGAATTTTATTAGTTTTATCTTGTTATAGACCTTGTTTTCTAGGTTTAAGAAGCTGGATCTAGATAACTCCGGGTCCTTGTCAGTAGACGAGTTCATGTCACTCCCGGAGCTCCAGCAGAACCCTTTAGTACAGAGGGTGATAGGTAAACCTAGTTTTAGAAATGATACCTGGATCACAGGTTTGCTGTAGTTGTACATATTTTTATTTAATTCAAAACATTTAAACATTTTAAATGCTTCCTGTAAATATGAAAATGGATTCATCGAGAAACGCTTGATTTTTTAAATTTTTTATGTTGATATTTTTTGTATAGCATTTTGAAAAATGTGATTAAAGAATGTTTTAACTATGCTAATATATTAATTCAAGTTGGTTGTGTTGTGTATTTAAAGCGGGAGAATGTATGTAATATCCAGGAATGTGTACTGCATGAACGAATGCGGGTTGTTAAACAATAATATTATTATTAATAAACTCTTAATTAAAACAGTTAATATTCATTAACCACTACACAATACACATGCAGCACACATTCTGCAGTATGCATCTTTCAAACATTAAAAAAAAATTCAAGCTAAGAATATAACAGAAAATCCACCACTCTGCCCAGGCTGGCTATGTTAATATTCCTTCCAGAATTTGAAGTATAAATTATTTCATGGAACTTCCAATCATATATCTTGATTTAAAATAGATCTATTTTCGTCCTAAATAAAGAGAAATCTTAAAAGATCGTACTTTATAATCGTAGACCCATATTGATAAGTAATTGTTGTAAACGTTGTTTTTTTTCAAGTTAAATTTGCATAGCTACTTTCTCTGAAAGGTAGAATTTGCGGTAAGAAAATTCGTCACATAATGTACTAAATTTACTCAAGAAAAGCGGAGATGCATTTTTACGTAATCATATACACTGCAAACAGCATTCTAACCGAAGATTAATATTTTAAGATAAACAAAATTATTCATTAAATTACTAAAGAATTTTTTTCTAGAAATCTTCGACGATGACGGTAACGGAGAAGTTGATTTTAAGGAGTTTATTCAAGGGGTTTCACAGTTCAGTGTTAAAGGAGACAAGGATACAAAACTTAGGTGACTATTATTATAAATCAGACCTTATAACAGGAAAGTGAAAATTGATTTAGAAGAAATGTTAGCAGTGTGGTATAAAAGTAGTGACCTACTGTTCGCTGGTTAAAATAAAAAGTGAAGTGAAAAAGTGTGAGAGAAGACCTAAATAATGAACCCTTAACAAAATTTATCAAAATAGCCTAGATTTTAGATTGTCTTTGTTAAAGGAACTGTAAAAGTAATTTAAATAACTTTCCAATGTCGGAATGTCGGATTCACAACGTACCATCAAATTCAAAACCCATGGTCTGATCAAATATACATTTGGTGTCCAATGTCCATGTCTCTCTTAAATTTTTTTTTAAATTATAGTTTCTCTTCAAAAGCGACTTGCGCATTTCTATTGCAGAGGCCAGGAAAGGGAAAAACATTTTTTATTAATAAAATTTTTTTTGATGATATCCAGGGTGCTCCACATCTATTGGTTCGTGCACTCTATGTTAGGATTTGCGGGTTGAAACAGATGCTTTATTTAAGATTTGATAATTTTTTTTTTGAATTAGGGTTGATATAATTTTTTGTGGTAACAACACTTTTTAAGTATTCTGTGCTTATTTTGGTTTTTATATTAAATGAGACACTCGGTTAAAAAAATATTCAGTCGCACAAATCTGTATTTTGATGAATCCATGAATATTGTATTCCCAATTAACTTTCAGTAAAAGTTCTCAAGCTTTTTAAATTAATTTTTCCATTGATTTTTATATTTAATTCAAATCTTTTATATACACTAGAAACATTTTCTCGTATTTTATCTCAATTTATTTATTTATTTTCTAAAGATTAGAGTTATCTTGTCAATTAGCCCTAGTTACAAAACTAAAGATAACAAAATAAAAACAAAAACTTTACATGAAAGAAGATTATACAGATAATAGTCGATGAAGATAAGAGCATTGGTTGGAATACCCAGGGATATATATTTTCTAAATAATTAGAACGTCATAAGGAGAATGGGACTTAAAATATCAAGCGTTTTACCTCCTTTTTCTTTATTTCCCCAAAAGTTGATGTATGGATGGTGGTCCGGGTTCTCCAATATTTGGGGTCTATCAGAGCCCCTTCTTTTAGTCTTGGTAACCGCTTTGGATCGTTTTTTAAAACTTTTATATATATTTCATGATTTTAAAACTGTCTCGTGTTAAAATTTGGTTTTATGAGGCTTTATAATATCTTTATTATAATAAAAAAATGTGAAAACGATAAAAAAACGATTCGACATTGAATGAAGAATTTAGAACACATATATATACTTTTAAATTATTAATAAAAATTAGCATTTTGTGTGGTTTCTTAGAATCGCCGTTTATTTTCCCGAATTAGAAAATATATTACAAACATTAGAAGGAAGTAAAATATTTAAGGTTATCATTAAATTTTTTAAAATTTTGAAAATCCACGAAATTTTTTGTGAAAATCCGCGAATTATTTTTGTTTTGTTTTACGATGTACACAAAGAGAACATGTTCACCATTAATTTAGAAGATGTGCGCGAAGCGCCCTCTAAGGCTAGTAATATACAATTTCAAAAAGGAATTGAGTCTTTGGAACAAATCAAATGTTTAAACCCCAATATCTTTAGATCCCGATCTTGTAAACCTTTGATATTTCAAACTCAGATTATTTGATTTAAAAGAATTCATAGTTTGAAATATCTAAGGTCTACAACATTTGGTTCCAAGGATATAGTGATTAGAAAATCAGAGTTTGTGGCAAAGACTCAATTCCTTTCCCGGCTCTTTTAAGTTCATTTGTATCTCCGAAATCCTTGATTCTAAAAATCGTTTTTATATACACATATATAAATGTTATTTAGGTGCTAAAAATGATGGTTGGAAATAACCTAAAAGATACTCAGCTCCAACAAATCGTCGATAAAACTATTCTGTTCGCCGACAAAGACGACGATGGACGAATAAGTTTTGAAGAGTTTTGCAGCATTGTCGGCAACACGGATGTCCACAAGAAGATGGTTGTTGATGTCTAAAAGTTAAAAGTTCCCGTGATCACTTATTACAAATATTTGATATTAAAGTTGAATATTTAAGGCCTACACCGTTTCTCTACTGAAGAGTTATTTTCTAAACGCATTGCCCTTGTCAGTCTTATATCACTCAAACTAAAAAAATCCAGGCTTGTGATCGTTTAAAGCACTACAGTCGTCGTCGTGTATATCAATACAAGAAAGACTACTTTCTATTTCAATTTTGATTTCTTATACCAATCTTTCAAACAGCTTCTCTTTCTTTACTTGTGAACTTGTAATTTGAAAAGTGCTTGTTAGGATTAGGAATCAAAGCATTATTAAAAAAGTCGTCTTCATTGTATTGATATAATCGCCGACCACTGCAGTTGAATGTTACAAGCTCACAAATGATTTTTATTTGAGGATATTAAGATTGTCACTGGATTCACATACTTTTTAACATTAAAGAAATGTTTCATACTTTTACTTAATTCTTTATTCTTTCTAATTAATATTTATTAAATATATGAACTAATTTAATACACAAAATATAGTAATTAACTTTCATAATTTTCTATATGTACATTGTACATAGCGTGTTGTACGAACATTTTAATTTTACTACTTTAAAAGATTTTCTAGTCACTTAATGTTACCATTAAATCATCTATTTTAAAATGGCTTTTTAATGAGTGTTTCATTAAAATGCTTTATTTTTTAAGTGATTAAATTTTGTATATTTAGCTGAATTATTTACTATCAGTTCGATCCTAGCCTTACAAATCTTGAGTGCAATATTTTAATGCAAATCAGACATTTTTAACATTAGCTGGACATTCAAAAATATTAATTTATACATTTTTCCTTTGTTCTTTCATAATGTCAATTCATTTCATCGACTCCTTGTGGCTTATCTTGACTCCATGTACCCTTTGGCATCTTTAACAAAGGAATCCTTTGATTATTGACTCCTTTAACAATTAACTTCTTTAACTTTTGACTCATCGTTTTTTTTAAAATATTTGACTCAAAAACAAGCGGCTCCTGAAGTCTGAGCTAGAGTATTGTAAATCACGTTTGATCTCGATATACAATGTGAGGTCAAATGCGTAATCCTCCAATAAAAGTTATCCCTGCGGGGTATGAACACCACATGGGATATTGAAGAGGAATGATATAAGATAGAAGGGAATAAGATTGAGATCAAGGTTTGATCTCGAGATTCACAACACTTGAGTTCTCACTTCTGGAACAACTTACTCACTGATAAATTAAAAACTTAAGCGACTTTTTACAAGAATAAATATTTTTCATTAAAATTTAGAAGCTAAGGGCTGATTAATTAAATTTTTATCTTTTACGCTTCTGTGTTCTATAGTGTTCGCTGGAACACATTTTTCTATCTCTAAAAATTAAAATTTTTAAAATAATATGAACAAAATATTTTCTCTGGATTTTAATTAAAAATGATTCTTTCCAATTCTGATGTAGATCATAATTAAATTCAGTGCTTAGGATCCATTTAATTTTGATGCGGATCCGGATCTTGGATCCGCACTGGATAAAAATGATCCGGATCCAGGTTATTTCTTTAAAATTTACTGAATTTTTAATAAAGCAGAATTTTCACATTTTTGTCTTATTTTTTTTCTCTTATTTTTATGCAAAAACTTGATGAACCATTCAAAAATCAGGAAATTTTTATAATCTCTTTTTTTCATTTGTTCATATTTGGGTTTTGAGAATAATCATTTTTTTTTGCAGTTTTGGTTGATATTTTGCCCCTTGGATCCGGATCCGGATCCAGGAAGCCAAAAAACTTGCGGATCCGGATCCTAAACACTGTAATTAATTATCTAATTGTTTTCCAATGTTTTGATGCTGTAGTAAGAGAATAGTTTGTTTTCAGACCGCATTATTCATTCAGAATACTGTATCAAGTTATACTATTATTAAATAAATTTATAAAAGAATTTTTTTCGTTGGCCATGTTTTTATGTATTTCATATATACCCTACAACAAATTTTTATGTATTTCATATATAACCCACAGCATAGTTTAATGTAGTTCATATATACCCTACAACAAATTTTAATGTATTTCATATATAACCCACAACATATTTTAATGTTGTTCATATATACCCTACAACAAATTTTAATGTAGTTCATATATACCCTACAACAAATTTTAATGTATTTCATATATAACCTTCAACATATTTTAATGTATTTCATATATAACCTGCAACATATTTTAATGTATTTTATATATAACCCACAGCATATTTTAATGTATTTCATATGTAACCTACAACAAATTTTAATGTATTTCATATATAACCTACAGCATTGTAATGTAGTTCATATATACCCTACAACAAATTTTAATGTATTTCATATATAACCCACAACATATTTTAATGTTGTTCATATATACCCTACAACAAATTTTAATGTATTTCATATATAACCTACAACAAATTTTAATGTATTTCATATATAACCTATAACATATTTTAATGTATTTCATATATAACCTACAACAAACTTTAATGTACTTTATGTATAACCCACAGCATATTTTAATGTATTTCATATATAACCCACAACATATTTTAATGTATTTCATATATAACCTACAACATATTTTAATGTATTTTATATATAACCCACAGCATATTTTAATGTATTTCATATATAACCCACAACATATTTTAATGTATTTCATATATAACCTACAGCATATTTTAATGTATTTCATATGTAACCCACAACATATTTTAATGTATTTCATATATAACCTACAACATATTTTAATGTATTTCATATATAACCCACAACAAATTTTAATGTATTTCATATATAACCTACAACATGTATTAATGTATTTCATATATAACCTACAACATATTTTAATGTAATTCATATATAACCCACAACATATTTTAATGTATTACATATATAACCTACAACATATTTTAATGTATTTTATATATAACCCACAGCATATTTTAATGCATTTCATATTTAACCTACAGCATATTTTAATGTAGTTCATATATAACCTACAACATATTTTAATGTATCATATATAACCTACAACAAATTTTAATGTATTTCAAATATAACCTACACCATATTTTAATGTAGTTCATATATAACCTACAACATATTTTAATGTATTTCATATATAACCTACAACAAATTTTAATGTATTTCAAATATAACCTACACCATATTTTAATGTATTTCATATATGACCTACAACATATTTTTTTTACTTTTATTTTGAAAAATACCAAATGTCTAAAAAATTCATGAATGCTGTAACATCTTTAAATCGTCTAAATCATAAGGAACATATTTTAGTTGTAATTTGTATAGGGTGGATTTAAAAAGTTGGCGGGTGTTAAATACGAGATATAAAGGAATTGACTTTTTGTCACAAACTCAAATTTTCTAATGCTTATATCTTGCCAATCTAAAGGTGTAAATCTTTATATTTCATTTGAATTAACACAATTCATGAGTTTGTAATATCTAAGGTCTACGATATTGGGTTGTAAATATATAGGGAGTAAAAGATCAGAGTTTGTGGCAAAGACTCAATTCCTTTAATTGCAAAATATATTCTTGATAAGTTAGCTTTATTTTCATTTTGCGAATTTGTTTTCTCGATCAAAGATATTGACCAAAACGATTTTTCAAAACAAAAACAAATTCTAATCGTTCTGAAAAATCGTTTTGTTCATAAAAATAAACTTGTATAGCATGATATCTAGAAATAGGTTTTACATCTCAAGTTCTTGAGCCTTTTAAAACTCTAAAAACTTTGAATATTAAGAAACGATGCTCATCCGAAAATGACTCTTGGCGTACGAAAGTGTTATCAAACTCTTTTTTCTTGTTTACTAAAGAATATTAGCGCAAAGTAAATATGTACAAGTTAAAATAAATTGTCTAGTAAATTCATTTTGTGGCACCTGGTACACCTGGTACACCTGGTACACCTGGATTTTATGTCTGAGTAAATCTTTCAGGAGGACGGATCTCGTCTTCAATCTGTCCTCGGCTACTTCGAGAAAAGCCTCTTTTATCTTTGGACCAAAGAAGAAATGAAAATTACATTAACAAATAAACGCCGCAAATTATTTCGAATATCATAGACGACCTTCAAGTCGTTCTGCTTCTTTGAAGTTGTTTGGAACACCCTGTATTTAAATCAATTTTTTGTGAGGAGGAATGTAAACAAACCCTGTGCCCCCACGGAAGTTGAAGGTAAAGGACTACAGCTCTGATGTGATATTACAGTCCAACAAAAAATCACAAGTTAATATATCAAGTTGGCTTTCTGGTCAATATGGAAAATACAATAGCAATATATTTTTATTCCACCCTTTTCCATAAAAAATGGTGCATGGCCCCTGAATTCTTTGTTTTGATCTCCTCCCACTGCAGTACACAGATTTGACGCATCAATTAAAATGGTGGTTCCTGGTCTATACATTTCTTGGCTCTTACCATAGAGAATAGAATATATAGATAGGAATTTACTGGAAAAAAGTGTAAAACGGCCATTTTGTTGTACTGTTTCCATATTGCAGGTGTACTTCACATATTTATGGTATATAACCTGTTGGGCCCAGGAATATCCTTTTATAGAAAATCTAAAATTATTGTTAAAAGAAAACCAAATTATGAAATAGGCTGGTTTCATAATTGACCAATGATCATTTCACATAGCTATATGTCTTTCACTTTACAAACGCTGATTTTCCGTTATAACTATAAATCAAATGATGTTTTTATTCACCTAATTCATTATAAAGTTTATTTAACAGTTTAAAAAATTCGAAATTGAAATGGATAGTCTAGGGAACATACTGTATTAATGTACCCTACTGCATATAATTTGTGAACATTTACATGATTTGTACACTTTGAACTCCTTTCAGGCTGAAAGGGACTGACAAAATTCAAACCGAGAGATTCTTTTAATTCCTCTCTATATATTCAATATATATATATATGAGCGAAGAGAATTATTATATAGATAAAGTAGCAATAGTAGGTTGCTCGAATGTCCGATCATAACTCAGAAACCTCTTGACCGATTTGCCACAAATTTTGATTGTGGAGCTCTGTAAACCCACGAGAATGTTCTTATGTCTGGTTTAAGAAGTCTAAGTTGAGTTGGTTGACTTATATAAAGGAATATTCGTTTCTAGGCAAACTTGGGTTCCCAAGCTATAGTGATACAATAATTAACCGCTGTTTGTCTGTCTGTTTGTTTGTAGGCATCCGATCTTAACTCATAAACCCCTTGACTGTTTTGCCTAAAATTTTGATTTGTAAATTCATCAAAGGGATGTTCTTGAGTTTGTTTGAAAACCTGTTCAGAACTCCTGGCACAGCTAGCTGGGTTCCCAAGCTATATTTTTTTTATAAACTGAATTGATCCTGTGTCGGAATTCTTACTTCATTGTTAATTTTGAGAGATAAAAAAGTCTGAACATATATCTCTTAAATCTGTACCCTAGATAAAATACTGTATCTATGGATTATATATATAGAATTAATATCTCCAAGCGTTCACCTTCTCTTTATGCTAAAGGAATTGAGTCTTTGTCTCAAACTGTGATTTTATAATCCCTATATCTTTGCAACCTTAGATATTTCAAAGTTTCAATTCTGTTACATGAAGGAATCTAAGTTTGAAATATCAAAGATTTACACCATCAGGTGGATAAATATAGGTATTAGAAAATCAGAGTTTGTTACAAAGACTCAATTCATTTTTCAGTCCATGTTAAATATTTTAGAGGTTCCGTGGCTTCTCAAATTTGGTATTCATTTATTGGTATTCATTTAACTGTACAAAATTGCAAGAAAAGAAGAGATGATGAGGAGGAAGGATGGAGTAAAGAAGAGAGGATAAGGAGGAAGGATGGAGTAAAGAAGAGAGGATAAGAAGGAAGGATGGAGTAAAGCAGAGAGGATGAGGAGGAAGGTTGGAGTAAAGAGGAGAGGATAATGAGGAAGGTTGGACTGAAGCAGAGAGGATGAGAAGGAAGGTTGGAGTTAAGAGGAGAGGATAATGAGGAAGGTTGGAGCAAAGCAGAGAGGATGAGGAGGAAGGATGGACTGAAGCAGAAAGGATGAGGAGGAAAGATGGAGTAAAGAGAAGAGGATAATGAGAAAGGATGGAGTAAAAAAGAGAGGATAAGGAGGAAGGATGGAGTAAAAAATAGAGGATAAGGAGGAAGGATTGAGTAAAGAAGAGAGGATAAGAAAGAAAGACGGAGTAAAACAGAGAGGATAATGAGAAAGGATGGAGTAAAGAAGAGTAGATGAAGAGGAAGGTTGGAGTAAAGCAGAGAGGATTTAAAGTAAGGATACATATAGTAAAAAAGGAAGGACGGAGTAAAGTGTGATAATATGTATATTCTGTATGATTGTATGTATGTGAGAAGGATGGAGTAAAGTGTGATTATATGTATATTCTGTATGTGAGTAGGACGGAGTAAAGAAACGGAGGCCAGCTGATGAAATCCCTACTGCGGGTTCCGATACCCTGAAGCCGGGTCCTGGACTCTCTAACCCCAGAGTAAACTAAAGTCTAGCGTGGTCTGTAGTCTGTACTCAGTACTACTGCTTTACAGCTAGGCTGTATCAACCATACGGAGTTTAAGGGGAGAACTAAACCTCAACCCTGCAGGCATAATTCAACATTAAAGTTAAAACTTTATATTTTTAAAATTTTAGAATGGTAGTGACAGTTATGTTTATGTGATTCTATATAGCAGAAATTAAAATCTATTGATTTACATGATTTGTACACTTTGAACTCCTTTCAGGCTGAAAGGGACTGACAAAATTCAAACCGAGAGATTCTTTTAATTCCTCTCTATATATTCTATTCTCTATGGCTCTTACTAACCCGCCAATATTTTTGATCCACCCTATAGTAGTAATTAGTAGTGAACTTTTAATTTAGAGTTTTAAATTGTTTTCCGACTCTTTGATATTTTCAAAATTAATCAAAATTCAATTTGCAATTCAATTGAATCCAGTTCATCTGCAGTAGTATCCAGAAAACGGTAAGATGGTTTCATCTTCTTTCATCATTTACTTTGTTAAATGACACCAAGGTTTATTTAATTATGTCAACTGATAAATCTCGTTTAAAAAATATATTTATAAATCAGTTGCAAATCACATTCATATCCGTAGCATCATTTCAAAACAAAAAGAATAAAAAAGACGACAATTATTGCACTGTTATCTGAATACCACTGAATTTAGATTCTTCATATTTATCAATATATTATATACTATATCAAGTGCCCGGCGTTGCCCGTGGAAAAAAAAATTCATTTTGAAAAAAAATAAATTTTGAAAAAAAATGTCAAAATTTTTTGAAGCCTAGCACCCATGGGTTAATTCCCTCAAAACATTTCAGCCCATTCACAGTCACCTAACATTCAAAACCCTAACTATAATTCAAGGTTTAAGGTCCTAATATGCAACAAAACAAGTTTGCCTTTGACTCCGGGAATAAAATAAAAATAGCATAGTCACGCGGTTTCTAAGTCGCATCAGCAACTTCGCTTAAAATTAACGTCTTCCTGCAATATGCTGAGAAGTTGTCTAAAAGAAGTAAATATATCCAATTTATGCTAGATACATAACAGAATCTGTATGTGTGTCCAGTCTAGAAAATGCTTTCTATTGTGTACTGAATTATATAAGTCGATATTCATCTTATTGAATGGCAACAAGTTCTGCATTCATAATCACTTTTTTATGTTTTTTGTTTTCGTGATAGAATATATTTTTGATATAAAACAAGAAAATGTTTTATCAGCTACTAAACGAGAACATTTTTGCAGAGAAATCTAATTTTAAGAATCTATCTCCTAGTGTTATAAATTAAAATAATTATGATTAGTTATTACTTTTCAAAGGAACCACAAACTATAATTATCTAGTCCCTATATAATTGCAACCTGATAATCTGTAAACCTCTGAGATTATGTTGGACTGATATAAGAATTAGAAAACTAGAGAATGAGGCTAGGAATCAATTCCTTGACTTCAACAAATTAAAAAAATATATATTTGAAAGAATAAAATAATCAGTATGAAATTACAATTTACAGAAATTGGTTTGAAATTACCAAGATGTTGAATACAGATTTTAGAATGAGAAAAAGTAGATTTGAAGTGCATGTATCAGAAGTAAAGTGCCTGGCAGGCAGTTTCTAATACGTAAAACATTTCTGGGAAAACCCTAATAGTTATCTCAAGATATTAAATTCAGTCTAACGTGAAAGAATGAGTGATTTGTGATCCTGTTATAAATCTGCGTATCCTGTAGAGTACCTGGAGCAGGATGGGTTTGGTGAAGGAGAAGGATGGATCTCCGGCAGAGATGGAACTCATGAGAGAGTTTACTCCGGACAGTCAATCCAGTGCTAAGGAAAGATTCTAGTTTATTTTTAACTTTTGGATCGATTCTCTAGAGTAAAGTCAAGAATGTAACTTTTGGGAAATTGCATCAGAAAATTTATACTACTGCAAAGCTCAAATTTGCGACGCATTAAAGGGATTATACACGTAATTTAAGTGACTATTTAAAGAGACTGTAAGCGAAATTTTAAGTGACTCTCCATGCAAAAATGGCAATGCCCGATTTCCAACCACCGGCTCTTTAACTAAGGAAACAAAAATCTACCTTTTCCTGATAGTTTGTGATGAATAAATAATGAATGAAATCTTTGAAATCGCTCTTTGAGCGATTGAAGTTCAATCTAAACTATATTAAATAATCTTTAATCAAAAACTTCTTCGAGCCCGTTTTCGTGAATTTTTGTTTTTATCTAGTAATTTTTAATAGTCTGAACATCTTGGATGACAAACTAAAGATTGGCAAAATAATAAGTTTTTATTCATATTAGTTTGTTCAAACAATCCAGGCTTGGATTTTACTCTACTCTGATTCTCTCTGGTGAATGGTATGAACCGGAATTTTCTAGTTTTACTCCGTGTAGAAATATACCTCTGCTGACCTCCTTTAGGATATACGGGACTTTCTATCTCCCACCCCGGCCCATACATGCTTTAATTTTATAAATCTTTGCTTGATATAAACAAATTAGACGAAAATGATCGTTTCTTTAGTTTAAATTTAATTAATAATTTCACTATCTTGAAAATATTCTAGAAGGGTAGGATTACATCTCTGGATGATTCTAAAATATGACCTTTGCAATATTGTTGTTATAAAGAACTGTAACAATTTTAGATTGGATTTCTCTAAATTTGTATTGACCTAGAAATCTATTGTACTTATCTAGATTTGTATTGTACTGGTCTAGATTTGTATCTTACTGACCTAGATTTGTATTATACTGGTCTAGATTTGTATTGTACTGATCTAGATTTGTATTGTACTGGCCTAGATTTGTATTGTATTGGTCTATATTTGTATTGTACTGGTCTAGATTTGTATTGTACTCGTCTAGAATTTTATTGTACTGGTCTACATTTGTATTGTACTGGTCTAGATTTGTATTGTACTGGTCTAGATTGGAATTGTTCTTGTCTAGATTTGTAATATTGTATTGGTCTAGATTTGTATTTTCTGGTCTAGATTTTTATTGTACTCGTCTAGATTTATATCGTACTGGTCTAGAGTTGTATTGTACTGGTGTAGATTTGTATTTTACAGGTCTTGATTTGTATTGTACTGGTCTAGATTTGTATTGTACTGGTCTAGATTTGTATTGTACTTGTCTAGACTTAAATAGTACTCGTCTAGATTTTATTTCTGAGTTCAATTGTATTTATGATTGTTATGTGTTTGAATATACGTACAAGGAGGAAAGTATTGTTAGGAAATCATTTTAAATAAAATGAACTTAGCTACTAGTTCTGGCTAGTACACAGCTAGCTATAGATACTAAATGGCATCTTGAATTCGCTTTCTAGAAATTATTCACTTTAGCAAGATATAGACGGACGGGAGAAGTGGTGTGAATAGATTAATTGGAAGATTAAAGACATAGAAACCAACACCTGGCTTTAATTTTAATAATTATACATTTGAACACATGTTTATTTATATAAGACAACTTAACACACATGTATTTAAAGATATTTAAAAATTAAACACATGTGTTATATAGATATTAGAAAATTATATACACCTTTATTTATAGATACTAGACAATGAAACACATGTGTTATATAGATTTTAAACAATTAAACACGTGTGTTATATAGATTTTAAACAATTAAACACATGTGTTATATAGATATTAGACAATTAAAACGTGTGTTATATAGATATTAAACAATTAAACACATGTGTTATATAGATATTAGACAATTAAACACGTGTGTTAAATAGATATTAATCATTTAAACACATGTGTATAATATAGATATTACACAATTAAGCACATGTGTATTATATAGATATTAGACAATTAAACACATGTGTATTATATAGATATTAGACAATTAAACACATGTGTGATTTGTATTGTACTGGTCTAGATTTGTATTGTACTGGTCAAGATTTTTATTGTACTGGTCTACATTTGTATTGTACTGGTCTAGATTTGTATTGTATTGGTCTTGATTTGTATTGTACTGGTCTAGATTTGTACTGTACTCGTCTAGATTTTTATTGTACTGGTCTACATTTGTATTGTACTGACCTAGATTTGTATTATACTGGTCTAGATTTGTATTGTACTGATCTAGATTTGTATTGTACTGGCCTAGATTTGTATTGTATTGGTCTATAATTGTATTGTACTGGTCTAGATTTGTATGGTACTGATCTAGATTTGTATTGTACTGGTCTAGATTTGTATTGTATTGGTCTATATTTGTATTGTACTGGTCTAGATTTGTATTGTACTGGTCTAGATTTGTATTGTACTGACCAAGATTTGTATTATACTGGTCTAGATTTGTATTGTACTGATCTAGATTTGTATTGTACTGGTCTAGATTTGTATTGTATTGGTCTATATTTGTATTGTACTGGTCAAGATTTGTATTGTACTGGTCTAGATTCGTATTGTTTTTGTCTAGATTTGTATTGTACTGGTCAAGATTTTTATTGTACTGGAGTTTTGTATTGTACTGGTCTAGTTTTGTATTGTACTCGTCTTGATTTTTATTGTACAGGTCTAGATTTGTATTGTACTGGTCTAGATTAGTATTGTACTCGTCTAGATTTGTATTGTACTCGTCTAGATTTTTATTGTACTCGTCTAGATTTGTATTGTACTGGTCTAGATTTGTATTGTACTCGTCTAGATTTGTATTGTATCGGTCTAAATTTGTATTGTACTGGTCTAGGTTTGTACTGTATTGGTTTAGATTTGTATTGTACTGGTCTAGGTTTGCATTGTACTCGTCTAGATTTGTATTGTACTGGTCTAGATTTGTATTGTATTGGTCTCGATTTGTATTTTCTGGTCTAGATTTTTATTGTACTCGTCTAAATTAGTATTGTACTGGTCTAGATTTGTATTGTACTGGTCTAGATTTGTATTTAACTGGTCTAGATTTGTATTGTACTGGTCTAGATTTGTATTGTACTCGTCTAGAATTTTATTGTACTGGTCTACATTTGTATTGTACTGGTCTAGATTTGTATTGTATTGGTCTAGATTTGTATTGTACTGGTCTAGATTTGTATTGTACTGNGACAATTGAACACATATGTATTATATAGATATTATACAATTAAAAACATGGGTATTATATAGATATTAGACAATTAAACACATGCGTATTATAGATATTAGACAATTAAACAGATGTGTATTATATAGATATTAGACAATTAAACACATGTGTATTATATAGTTATTAGACAATGAAACACATGTTTTATATATAGATATTAGACAATTGAACACATTTGTATTATATAGATATTATACAATTAAAAACATGGGTATTATATAGATATTAGACAATTAAACACATGGGTATTATATAGATATTAGACAATTGAACACATATGTATTATATAGATATTAGACAATGAAATACATGTGTATTATATTGATATTTGACAATTAAAGACATGTGTATTATATAGATATTAGGCAATTAAGCTTTTTAGATATGCAATATATATTATGCATATAACATATGAACATTTTCAATGCAAAAAAAACACAGGGATTGTGGTCTATTTGGGGCGTATTTTGGTGTGAACATTTTAAAGAATCCAATATGATAAAGGGACAGTCCATATTAGACAATTGATCACATTTGTCTACTTTTTCAAAATGAGTTATTGGAAGCAGGCGCGTAGACAGGGGGTGAGGAAGGCAGTAGTCCTCTTGCCCCCTCCTATGGGATTTATGGGCAAATGTTAAAATCAGGTGTGCTGAGTAAAATTTTTCTTGACGCTTCGCGCAATTTATTTTTTAATTTGACCTCACTAGTTCACTTTCATCTAAAATCTCCCTCCCCCACATACTTAATGAACAAGTATGGCATATGCTTTATGCAAGTGTTTGGCATGTCTTCCTGCAACCCATGAAGGCCAACGGGAGATTACATTTGGATAGGAGGGTTGGGTGTGAATAAAGAGGGTGGAGGACTATTGATAGTCTTCAGGATACTACTCAGGACTTCAGAGAGTAATACAGAGCTATACAGCTGGATACCGTTATAATTTATAGTCCTTGAATCAGGACTACATTCGGCTACAAAGGGGAGTAGTCTCAGGAATCTACACTGGACTTCAGAGAGTAATAAAGAACAATACAAAGGGATACCATTATGCTTACATAAATACATACATTGAATTTAGACTACAATGGGCTACAAAAGGGATATGTGTTAGCTAGACTTAATAAAGAATCAAACAGCACTTTTAAGGCCAGAGGGGGGACAAGAAAAAAATTCCGCGCTTCGCCCGAAATCTTGCCTTCCTCCCCCCCCTGTCTAAATCCTGTATACTCGCCTGATTAGAAGGGGCCCGGTAGAGCAAAAAATAGCCTCCATGAATCAACCTCGGAGGTCGAGATTCTTGAGATCAATGACCCTCTGCTTTGCCATAATTCAAACACGAAAAATTTTCATTTTTCCATTTTAAAATTATTTTTAAAATAAACTTTTTAGAAAATTACTGAAAATATCTTACAGAGAGGGATAAATTAATGATCTAGTATATATACAAATAATAACTTTATTTATATTTGAATTATCAATGAAGTAATATGTGTAGCACTTCGCAATGTGTGTATATTCTACTGCAGGGGGGATCAATAAATCCAATACAATCTGTAAATCTTAATATGGATAGATCCGCAACAATTGCTTAAATGCGTCAGGCGAAACTGAAAATAAATGTATTTATCAAGGTAAACAAGCTAATATATCAAGCTAGAGTGAATACTTTTTGGCTTTCTGGTCAATATCACCCCTTGGGCCCTTTTCCCTCAAAAATTATGGGTTGCCCCTGAATTCTTTGTTTTGATCTCCTCCCACTGCAGTACACAGATTTGACGCTTGAGATATGGCGGTTCCTGGTCTATATATTTCTTGGTATTTATAATATGTTATTACAAGATTCATATAAAACCCAACAATTTAACGATAATGCTTGAGTAAGCAAAACTTTTCTTACCAAGCTTTCCCGTACTCTAATTTCACACCGTACTTTAGCTCCATCCTGTATTCCAGTTTAATACCGTACTTTAGCTCTATTCTGTATTCCAGTTTAATACCGTACTTTAGCTCTATTCTGTATTCCAGTTTAATACCGTACTTTAGCTCTATTCTGTATTCCAGTTTAATGCCGTACTTTAGCTCCGTGCTATACTCTAGTTAAATTCACCCCGTAATTTCTCTCCGTCCCGTACTCTAGTTTCATTTCATACTTCAGATCCGTCCTGTACTTTAGTTTGACCCTTTTCTACAGATCCGTCCCGTACTCTAGTTTCATCATGTTCTTTATCTCCGTCCCGTACTCTTATTTGATTCCGTAATTAAGCTCCGTCCGATACTCTGTTTCATCCTGAACTTTAGCTCCGTCCACTATTCTACCTTCAGCCTGTACTTTGGCTGCGTCCCCTTCTTTAATTCCGTATCATACCCCAGTTTCATTCCGTAATTTAGCTCCGTCCTGTACTCTAGTTTTATCCCTTACTTTAGTTTGGTCCCTAACTAGAGATCCGTCCCGTATTCTCTGTCTATATTATTCCAACCTTAATCAGTTATAAGAAACTAGATGGGTTGCGCATTTATTATATTTTTATGAAATGTTTACAAAGCAAAAACTAATTTCCCTCCAAGGTTCCTATTGATGTGAAGGATGAGGGAGTTAAACTCAAGGCTGAGATGACCCTCTTGAACGGGTGTACGGTCATCATTGGTTGCATTATCGGGAGTGGGATATTTGTGTCTCCTACAGGAGTCCTACAATCAACCGGCAGTGTGAATATGTCTCTTGTAGTCTGGACAATATCAGGGATATTTACTATGATAGGTAAGGGACCGAATTTAATTAATTTGAGCTAGTTCGCTGAACTTCCCACCGCGGATTCAACTACTTATTTGTATATTAAGGCTCCCTTCATCCTAATTCTAAACTTGCAGTTCATGGGCAAATTCTGATTCGTATATTTAAGATATAACATGGTTTAACCGTCTTTAGACCTGGCTCAAATTCCTTAAATTCGGTCCAGCTAAGAAAAAAATGGACATACAGTTACCCAGGTTATTTGATGTCGTTTTGATATAAAACAAGACCTTTTTATATAAAACAAGACCTTTTTATATAAAACAAGACCTTTTTATATAAAACAAGACCTTTTTATATAAAACAAGACCTTTTTATATAAAACAAAACCTTTTTTAACAAAAAAAATCCGCGATTTTTTTCAAACATTGAATTGAACCTTTTCTGGACACTTCCAATAGTTTACGAAGCGCTAAGCTAGGCTAGAATTTTTGATGAAAATGCAAATTTCAACAAGTTTTACAATTTCACGTGAAAGATTACCAATTTTCTTTTTTTTTCGCCGAAATTAACCTTAAAACATTGAAAACCGTCTATACGTTATTCATGGTTGTAATATATCAATCATATTACAGGGTGTATATTTTCTTTCGGATTCACCGTAATTAGGTAAATTTTATGCAACCAATGTCTGAAATGCTTAAACCTTTACAGTACTGTACACATTGCAGGTGCGTATTGCTATGCTGAGCTAGGATGTATGATAAAGAAGTCTGGAGCTGATTATGCCTATATTTTTACAGCTCTTGGACCCTTCCCTGCATTTATCAGACTTTGGATAGAATGCATTATAGTTCGACCATGCAGTGGAGCTATCCAGGTGCTAACATATACCTTTACAAATTCTCCAGGTACTAACACATACCTTAACAAATTCTCCAGGTACTAACATATACCTTAACAAATTCTCCAGGTACTAAAATATACCTTAACAAATTCTACAGGTACTAACACATACCTTAAAATATTCTCAAGGTACTAACATATACCTTAACAACTTCTCCAGGTACTAACACATACCTTAACAACTTCTCCAGGCACTAACATATACCTAAACAAATTCTCCAGGTACTAAAATATACCTTAACAAATTCTCCAGGTACTAACACATACCTTAAAAAATTCTCAAGGTACTAACATATACCTTAACAAATTCTCCAGGTACTAACACATACCTTAAAAAATTCTCAAGGTACTAACATATACCTTAACAACTTCTCTAGGTACTAACACATACCTTAACAACTTCTCCATGCACTAACATATACCTTAACAAATTCTCCAGGTACTAACATATACCTTAACAAATTCTCCAGGTACTAACGTATACCTTAACAAATTCTCCAGGTACTAACGTATACCTTAACAACTTCTCCAGGTACTAACATATACCTTAACAAATTCTCAAGGTACTAACATATACCTTAACAAATTCTCAAGGTACTAAAACGTATACCTTAACAACTTCTCCAGGTACTAACGTATACCTTAACAACTTCTCCAGGTACTAACGTATAACATAACAACTTCTCAAGGTTTAAACGTTTGCATTTAAATCTTATCCTAGTACTAGCACTAACCTCTGCAACTTCTCCAGGTTCTAGACCTAAACGTAACACCTTCTGCAGGTACTAGAACTAACCTTGACAACTACTCCAGTCACTAGATTTAACCTTGACAACAACTCCAGGTACTAGATCTAACCTTGACAATTTCTCCAGATACTATATCTAACCTGGACAATTTATCTAGGTACTATATCTAACCATCACAACTACTCCAGGTATTAGATCTAACCTTGAAAATTTCTCTATTTCTCTAATTAACGTTCACGCACTAGATCTAACCTTGATAATTTCTCTAACTAACGTTTACGCCTTTTCAAGTTACTAGCATTAACCTTTAATAAATTGTTTAAGACAGTTATATCTCTTTATAAACCCTGATATTTCTAGGCTCTCACCTTCTCCTTGTATATCCTCAAACCTTTCTTCCCTGAATGTGAGCCTCCAGATGAGTCTAAACGTCTCCTAGCCGCAGCGTGCATTTGCTTTCTCTGCTACATTAACTGTGCTAATGTGAAGTGGGCAAATATGGTGAGTTATAATAATATTAACAAAGGAATTGAGTCTTTGGAACAAAATCAAATATTTAAACCTTAATATCTTTAGAACTCGATATTTTAAACCTTTTATATTTCAAATTAAGATTATTTGATCTAACAGAATACATAGTTTGAAATATTTAAGGTCTGCAACATTTGGTTCCAAAGATATAGTGATTAGAAAATCAGAGTTTGTGGCAAAGACTCAATTCCTTTAACAAATTTGGAATTATTATTTTTATTCAGATTAAGATTAAGTTTAAATTTAAAATTTATTAAATAGTCACATATTTATGGTTTAATACAAAAAAGGATTATACAATCAGTGCATTAGGTAGAGATTGATTTCCGAAAGGAGAATATAGAATCCGCAAATGAGTAGTGTCGGATTCTGGAACCAGAGAGGGGCCTACTCATCTTCCTCTCCTTTGATATCCTTGCTATTTATTATATATTGCTATCATGTAGAAGCCAAAAAGTACTTTAAAATTACATATTAATAACTTTTTTAGAAATATCACCATTAAATTCATCAGAATGTAAAAGGTCCAGCCTTTTTTATTTAAAATTTATTTTTACATCGGGATTTACAGTTGGTATTAAACTAATCAAAATTTCTATGCACAGTGTAACACAATTATTGTGTAAAAAATAATATATGCGATTTTTTAATTTCAATTTTTTTCAGGTTCAAGATTACTTTACGTACGCAAAAGTATTTGCTCTTATCATCATCATCATCACAGGGTTCGTGAGGTTAGGTCAGGGGCACACGGAGCACTTTACCTGGGAGGGAACGGAGAAAGATCCGACCGTGATAGCGCTCTCGTTCTACTCCGGGCTCTTTGCGTACACGGGGTGGAACTATTTAAACTTTATCATAGAGGAAATGAAGGTAATGGATAATTTACAAAAAAATATGAAATGTCAACATTTGTATAATTAGTAGTTCAAAAAAGAAGTCAAGGTGGAACTTCGCATTTCCGTTTTTTAATAATTAATTGGACTGTAAGCGTAATTTCAAGTAACCCTCGCAAAGATTGTAATGTCCGATTTACAACGATACCCTTGAAACCTTAATCTGATCAACAATATGGAAGATTCTCTCATTTTTTGATAAAAGTTTATATTTATGTGAGTTTGTCCATTGTTTCTTATAAACAAGAAATGCGCAAGAATTACTTTCGCAGAGAAAACGCAAATTAAAATAAACCGTTTAAAGAAACAAAAATATTGATATATAATTCATAATTGATTAGACAAAGCTTTCAAGGGTACCGTTGTAAACTGGGCATTGTCATCTTTGCATGGAGGGTCACTTGAAATTACACTTACATTCTCTTTAGCACCGTGGAATGTTCAAAATAGCTGAGTCTGTAGATATTAGGTTAAACTTTACCCGAAAAAAGTTTCGTCGTAATTTACAGACGCAGATCATAATTCTATTTATAGGATCTTTTTTAGATTTATATTTTAATTTTTGTAGGATCCTAATGGAGGTTTATCTTTTAGGATTCTGTGCAGATTTATCTTTTTTTTTAGGATTCTGTGCGGGATTTATCTTTTTATTTTTTGGATTCTGTGCGGGATTCATTCTTTTATTTTTAAGAACCTCTTTGGGATTTATCTTTTTATTGTCGATCCTCTGCGGAAGTTTATATTATTTTCCTATAAAAATCTTGTGCAGCGGGATGTATCTTAATCTTCTTATTTAGGAATCTGTGCGGGAGTTATCCTTTTATTTTTAGAATCTTCTGCGACATTCATTTTCTTATAATTAGGATTCTTTGAGGGATTTATTCTTTTAATTTTAGTATTCTGTGCGGGATTTATCCTTTTTTTTAGGATTCTGTGCGGGAGTTATTCTTTTATTTTTAGGATCCTATGCTGCAGAGTTATTCTTTTATTCTTAGGATTCTGTGCGGCACGTATCCTTTTATTTTTAGAAATTCTGTGCGGAAGTTTGCTTTCAAAATCAAAATTATCTTTTTATTTATATCTTTCAATTATAGGATCCTGTGCGGGATTTGCCGCGTGCTATTGCTATTTCCTGCGTGACGTGTCTCGTCATCTACGTTCTAACAATTGTCGCCTTCCATTCTACATTGTCGGTCAACGAAGTCCTTGGCTCGGAAGCTGTCGCGGTCACGTTCGCCGGTCGACTGTACGGCAGCATGGCCTGGATTATCCCGATCTTCGTGGCGTGCTCGACCTTCGGAGCCGTCAACGGTACTCTTCTCACCTCCTCCAGACTATTCTTCGCCGGCGCCAGGAATATATTCAGCTATTAACTTCTTTTCTCAAATTAAATTAAATTTTTGTATGTTTTCAAACATATTTCTTTATTTTCTGGAAAGCTATTCAAAGTTTTAATTTCTGGAACTGAACAATACCATAAACTCTAGTTTTTCTAATCTAATTCATATATCTTTGCAACTTGATGGTATAAACCATTAATATTTCAAACTTAGACTATTTGATCTTACAGATTTCACGTTCGAAATATCAAATGTCTACGACGTCAGGTTGCAAAGATATAGCGGTTAGAAAATCAGTTAATTTTAAAATTTAACTTCCCTCTAGTTTAAAACAATGCATGCTCTCAAATAAATTTCCTATTTTCTGAAAATCTATTGAAATCTCTTCTTCGTGTTATGATATGGTGTTAATGTTATGATATGGTGTTAATGTTATGATATGGTGTTAATGTTATGATATGGTGTTAATGTTATGATATGGTGTTAATGTTATGATATGGTGTTAATGTTAATGTTAATGTTATGATATGGTGTTAATGTTAAAAGTATTCAATCAATCAATCAATCAATTACAAGTAGAAAAATTGTAGACTTTTACATTTTTACATCTTTGCAATTTTACATTTTTACATATTTGCAGTTTTAACATTTTTACATTTTTGCATTTTTGCATCACTTCATGCATTAAGATTGCAATACATCATAGGACATAGCTGTTCAAGTTAGGATTTTTATAATTATTATTATTATTATTACTATTATTAATATTTTATATTTTATTAAAATTAATTCATACTAAACATACTAAACGAATGTTTAAATATTAAGTATCAAATATTGGTGTACTACAAACATTAAAATTACATTAAAGGAACCAAAAAGACATACCAATGATTTCCTTTGTTTACAAAAAAAGTTTACTGAAAATCCTGGGAGAAATGTAAACAAATATAATGCTGGTCATGCAGATTTTTTCTATCTGTACTAAAAGCGTACTAATATTTTTAAACAACTATTTAGAGCTATAAAAAATACGTTAAGATCAGCGTACAGTGAACTTAAACTTTTCTTTTTCCCCCTTAACATTTTTTTTAACACCATCATTTATTTTCCAGGAGTAACATGTGTTGTTTTTTAATTATTTTATCTAATTATTATGCAACCAAATCTTGATAAAATTTGATAAAAACAAACAAGAGATATGTATAAAAGTATACTGTCAACAAAAGCACATATTTTTTAACAATCTTTTTTTAAGTTGATTTTTTTTACAACATTTGAAAAGAGCAGATAATATGTTCTCCGACCGTTGTATCTTCTTTTTATCTGATCATACAACTGTTTCTGTTCTTCTCTTTTAAATCTACAAATTCTCATCTCTTGTAAACAAGGGAAAAATATATTTCTGAATCACACTATTATTTAATTTCATATCTTGGCGTCAGGAATATCAAATTAAATATAATAGAAAGTTATTGTTTGTGAGGAGGAGATATCAGATGAATTTGCAGTTTTCATTATTGTTTTCTTATCTATGGAATGTCTAACCCAGCAACTGTTGAAGGTAGCTTCAAACTCAATTTCCTCAATATTCTTGGAGGTGGGAAAAAAAGTCACTGCACCAAGCAGGATTTGAAAATTCTGAGAATATTGATTCTCCAGGTTACTAACGCGTTTAAAGATTAAAGCAGGCCTTTAATGTTTCTTGTAGTCCCGTTTTTTCTTTTCCATTTGTGTGTAGGGGTGTATACACCCCTGGTAAAAGTTTTTCCAGTTTGCCATTTTCTCTCTCTCGCCCTGTATCTCTGAATACTCTTAGAAGCGCCGAGCCAGAGCCAGTTGTTGCTCCTCTTAAACCTATATGCATGCTCCAAAAAGCACCTATATACATATATACTATTGTATAGTATAATTCTTTTTAAATAAAAAAATGTGAAGTTAAAAACTGAAATATATATACTATATAAAGGGAAAAATTGGCTATATATTGAAAACTATTTATTTTGATTTTCTTAAATCTGTGAACTTTTAAACCATATTTCAAGACATACCCTGGCTAAAAGTTTGTTTTTATTTCATGACTACGGATCCCCTTGTATCCCATGTTTACTGGAACCCTCTGAATACCATGTCTACTGGAACCCTTGTATCTCATGTTTACTGGATCCCCTTGTATCCCATGTTTACTTGATCCTCTTTATCCCATGTTTACTGGATCCCCTTGTATCCCATGTTTACTTGATCCTCTTTATCCCATGTTTACTGGATCCCCTTGTATCCCATGTTTACTGGATCCCCTTGTATCCCATGTTTACTGGATCCCCTTGTATCTCATGTTTACTGGACCCTCTTTATCCCATGTTTACTGGATTCCCCTGTTCCCCCTGTATACCATGTTTACTGTATCCCCCTGTATACCATGTTTACTGTATCCCACTGTATACCATGTTTACTGGATCCCCTTGTATCCCCTGTTTACTGTATCCCCCTGTATACCATGTTTACTGTATCCTCTGTATTACATATTTACTGGATCCCCATGTATCCCATGTTAACTGGATCCCCTTGTATCCCCTGTTTACTGTATCCCCCTGTCTACCATGTTTACTGTATCCCCCTGTATCCCCTGTTATTTACTGTTTACTGGATAAACATGAAATGTTCCTAAGTGAGTTCAATATTTTGAACATATGTTTACAATATTATATAATTTCTCAAGGACTCTTTAGATCTAAATCAATTTAAATTACGCTCATATATCTTATTCACATTTCCATCTTTTCTTAATTTTGACTTTTTCCCTTTTTCAACATTTTACAATCTCTTAAATCAATTTTCCTGGTTTTTAATTCTTGTCTAAATATCTTTTGTGTTCATTGTAAAACAAAAGCTTCGCTGATTTTATAAACAAAAATCGTGCATTTTCAAAATTTTATGGAAATCGAATTTTGTTGGAGGCTATTTTTTATTTTGATCATTCATAAACCTTCCCTGTGTTCATAAGAGATTCGGCCGTTTTGACGTTTTGGATATAAACAGACATACAAGCAAAGTTTATATATAGATACAATATACAATATACAATAAACAATAAACAACGCACAATATAAATTATACAATATACAATATACAATTTATACATTATACAATATACAATATGCAATATACCTTTTGCAATATACAAAATGCATTATGCAATATACAATATATTATATACAATATACAATGTACAATATACAATATACAATATACATTATGCAATATATAATATATTATATACAATATACAATATACAATATACAATACACAATGTACAATGTACAATATACAATAACAATATATCATATACAATCTACAATAAAAAATCAATTTTACCAGTGCAGTAGTTTAAAAATCAACCCAATATTATTCCAAAGATTTATGAATCCCACTGTACAACAAACATTAAACATAAAACAATATTGAACCAAATCAACATTATTAAATGTTGCATCTCACATCTGTTCTCATTCAGACATATGTTTCCTATTTATTTACAAAACATTTAAACAAATATTTAAAACATGTTTTTAATACAAATATATCAAATATAAGAATTAAAATGACGAATATATTTGAGCGCAGGGAGGGTCATATGCCACGGATTCTTGCAATGATTCAGGTAAATTTTTATATAAAAAACTTTTTAAAAATGCCCTTTTAAACTTTCAATTTTTCCTCTTCTTTTATCAATATTAACACGTTAAAAGAATTTGAAAGATGTAGATTAAAGAAGTATTGTTTAAAAAAAATCAATTTTGAAAATTTTATTTAAAAAGTCTGGTTGTGATCTTAAACTTCTTCAATTTTAAATTGAAAGCGTGTCTAAGAATTGAGTGAATTGTAGCTGTTATAAATGTACTTTTTTCAGAGATAACCGTTACACATAACAAAATGTCGAGCTATACTTATTATAATAATAGTCTATTTATATTTTTTTGGCGGGAAAAGTTTTTAATGGAGCTTTATTGAGAGAGATTTGACGTTGTCGGGACATTTTTACCTGAAATTGTCCCGACCGCAGAGAAGAACAATTTAGGGGTAAAAAAGGTGAAAACCGACTTTTATTCTGCTTTCTACTGGTATACTGGTGGATATTATTGTAAAAATATTTGAATTGAGTTTTTGCCACAAACTCAGATTTCTTTGCAACCTGATGTTATAAACTTAGATATTTCAAACTTGTGACAGGTACATTCTCAAGAACTGACGAGGGTCAACCCAGACTGAAATATATTTTTAATAAAATGTGGAACTAACATATACTTTATTTACTCTATAGAGGTTTGGTCCATCATCATCACCGAATTTTAAATCTAACAGAATTCATGGTTTAAAATATCCGAGGTCTACGCTATCGGGTTTTAAAGATATAAGGATTAGAAAATCAAAGTTTGTGGCAAAGCCTTAATTTCTTTGATCTAATTAAAGAATATATGAAGGTTGAGAGAGCAACTCCAGTTCCTAGTGTTCTATATATAACTATTCTATCCCTTCTTTATCTAATTAAAGAATATATAAAGGTTGAGAATGCAACTCCAGTTCCTAGTGTTCTATGTATAACTATCCTATCCCTTCTTTATCTAATTAAAGAATATATAAAGGTTGAGAGAGCAACTCTAGGATCCTAGTGTTCTATGTATAACTATCCTATCCCTTCTTTATCTAATTAAAGAATATATGAAGGTTGAGAGAGCAACTCCAGTTCCTAGTGTTCTATGTATAACTATTCTATCCCTTCTTTATCTAACTTCAAGGTAAAAAAAAACATATTTTTTGCCAAAACCTAAAAGGTTAAATTTTTATGATCAGTTTTTTAATGTCATCATGAAACTTTCAGACTTTTAATAAAAGAACAGAGCTGAGAACTTTAGAATGTGATATCCTTAATCCTGATGTTTTAATTAATCTGGAGATTAATAACTAGAGGAGAACAAGCGTTATTTAGCCTCGAGATTAAGAAGAAGAGTGGATCAAGCATTAATCCCGATATCCACCATTCAAAAGTTCCCAGCTCAGATCAGATCTTTTTTTTAAAACAAAAAAGTATTATTAGTATTTGTTACAATATTTGATCAAAGCTTTATAGTTCTACTTTAAAAGTATTAGTTAGCAACATTTCTTGTCATATTCAAAGAACATATGACTACCATCAAAAAGAATTTGTACCAATGTCAGAACAAACATTTTCAGTCTCCTTTGAATTACATTGCTAGCATTAAAGATGTTTTGCAGCAATAAATTAGAGCAAACCTTTCAAGTCCAACTTATAAGACATTGCCAACATTAGAAATGCAATGTAGCAATATCGGAGAAAACCTTTCATTTCCTATTTAAAAATATTGCCGGCAAAAATTATGATTTTGAGAAAAAATTGAGCAAATCTTTCTAGTTGGATTATATGGCTCAAATTATTATTTTTTTTTATAGCAATATCGGAGTACTGATGAACTACCTGGGGTTCGCTACTTGGCTCTCTATCGGAGCTGCAGTCTTCTGTCTCCCGTACCTCCGGTGGAAGCAGCCAGACCTACCCCGACCTATCAAGATAAACCTGGGGTTCCCTATCGTCTACCTTCTAATGACCCTGGTGATCACCCTCCTGCCTATGCTGGCCCAGCCGGTGGAGACTGGTATAGGTCTAGCCATGATCCTCACCGCGGTTCCAGTTTACCTTATCTTTATCCAGTGGCAGGGTAAACCCAGCTGGCTAACCAGCTTCACTATCCTCACCACGGACCAACTTCAGAGGCTCCTGGTCGTAATGCCACCTGGCAAGGAAGAATAAAATTTGATTTTAAAAAGCTTGAACCACAAAAACTGGTTTTAGAAAGCTGGATCAACAAAAACCGGTTTTAGATAGCTGGAGCCACAAAAACTGGGTTTAGAAAGCTGAAACACAAAAAACCGGTTTTAGAAAGCTGGAACCACAAAAACTGGTTTTAGAAAGCTGAAACAACAAAACCCGGTTTTAGAAAGCCGGAACAATGAAACCCCGTTTTAGAAAGCTGTAACCACAAAAACTGGTTTAAAAAGCTAAAACAACAAAAAAAAACTAAAATTTGCGCGAGAATGTAAGAAAAAGATTAAACAAATTAGGATTAGAAATTCAAAGTTCGAGGCGAGTAATAATTTTCTTACTCCTATGTACGTACGTGTCATGATTTTTTTATTAGAGATGATTTATTTGATATCTGTAAGCTTGAAAAAATTTATTTTTATACGAGTGTAGAACTTATTTTAAAGGTTATATGTATGTTATGTATAATGTATTGTAAAATGTAGAATCATCAATCATAATTAAAAAATATTTTTCTGTTTTATTTTATTTCTTTTACTTGTTATTAAATAAAGTAATTATTGTAATAGTGAAAAAAATATATCCAATAGCGCTTAACAACTTGACTTTTAAAAGTAGAAAAGCTGGAAAGTTTTTACAAAAAAGCCTTTTTTTGAGAATGCAATGATGGTTTTTGTGAGAAAAAGATTAATAAATGTTTTGTAAGAATATTTAGGAATATTTAATTGATGCATTTAAACATTAATAAAATTAATTTAAGGAATTATACTGGGTGTCTCCAAACAAAGTGTAATTAGTGCTTTGGAGCCCTTTCGTTAAAGACTTTTAATGGATAAAAAGCTTTTTTCACAATTTTTTTTGAGACATCCTGTATGTTTAACAATGCTATTATTGTCAACTCAAGAGCCGGATGTATAATTATGAAAAGTGGAATACCTAGAAGAATAAAAATAAATCTCACTTTATTGAGTCTTCGCTGCAAACTCAAATTTTATATTCCATATATCTTTGTAACCTGATGGTGCAAACCTTTGATGTTTTAAAATTAGATTATTTGATCTAACATATTTCATAGTTAGAAATATCTGAGCTCTACAACTTTCAGTTTGTGGCAAAGACTTAATTTCTTTAATACTATACGCCTGCTAGTGATATGCTACCCTAATTAAACAAATTAATCTTTTAATTATTGAGCCTGTGCCACAAACCCAAATTTTCTATTCCATACCTTTGCAACCTGATGGTGTAAACTTTTGATATTTTAAACTTAGATATTTGATCTAACAGAATTCATAGTTTGAAATATCTAAGGTCTACGACATCATTGGATTGCAAAGATTTAGAGATCAGAAAATCAGAATTCGTCGCAAAAGCTTTATTCCTTTGTATTTGGTCTAGCTCTGAAATTTCTCTTTGTATAATTATAATTCAAATGACTAGTTTGATTTTATTCTTTTTACCACATATTATGCAACTTAAAAGATCACCGTAGAAAAACAATTTACTGCAGTTTAAGTTTAAATTCAAGTTTTAGGAACAAGTTTGTATCCAATAAACGTCAAAACAGCTTAACCGATCGGGCCCAAATTTTTTGTGGGACATCACGTGACCACAGGGAAGGTTTATGAATGATCAAATTTCAAATATTTGTGTCATCAAAATTCGATCTTCATTAAATTTTTGAAAATTTTGAAAATCCACGAAATTTTTTGTGAAAATCCGCGAATTATTTTTGTTTTGTTTTACGATGTACACAGAACATGCTCACAATTAATTTAGAAGATGGGCGCGAAGCGCCCTATAAGGCTAGTTGTGAAATAAAACTCGAAAGATTAATACTTGAAGCACTTTTCAATTTTCTTTAAATTGATTGAAAAATCAAGAGATGTACTTGAACATTAAAAAAGAACCAAACTTAAACTCTATTTTCTTCAATTATTTTTGTAGCATAAATGCTTTTGGTTTTGTAGAAAGATCTATCTTCCATTTTCGTTGGGACCTTAACATTTTTTTAAAGACTTTCTTTTGAATCTTCAAGAAAGAAACTACTCGAGAATTTAGGAGGGTCAACCCAGAAAAATTATATCAGATAAAAAAATTATTCTATCGGATTATTTAATCTAATATGCACATATTTCGAACATACGAACTTGTTGTACCATTAATTGAGTTTTAGAAAATGTTGACGATTAATATTGGAAAACTTAGAAACTATATTTAACTATGAAGGTTCGTATTTCCATAGGATCTATTACAAACTCTAATCCATCCTTCTCTCTTCTCGTGTTCTCCAGGTAGACCGGGATATAATTGTTCTCGTGTTGAAAGCTGAACCTGGAGATATCATCCTTCCAGATGTTTCCTGCTAGTCCTGTTTCCTCCACCCAGTCAATCACAAGACCGGAGAACAGTGTCCTGTCATATTGCATAAACTTTTTAAATATCTTTTGGGTAATATCATAGAGTAATAACCAGAAAACTCAAATTTTAAATAGTCCAATGAACATGAGGCAGAGCAGTTGAACAGTGAAAAGAGACCCAATTTATTTAATTAGTAATTTAATAAGTATCTAGTAAAACTCTTTACTTTGTAACATCAAATACACTTTAGTATTGATGTCGTCTTCTTATTACATTGTTTTCTAGTTCTCACTCTTCTTCGTTTTCTCATTGAAAAGAGTGCAGATTTCCCATTTTTAGGTAGAAATTTAAAATGTCAGAATTTTTTTCTTTTCTTGAGTTGAATGGCCTAAGAAATTTGAACTATAACACAGTAGTTAATGGCAAACAGATTTATGATTAGAAATGTGCAAAGAAACTAAGTATCTTAGTTATAATTGCTTCAGAATCATGAAAATAAAATATTTCCTTATTTGCAAGTTGAACTAGTTTAAAAACGTCTAAAAAATCATCCATAAAACATTTAATCGGGGACCAGAGTGAAGTATTGGAGTGTAAAGATAATAACCGAGCATTTTTGTCTTTTGAAGTTTTTTTGAGGTTCATATTTTAATTATGCAATTTCCTAATGTTGAGAGTTGTGCTCTGAGAGTAGATAGGATGCTCATCGACCTGGAAGATGTGCTCAACCCGGAGCAACAAATATTCTCCCTCGGGATCGAACCCGGGAAATATCCGCTCCAGGCTTAGAATATGTAGGTTCTCCGGTACTGAGGTGTTCAAACTTATCTCCGGAGATATCTGGGAGTTGAAGATCAGAAGTGGTTGATAGAACAACTCCATAGCCCGGAGTCTATGTTCTGCTGTTGCAACCTCAGGTTCAGAGTTGCGTAGAACCCAGTGTTTCCCACGTGCAACTAAACCAACACCGAATTCTGTCTCGTTGAGAGCTTCTCCTACTCCGAAAGCATCGTCGTCTAGTAGACGCCTAGGAAAAAGAAATAAAATGAAAAAAATTCCTGGAAAAACTTGTTTTCTATGTACCTGTGGACCATGAGCTCAACAGACCCGTCTTGTATACTCCCTCCACCCTGAGATCTGTCAACCAACACTCCTAGCTCCGATCCTGCTTCGTCTCGGATGAGTATCTTTGAGTTTACAGGATAATAATTCTGCGCTGTAGGTTCCGTCATATTAATCTCAAAGGTTGGACGATAATCCCGGATTCTGCTGAGAAGTTGCCGGCCGTTAGAATCTGTAAAAAATTCTCCGTTGTTTTCTATATCAGTAGAATAGCGGATGATCACTTCTTTCCCGATCCCATCGGAGACAGGGATCGGACCAACGGTCCAGTCAATCTCTATCAATGGTTCGGTCTTGTAGGTTCTTATCATTTATGAATAAGTTTTAAAGTTTTTTGGGGGCCTAAAACTGTATATAAACATCAAGAATGTCCTTTCTACTTGGACATTAGATAATCTTTTTTCATGTCTGTAGCAAATTTTAGTTACGTTGGGGGGTTTTAAAATTCTTTGAATGAGCGGATACTCGGATGAAAACAATTGCGCTTGCATCAATTACTCTGATAAAAACTGTAAAACATTAAAGGATTTTCCAAATTTTTAACGTACATGGACTTTGTTACAAACATGACACAAGATTTTTGTCCGATCGGAAATACTTCAAGGATAATATTGATTGTCAAAAAGCGAATATCGTCTCAGAATTGAGGCGTTTGCATCAACCACTGGGTTATGCATGTATATATGTATATATCTAAAGGTAAATTGGTTTATTGTGTACTTTGAGATATTAAATGCATAAATTGCTCTTAACTAGATCTATTTGCATACTTATTCATTTACGGTCCTGATGATAATATTGACCCACTCCTCCTCGTACTTGAAGTGTAGTTCGTCCACCAGCTCCCCTGGGTACTCCTCCACGGAGACGGGTGGACCGAAGGAGATGGGATTGTCTCCATCCGGACGGAAAATATACGCCCCGGAGGCTCTAAACTCAAACTCTGAGTTGTTACCTCTATGCCCGACATAATACATGATATCCAGGTCAAAATTAGATTCTTTACCGGTCATCTTATCTGTCAAGCAGAACCGGTTTTTCTTGTGTTTGTAAACAAGTTGAACCTTATTATTTGATAATTTGAATAAGGTCGTCTTTCTTTTCTTAACAGGTTTTGGAGGATTTCTCGCAGTTTTTGTGAGAATCAAATTGGTGAATCCAAGAGGAGGAATGTTTTCAACTGTTGCAACAAGTTCAAACTTGGCATAGCTGTTTCTCCCGGGGATACTAAGAACATGCTCCGGTATTGGCAGAATCTGGGTCGGAATCAACTCAGCGATCTCATCCTGCAGAGTATAGGTTCCATCCTCTGCTATTGGTATCCTGATATTTATCGTCCTATCCCTTGAGAGAGGATTGTATACAGATATTGCTAGATTATCCTCCAGGTTCTCCGAGACCAAGCACTGGCTGATATTTAGCATGTTGCAGATGTTAATATTCTGTTCCAGGGAGAATACAGAGAATGATTCCTCTAGAGCAAGATGGATTCTACGATGGTAGTCGTCTGTAACATGTTGTTTCTCCGTCCCCGTAACAGCGTCATGATGTTGGATTACTCCAACAGTTTGCTTCAACTTCTCCAGTGTCAAGGTCTTTTCTCTAATCATCAAAAACAATAATTTAAAGGAAAAGAGAGATTCAAATGACACTTCAGAAAACTAGATTGTTTGAACCAAAGATTATAATTTTACATAAAAATGAAATTTGAATTTTGTCGTTGGCGCAATGTAATCTAAGAAAGAAATGGACGAAAATGTAACCAATTCAAATGATTTTTATCCGAAGGACTGTGCAGACATAATTTCTATTGACCCTCTATTTTATAGAGAGGAATGTCCAATTCACAACAAAGGGATCCAAAGGATTAATACCTGGATTGTTTGGTAAAGAATGGATTAATACCTGGATTGTTTAGTAAAGAATGGATTAATACCTGGATTGTTTGGTAAAGAATGGATTAATACCTGGATTGTTTAGTAAAGAATACCTGGATTGTTTAGTAAAGAATGGATTAGTACCTGGATTGTTTAGTAAAGAACGGATTAGTACCTGGATTGTTTAGTAAAGAATGCGAGCTGAGTAAGAATCTTCAAAGCTCTCTCCGCATCTCTGATCATTCCTTTAGAAGTAGGTCTAGAACTAAAATATCCAGACCAGTATGCGTGAGGATCACTGGCGTAAGGGAAAAAATCGTCGGTTTTCGTCGGCCAGCTGATTCCAGAGTCTAGGAGGGACTGGAGATAGCAGGACGGAGTCGAGTAGAACACATTGAGCTCACGTTCCCCAACCTTGAACCCGTTCCCGTGTTTGATTAGCACATCCAGGTTCATGAACCAAGAGTGAGCAGCCTAGGTCATTTCAGTAATTACAGCGATATTTTAATTGAAAGCTAAAAAGATTTATTTTGGAAAAAAATCAAACCTGATAGTGGAAATCCATTCCCATTGTTAGCACTATGTTGTTTGATTTATAATATTTGGCCTGCTTGAGAACATACTCGGAGAACTTCTCCATTCTTTCATCTAGAGATATTTTATACTTCAGGGTGTCCAACTTAACTTAACTTGACAAAAAGTAAATAAAAGAATGTTGAAAAGGGGGTCCAATTTATTTTATCTTGAAAATGACATTTAAACAATTTCTGTTCTTTCTATATAGGAATTGTATCTATATGAGAGTATTTTTACTATTATAAATTTATTTCGCACGCTAAGGTAAAATGGTACAATACGATAAAACAAAAACAAGAATAAAGTATAGATATTTATATATATAAATATAGTTTCTAGTCGCTACATTCAAAGTTGTATATGGGATATTTTGTATCCATGATGCAGTGAGAACCAGAAAACTTTGAAATATGAAGACGACTTTCTGACTCGATTTTCGTCTTAAAATAGTTCAATGAACATGAGACACAGCAATTAGGCAGTCAAAACAGATCCATTTAACTCAATAGGTGATTTGCTTTGTAACAACATCAAATACACTTCATTAATGCTTGAATGTCGTTTTCCTATTTCACACCAGTATGGGAGTATTTGAATCTACGGGAGTTTTTGTATCTTTGGGGGTAGTTGTATCTATTGAAATGTATTTGTATCTTTGGGAGTGTTTGTATCGATGAGGGTGTTTGTATCTATAGGAGTGATTGTATCTATGGGAGTGTTTGAATCTATGGGAGTGTTTGAATCTATGGAAGTGTTTGTATCTATGTAAGCGTTTGTATCTATGGGAGTATTTGTATCTATGTTAGTGTTTGAATCTAAGGGAGTGTTTGAATCTATGGGAGCGTTTGTATCTATGAGAGTATTTGTATCTATGGGAGTATTTGTATCTATGGGAGTATTTGTATCTATGGTAGTGTTTGAATCTATGGGAGTGTTTGTATCTATGAGAGTATTTGTATCTATTGGAGTGTTTGAATCTATGGGAGCGTTTGTATCTATGAGAGTATTTGTATCTATAAGGGTGTTTGTATCTATGGGAGTGTTTGTATCTATAGAAGTGATTGTATCTATGGGAGTGTTTGAATCTATGGGAGTGTTTGAATCTATGGGAGTGTTTGAATCTATGGGAGTGTCTATATCTATGGGAGCATTTGTATTATCTATGAGAGTGTTTGTATCTATAGGAGTGTGTGTATCTATGGTAGAAATTGTATCTATGGGAGTATTTGTAAATATAGAATTATTTGTATCTAAGGGATATTTTGTTTTTAAGTACAGTTTGACCCATAAAACTGAATCGAATGCCGACTGTTAGACTCAAGTTATGATTTTGAATATTTAAATGCATTTTTACTTAATAAAATGATTTTCAAACTACTGGTGAAGTTTTTCCGTTATCATATTGCCATATTGTCGTCTTCCTTTTAAATAGTTTTATGGATCCTACTCTACTATGTAAACAATGCGTGTAACCTATATTATTCTCTAGAAGAGGATGATCCATGAGAGGTTCATCATTGCAAAGTAGATCCCAGCAGAACCCATCAGGAGGACCATAGTTGTTAAATAGAACACCAGTAAACAAATCAGAATTCAGTCCTCAAGTACAAGAAATTCATCAGAGCTATCAGTATGAAAGACCGCATCAGTGTTTGATCCAAGATCATTTAAGTTGGTTATATTTTTCTCCGATCAAGTACAGATCAAGACTGACCCTGTCTTTTAGACTGGCATCGCAAAATTTATTAGAAATGAGATATTCTTAGTTTTGAAAAATAATACTTGATTAATATGTATAAACCTACCAAGATCTTGACTTGACTTCCAGACCATCTCCATTTCAAGCTCATTTTCTCGTCTATGCATAGACAACATGTTCCAAAAAGTTACTTAAAGTAAATTGGATGAAAAATAACAGATTTTTTTTACCTGGTTTTGTCCCTCCAGTCCAGGCGACCAAAGAAGAGACCATCAAATCCCATATTTGCAAACAAGCTAGCTTGTTCCTTGAAAATAAATAAAAAAATTTTCCCCTAAACAGTCATATTTTTCCAATTCTTCTCAAATATTTAAATTCAAATTCAAAATATCAAATCATTGAGATTAAATCACCTTAGAATGTCCAAACGGATCTATTTGCCAGGCAACCCTGGGCCTTCCGCACTCCCCAAATGTATCATTCAAAATTCTCAAACCTTAAAAAAGAGCTGAACACTCCTCTAACTCTAATTTTCTAATTCCTATACCTTTGCAACCTGGTGGTTTAAACCTTTTTTATCTAAAAGTAGCAGAATTCATAGATTGAAATCTCCAGGTCTACTACATCAGGTTAAAAAGAGATAAAAAAAGGAAATTTGAGTTTAATAAGAATAATAAATTTCTTTAAAGGAATTGCCACAAACTCATATTTTCGAATCCTTATCCATTTTTGCAACCTGATGCTGTAAACCTTTGATATTTCAAACTTAGACTAGATTAGAAAATCAGAGTTTGTGGCAAAAAAACTCAATTCTATTAAGTGTAATCAATTAATCAACTGATTGTGTTACCTAATGACATTTGGTCAACTATTGCGGCATAGTGCGCAGCTCCCTCGTCATTCATCGACCAGCCACCACCGATAAACTCAAGTTGGCCTGAACATATCCTTTTTAAATCATCTAAAGAAAAGATAATAAGCTTGACTTTTTCTTTAACATATCCTCCAACGCCCGTTGAATCAACTTTTTTAATGCTTGAAGCAAAAAATGAAATTATAATGCATGTTGAAAATCCAGTTTTTTAGTCGATCAATTCATTAATTTTCTGAGGTTAAAATTTTTTTCTTTTAAATTTTGTGCATGTATTTGCGACATCCCTACAGATAACCCTATAAAGTTGTATTAATCACGGTTGCCATTGCTTCAAGTTAAAAACCAGTAAATATTTTTATCCCGAATTCCTTTTTGATAATTTTACTCTTGGTTTATGGAGTTCATGTGGTTCAGTGCACCACATAGCCGATGCGTTGTTATATTAGGGCAAGTTGTTAGTCGTTTTGAATCGTTTTCAAAAACCCTTTTATTAAAGTTCCAACATTTCAAAACTGTATTCTGTTAAAGTTAGATTTTATCCTGAGAGAAAAAAGGAAAATCAACTGAAACAACAATATCTTTATCACGTTAACTTATGATTCTTTAAATTTTAAAATTTAAAATTTAAAACTTCTCAGATTTTCTGGAACCTTCTAAAAGTCTTAAAAGCAACTCAGAGGCCAACATGTCCAATCTGTAAAATTTTTGGTTTTGAAATATGGTTTGCACCTTCCTGGACGAGAAGGTGGACAATCTCCTTGGTTTCTTGATCCTGTTGGTTCCACCATCTCCAGAAATATGCCGTCTCTACCTGGATATACCTGAAGAGTAGGTCAGCTTATACAGGTCACAAATTTATAATTATATAAAGGGATTGTTTAGATATTTAGATAGTGGAGGAGGTGACAAATACTGACAAAATGTTCACTTTGCTCCTTATTAGTTTCAAATTGTGAGATCAAACAAATATAAGATTAATCTTGCTGCATTATTTAAGCAAATACAGAGATGCACAAAATAATGAAGTTCAAATAAGACGACAACTACGAAACCAATTCTGCCACTCGCGCTTTTCTGCTAACATTGTTTGCTTTAAGTATTAAGTAGTGATTAAATTTTGATGGATGTTAAGGTCGTCTTTCTTTATCATTTTTTTTCTGTTTACCAAAGTGTATTAAAAAACTTTGTTAAATATTCAGAACTCATTCAGTTTTAACGTGAACTATTCTCAGTTCAGAAAAGTCAGATGTTCTGGGACTGAATTTGATGAATTTTAGGTACGTCGCTATTCTACCTACTGAGTCGCTTATTCAAAATTAAAGATTCTGGATTTGAAGGATCATGACGACACTGTAGAAATTTATTCACAAGATTTTACTTAGTTAATATTACAGGAATCCTAGACGTATTACAAAAGTTTTAATCTAAGAATTAAAAATTTTTCTAACTTCCGATGAGGATTGTAGTTAAGATTGTGTTACAGCAAAATCCAGAAAACTGACTGTTATAAATGTTTAAAAATTATTTTCTCAACATAAATAAAATCAAGACGACATTGTTGACTGTCTGTCCCATATCTCGATGAAGGTTATTGTGGGACCCATAATACAGTGGAATATAAAGACGATAGTTAGGATCAAGTTGTGATTTTAAACAATCCAATGAACATGATACACTGAAACTGTGCAGTGTAAACAGACCAAATTCACTTAATCAGTTTATTTTTAATCTATTGGTTAAACTGTTTGCTTTAAAACAACATCAAATAGAGAAAATATATCTTAAATAATGTCGTCTTCATATTCTAAAAAGATTTCTGGGTCTCACTGTAAAATACAAAAGATAAAAAGTATCTAACTTCCGCTCCAAATTATAGTATAGCTCTGTTACAACCGTATCCAGGGTATACTGAACCCCTGCTCTCTGTACCTCCTCCCAGCCATACCAACCATCTCTATCAAACAAAACTTTGAACATTAGAATCTTTTTTTTTGGTAAATTTTTTTTTATTTTCATAAAAACGGCTTTAAGACGCATTTATACAACTTAAGGTATATAGAGTGTTCAAAAATATAATTGGAATTTTTCATCCTGACTTTATGAACATAAATTATTAAAACAAATTTTTAAAGTATAAAAAAGAAACACAACAATACAAAAGAATATTTTTATTTATGATTAATTTCGATTATCTTTATGTAAAGACGACCTCTTTGAGTTGGTTCTAAATTTCGCGTAAAAATTGTACAATATTCAATTCAAAATAAGTTAGACAAATTTGTAAAATTTCTCAACATGTTCAAATGTTATGATCGCAAAAAAATCAATGTCTCGAAGTAATCAAGAAGCCTATAGTTTCCTATTCAGCTTATTAAATAATGTTTTGTTTCCTGTTTGCTCCCAGATAATACTGATCCACAGTCTTCAACCAGCCAACATCATCGTGACTATGAGGAACTAGATGAACGTTCAGAATATTTGGATCGGAGGAAACCTGAGTTCAAGAAAATTCATATTATTGAAAACAAGAAGGACCAGAAACATGCATTTGATCTAAAGTAGTAATCTTTGTTTGTCTGTCTGTTAGTCCGATCATAACTCAGGTACCGCTGAACTGATCTGCATGAGATATCATGCATTTGATATAAAAAGTATAGCAATCTCTGTTTGTCTTATATTTGGAAGTTCGATCGTCACGCCGGACTAATATGTTCCAAATTTGATTGGGGAACTCGGTGGAGCAACGGGAATGTTCTTAGCTTTTTAAAAAATACAAAGTTGAGTAGATTTACTTTTAGATGGAAAACTTAGTTTCCAGACGAATATCCCTTTAAAACAGTTTAGAAATCAGGCTATTGGAGACTTTGAAGCTTTATATCCAGGGCTATGGAAAGTATGGATCGGTTGGAAAGTACAAATATATATAGTTCAAAGATTTTTATCAATACCTGTTTCTTTTAAACTCAAATTGAGGCTGGCTACAGCCACAGGAAATATGCCATTTCGCAATTTTATATTTACCAATTTTTCAACCATATTTTACATTTTCCATATATTTTTCTATTTTCTTGCGTTTTGTCTGTAATATATTGATGTCCTTTTATATTTATGATCAGAACTAAAACTAAAAATATGTTTTTTAATCAAGTATTAGAGAAGAAGAAGAATACCTGAGGACATGACTCGTATCCACAGCCTGCCAGAACCAGGGGTAGGACGGAAACTATAAATATAAAACCAGTTTTTAATATAGTCACAAAATACCCAATAGTCACGGTATGTTTTGTGCTTTCAATACTCCCGGAGATATGATTTCAACAATTTTGGTTTTATCCAATAAAATCAAAATCTAAACGATGTGAAAGTAGGTTGACGACTGAATGTCCCAAATAAATTCAAAGATTAGACACGACTTTAAATTGTCTTCCTAATGTCATGTTTTGTGGGACACCATCTCCTGTAGGTTAAACTGTTTATAAAAATGAAATCTATGTATTTTGATGAAACTAACTTGCAAATATAATTTTTCTCATGTTATCATCCTTCCCTGTTGTCAACTGTTGAATCTTATCTCTGATATTTTTCATATCTCACAACCCCAATATATGTATCTTAAACTCAAGTTCTGAACACAAATAGATCACAGATGAATTTAAAAATTAAATGTCGTCATTGTTCAGCTAAAGGGACTGTTCAGATATATAGGTATTGTGGAATGTACCAAAGTACAGAGATAACCAGATACTAAAGTGTATATGATGTTGTTACAAAGCTAATACTTTTACTAAACACTTATAAAATCACAAACAAAGTGAAATGTTTACACTGGACGATTTCTGTGTCCCATGCTCAATTTAATATAAAAAAGTCATAAAGTCGTATTTCTTTTTCAGAGTTTTCTGGTTATCACTGTAGGTACTGAAGATTCTGATTATCCTTGCTAAAGGTTCACACATGATTTATAATTTTATGTTTATTTTATTGAGTTTTGTTTTTCAGTTTATGATTTTTATCATATATATATTTTTTCTCTTTTTACCCTTGTCAATTATCTTCTTAGAAAGAGAACAAATAATATTCCCTCCTGGAATAGAAAGAGAACGAATAAGATTCCCTCCTGGAATAGAAAGAGAACGGATAAGATTCCCTCCTGGAATAGAAACAGAACGAATAAGATTCCATCCTGGAATAGAAATAGAACGAATAATAATCCCACCTGGAATAGAAAGAGAACGAATAAGATTCCTTCCTGGAATAGAAAGAGAACGGATAAGATTCCCTCCTGGAATAGAGAGAAAACGAAAAAGCTTCAGTTTTGGAATGTTAACTCTGGGTGAGTAAGTATCCTTGGAGAAGTTTTTCATGGACTCAATCTTGCACTTTTCCATATCCTCCCCGGACATCATCAAGCAGTTCCCCTCATCTTTTAACTTGTAAGCCTTCACTATACGGGAGATATGCTCTGGTCACCGAGGTACAGTTGGCTCCAGAGCGCAGGTAAACCTCACCTTGGCTTGGTGGTCTTTGATGAAGACACTATTGGCTGGGTGGCCCTTTCTGTTGCCTCGCTACAAAACTCCAAACGGTTTAAAAAGGACAAAAATATATTTTGAGGCAGATTCTAGAGAATAAGCTAACTGGAAGATTTTTCATTTAGTCCCAGACAGAATAAAACCTTGGATTCTCGATAACAGGATACACGAGTGATCGCCAGAATAAAGTGGACAACAAGGGAACAATTGCCGACCTAAAATCTTCCTGAATTAAAGTTTCTATTTTAAAGTAAAAAAAAAACTGTGAATTAGAAGAATTGAATATTGAGTCAATGCACATTAAAAGTCTCCTTTACTTCATCAGTCGACGAATGTTTTGTTCCAAATGTCGTCCTTCATTTGAGTGGTCACTAGATTGCATTGTGAATAGAATGGAATTTTATGAATAATAAAGAGTCAGTTAGAATACTGTTAAGAAATTTAAAGCATTTTTTGTTGTTTACCTATTAATATTATCGTAACAATAAATGGAAAATATCGAATAATCAACACTTCATCTTTGAATTAAAAGACGTCTAGGTCTTGTCGAAATATTATACAGTGAACCCCTTGATAACGAATACATCGGAAGAATTTATCAAATGTCGTCTTGACAATTTTTTAATGAGTTTTATACTATATTACGTAAATTTCAGTATTTGCGAAAATAAATAAATAGCCATGAATATGCGGGGACAGTTTTAAAGAGTTCCGTATAATCATTTAGTTAAAAAACTAAATATCTGCAATTTCCATTATCAGAAAGTGAAAAATACGACTTTTGATGAATTCTTTCGATGTATTCGTTATTGAAATTAATTATACATAGTTACCCCGAAATTGCAATGTTTCTGTCAGAAACTATCGGAATACATTGATCCAGCTCTCTAAAACCCTCATTTGAAAAGGGCGACCGTGGTGTCCGGAACTCCGGCATTGCCTTGGAGAAATCTCGAACTGTGTCTTGCAAGATGGGATGCTCTGACCCAGTGAAGTGCCCCCTCTCTCAATGTGCCCCCTCTCTCAGTGTGCCCCCTCTCTCAAGGTGCCCCCTCTCTCAAGGTGCCCCCTCTTTCAAGGTGCCCCCTCTCTCAAGGTGCCCCCTCTCTCAAGGTGCCCCCTCTCTAAAGGTGCACCCCCTATTTTCGATGTTTTCTATCTAAGATAGTTTATGATATTTGATATAAAGTAAACATGTTCTTTTCAATTTAAAGATGAAAAATTAAAATTTAAATTATGCATTCTATCAAAAGGAAATCACGAATGAATAAATGTATGAATAAATGAATGTGTTCTGAGAAAATGTGTTTGTTAAAACAAATATATTAGTTCGCATGGTCCCCATCTCCTCCTATTGTTATCTAACCTAGTGATCTTCAGATACTTACACTCCAGTTCATCCATTTTAAACCCTTTATTCAAGGAGAATAGGGTTCAATAGGATTCTTTACAAAATCATATTTAGGATGGATGGAGACAGGAGCAGGGACAAATAGTCAGAATGGATGAAGACAGGAGCAGGGACGGATAGTCAGGATGGATGGAGACAGGAGCAGGAACGGATAGTCAGAATGGATGGAGACAGTAGCAGGGACAGATAGTCAGGATGGATGGAGACAGGAGTATGGACAGATAGTCAGGATGGATGGAGACAGGCGCAGGGACGGATAGTCAGGATGGATGGAGATAGGAGCGGGGACAGATAGTCAGGATCGATGGAGACATGAGCAGGGACGCATAGTCAGGATGGATGGAGACAGGAGCAGGGACGGAAAGTCAGGATGGATGGAGACAGGAATAGGGACGGATAGTCAGGATGGATGGAGACAGGAGCAGGGACGGATAATCAGGATGGATAGAGACAGGAGCAGAGACAGGAGTAGAAAAGTCAAAATGAAAAGATAAAAAAATATGCAAGATCTCAATGAAAGTAAAAGCAGATCAGAAAGGAAAGTTAGAATAGATTGAGAGAGAAAGGATGTCTAGAGATACTGGAAAGCAAATGTGTACAAGACATAATTCTAGTTAATTAGATCATAGCTTTAACTGAAGCTACATATGAAAGGATTAACGATAGATGGAAGGAGGGTGGGGCCATAGAAAAAGTAAAGTGAGCTAAGAGAAAGAGCAGAACAGACGGAAAATAAAATTAATGAAGGATGGAAAGTGAGAAGGTTTGGTCCAAATTTCAAACCTGCACTATAGAGTTTCAGAGTGAATGTTCAACTTATTCTAAACTTTTGTGAAAGGATTTAGAAGTTTGATATTTAACTCTGTAATGGGGTTAATCTACACTTTTATCATTAAATCAAGTTCAGGCATAGATATTATTCAACAATTATAATTTTCAAGAATTCAATCTACTGATTAAAAGATTTGGGCTTTCACTATACAAAAGAAATGAATGAATTTTATTATTTTGAAATAATTAATTATTTTGAACAGTGAGAACCAGAAAACGGTGGAATTCTTGTTCTCTTATTTCGTATTTTAATTTTGTTATTTATAAGTGAACTATTTCTGAAAATGTTCCCTGAAATCAAAACTTTTGTTTTGTTATTCATGGAATGTAGCAGTTATCTGCGCAGAAGTCCGAAGGAGTTACGCGCGCATGCCGCGTTGAATTACAAGACAGAGAGCCTGTTCTAACCGCAGCGCTCGGCCCCGTAGTCTGCCCTAGCCGCTTAACTTCTTTAGGCAACTGCCAGTTATCTGTTTCTTTTATCTTCCAAAGGATTCAGTTGATTCCTTGGTATATCCTGTAGTCGTGACAGGGATAACTATAATTTAATGATTCGAGAATATCTTCGAATTAAAAGTTCCCATACTGAATATCGAGATCAAGCGTTTTAGATCAGCGCTTTCTCACTAAAGAACAAAGACGACAGTCATTCCACAGTTTTTTTCTGGTTCTTACTGTACTTAAAACCTAATTTCAGCACAATTTAATACAAAATTATGTTTTTGAATATTCCTAATGTACTTAACTTGAATAAAGGGACTGTAGTTGTAATTTCATCTGACTCGCCATTCATCCGAATGTGGTTTCTTTGCAAAAGGGATTTTTTCTTGCAGAGACAATGGAGAAAATTATCAGAATCAAACACTTTCTAAATTAGAACAACGATGATATCTTCCAAATTATTGAACAGATAAAGGTTTAAAAGATACAATTTTGAATTGGGCATTCCTCTCTTTAAATGGAAGTTGATATTAAAAGGACGTACAGTCCCTTTAATGGATAAATTATGTTAGTGAAACTATGGTAATATAATCCAGGCTTTTGATCTAGACATTATATCAACCTGGACAAAGTAGTTAAATCAAATACAAACGAGGAGTTCAAAACCTCGGAACTTACGTCCTTCCAGTATCATGTTTTTAAACTCATCCTTGAAGATAAAACAAATCTGGCCACATTAAGGAAGATATGAAATATTGAATTTTTGTAAATTTAAAAAATAGTTTCATTTAAATTAATGTTTTAAAGTTCTATGTCATTGAAAATTGTTCATTTTTAGATATTCCTAGAATAGGATGCCGCGAATTATTTCAAGTTCATAGGACTTTTGTTCATTTGATTAAAAACTATATAATTTTCCGGGTGGTTCCATGTGAAAAATGAAAGGCAGAGGTATGGCAAATATTTCAAAATTTAATTTATATCTATAAGGTTAACCATAACATGCACATAAGAGATTTGATTTTCACCTAAGAAGAGTATAACATCATAACATGATTCCGATATAATGAAAGCATTGAAACACTTTAGTCTATCCATATTTTATTTTCTAACGTGGCCAAATTATTAAAAAAAAATTTTCTCTGCAAGGATTTGACAATTTAAAAACATAATAACGGAATAAAGATGACTTGTACGAGGAAATGAGAAGAATGTGGCTCGGACGAGAAATTGTTGTGGCTGCCCCTCCCCTCGTTCAACAATTCGTCATGTTTTTTATTTATATGAGACTCAGGGAGGAGGAGGTAGGTGGGGGGGGGGGGAAGTCATCAAAATTCTGATTAACTTTTTTTTAAGAGAGCCATTAGACATTTGTTTAAAAAACGCATAATAATATCCTTTTAAACTGAAAATTGACAAAACTAAAATACTTTGTTTCTTGGCCATATTGAAGAAATCCGTGAGTGTTATCTTAAAACTTTGTGAAATTGTTAGATATTGACGTTATT